CATCCCTTTAAAAGACATGCAAACCTATGATCATAGGATCAAATCACAATTTGCACTGATTATGTTTCTCCGCACCATACTAATGTGTTTTACCAAAAGGGGAAATGCATGAGCTCAAACCTTCCTCCACCAGCAAGCTGCATGCAGTGATATAACTGAAATACTGTTCAAAGAGGCATTGAATAAAACCCACTCGCTCATATGGAACAATGGTGCTTGAGCTTATGCCTTCCTCCACCAGCAAGCTGCATGCAGTGATATAACTGAAATACTGTTCAAAGAGGCATTGAATAAAACCCACCCGCTCATATGGAACAATGGTGCTTGAGCTTATGCCTTCCTCCAACAGCAAGCTGCATGCAGTGATATAACTGAAATACTGTTCAAAGAGGCATTGAATAAAACCCACCCGCTCATATGGAACAATGGTGCTTGAGCTTATGCCTTCCTCCACCAGCAAGCTGCATGCAGTGATATAACTGAAATACTGTTCAAAGAGGCATTGAATAAAACCCACCCGCTCATATGGAACAATGGTGCTTGAGCTTATGCCTTCCTCCAACAGCAAGCTGCATGCAGTGATATAACTGAAATACTGTTCAAAGAGGCATTGAATAAAACCCACCCGCTCATATGGAACAATGGTGCTTGAGCTTATGCCTTCCTCCACCAGCAAGCTGCATGCAGTGATATAACTGAAATACTGTTCAAAGAGGCATTGAATAAAACCCACCGGCTCATATGGAACAATGGTGCTTGAGCTTATGCCTTCCTCCAACAGCAAGCTGCATGCAGTGATATAACTGAAATACTGTTCAAAGAGGCATTGAATAAAACCCACCGCTCATATGGAACAATGGTGCTTGAGCTTATGCCTTCCTCCACCAGCAAGCTGCATGCAGTGATATAACTGAAATACTGTTCAAAGAGGCATTGAATAAAACCCACCCGCTCATATGGAACAATGGTGCTTGAGCTTATGCCTTCCTCCACCAGCAAGCTGCATGCAGTGATATAACTGAAATACTGTTCAAAGAGGCATTGAATAAAACCCACTTTCGCTCATATGGAACAATGGTGCTTGAGCTTATGCCTTCCTCCACCAGCAAGCTGCATGCAGTGATATAACTGAAATACTGTTCAAAGAGGCATTGAATAAAACCCACTCGCTCATATGGAACAATGGTGCTTGAGCTTATGCCTTCCTCCACCAGCAAGCTGCATGCAGTGATATAACTGAAATACTGTTCAAAGAGGCATTGAATAAAACCCACTCGCCTCATATGGAACAATGGTGCTTGAGCTTATGCCTTCCTCCACCAGCAAGCTGCATGCAGTGATATAACTGAAATACTGTTCAAAGAGGCATTGAATAAAACCCACTTTCGCTCATATGGAACAATGGTGCTTGAGCTTATGCCTTCCTCCACCAGCAAGCTGCATGCAGTGATATAACTGAAATACTGTTCAAAGAGGCATTGAATAAAACCCACTCGCTCTCATATGGAACAATGGTGCTTGAGCTTATGCCTTCCTCCACCAGCAAGCTGCATGCAGTGATATAACTGAAATACTGTTCAAAGAGGCATTGAATAAAACCCACTCGGCTCATATGGAACAATGGTGCTTGAGCTTATGCCTTCCTCCACCAGCAAGCTGCATGCAGTGATATAACTGAAATACTGTTCAAAGAGGCATTGAATAAAACCCACTTTCGCTCATATGGAACAATGGTGCTTGAGCTTATGCCTTCCTCCACCAGCAAGCTGCATGCAGTGATATAACTGAAATACTGTTCAAAGAGGCATTGAATAAAACCCACTCGCTCATATGGAACAATGGTGCTTGAGCTTATGCCTTCCTCCACCAGCAAGCTGCATGCAGTGATATAACTGAAATACTGTTCAAAGAGGCATTGAATAAAACCCACTCGCTCATATGGAACAATGGTGCTTGAGCTTATGCCTTCCTCCACCAGCAAGCTGCATGCAGTGATATAACTGAAATACTGTTCAAAGAGGCATTGAATAAAACCCACTCGCTCATATGGAACAATGGTGCTTGAGCTTATGCCTTCCTCCAACAGCAAGCTGCATGCAGTGATATAACTGAAATACTGTTCAAAGAGGCATTGAATAAAACCCACTCGCTCATATGGAACAATGGTGCTTGAGCTTATGCCTTCCTCCACCAGCAAGCTGCATGCAGTGATATAACTGAAATACTGTTCAAAGAGGCATTGAATAAAACCCACTCGCTCATATGGAACAATGGTGCTTGAGCTTATGCCTTCCTCCACCAGCAAGCTGCATGCAGTGATATAACTGAAATACTGTTCAAAGAGGCATTGAATAAAACCCACTCGCTCATATGGAACAATGGTGCTTGAGCTTATGCCTTCCTCCACCAGCAAGCTGCATGCAGTGATATAACTGAAATACTGTTCAAAGAGGCATTGAATAAAACCCACTCGCTCATATGGAACAATGGTGCTTGAGCTTATGCCTTCCTCCACCAGCAAGCTGCATGCAGTGATATAACTGAAATACTGTTCAAGAGGCATTGAATAAAACCCACTCGGCTCATATGGAACAATGGTGCTTGAGCTTATGCCTTCCTCCACCAGCAAGCTGCATGCAGTGATATAACTGAAATACTGTTCAAAGAGGCATTGAATAAAACCCACTCGGCTCATATGGAACAATGGTGCTTGAGCTTATGCCTTCCTCCACCAGCAAGCTGCATGCAGTGATATAACTGAAATACTGTTCAAAGAGGCATTGAATAAAACCCACTGGCTCGCTCATATGGAACAATGGTGCTTGAGCTTATGCCTTCCTCCACCAGCAAGCTGCATGCAGTGATATAACTGAAATACTGTTCAAAGAGGCATTGAATAAAACCCACTCGCTCATATGGAACAATGGTGCTTGAGCTTATGCCTTCCTCCAACAGCAAGCTGCATGCAGTGATATAACTGAAATACTGTACAAAGAGGCATTGAATAAAACTGTCGCTCATATGGAACAATTGTGCTGAAATGTATTATTTGTTTTCTTTAATCAATTCCAGGGCTGTTCGGTCTTTGGGGTGTGTTTTCTTTGATTGTGGTGTTTTGTTTATGTTAAATTTTCTTTATAAACTATCTACAGAGTTATGCATTTAAAGCGCTTAGGCAATAGATTAAACATTGTGTTTTATTCTTACAATATTATTTCAAAAAATATATCCAGAATTTATGCCCTTCCACAGCACTCAGGAAGGATGTGAATTGTCCTATTTTCCACCTGAGTAGTATTGCAAATTGTATATCAAAGGGACATAACTCTTATCACTTGGCATCACTTCAAGCTTTGGGTAAACACCTGCTATGTATTTCGAATTTCAACAGAGCCATAAATCAATAACATTAGGAATGATTGATTTACATTCTTAAAGACAGAAGTAGGTTTGGGGGGATGGTCAAGAAAAACAAGACAACTGTCATTGTTGTGACATCGCATGTAATTACTTAGCTGAAGCAGAGTTAGAGAATTTGACCTTTATCTGAAGCAGGCTTGTTTGGCAGTAATGTTAGTTGATGATGAAGAGGTGAATCATCGTGAATAATAATGCATATTTTATTTACTGGATGGGTAATCATGGTATTGTTGCTCTGAACATAGTGAGGTGGATGCTGCATGTTGTACCAGTGAAGCAAATATGAGTCAACGTAGTCAGTAATGGAGAACAATGTGTTTGGAAGGAATGAGAACAAAATATTTATTGATGGGTATGTTTAATATTCTGAGTAGAGGTCGCATGTGCATGTGGGTGGCGAAATCTGGAATATCTATAAAATATACAACTGTATATCGAATTAATTGTTGATTGATAAAACATTTGGTATGTCTATTACTTATCTAGACGGTTTCCTGTATGAAATTAAAGCGTAATTCCCAAGACAGTTATAAGAGCCGGAGCTATGGAAAATAAATCTTGATTAGAGAAAGTTGGCCTGTGCCCATAACCACAAGGCTGGGCATGAGTCCAGCAATTTAGTTGAATAACACGACAGTGGTGTTGTCTGGTTGTTTAGTGGAGCTTTTCCCCGTCAGTATCCTGGGTTAGAACTGGCCCCCAGAAACCATTGCTGGCCCTAAGAGGTGACCAGATGGGTCGGTGGTCAGTCGATAATTTGGTAGATGGTATGTCATCATACCCTGCTGTATCATCGTGGATCTCTATAATATCAATGACTGGATTGTCATAATTGTTATAATATCAATGACTGGATTGTCATTATTGTTATAATATCAATGACTGGATTGTCATAATTGTTATAATATCAATGACTGGATTGTCATAATTGTTATAATGTCAATGACTGGATTGTCATAATTGTTATAATATCAATGACTGGATTGTCATAATTGTTATAATGTCAATGACTGGATTGTCATAATTGTTATAATATCAATGACTGGATTGTCATAATTGTTATAATATCAATGACTGGATTGTCTGGTCTTCATTTAATTACTGGCGTTGGGGTAGCCTAGTGGTGAAGACGTTCGCTTGTTGTGTCGTTCAATTCTCCACATGGGTACAATGTGTGAAGCCCATTTCCGGTTTCTCTCTCCGTAATATTGCTGGAATATTGCTAAAAGTGGCGTAATCCATGCTTGTCGTAAGAGGCTTGCTGACTTGGTTGACACATGTCATCGGTTCCCAATTGCGTAGATCCAGACTCGATTATTTACAGACCGCTACCATATGGCTGAAATATTGCTGAAAACTAAATTCACTTACTCACTAGAAACTGTTCAAGATTATTCAGTTTGACTTGGTTTTTTCTAAACAAACATTTGCAATCTGAGAAATGATTTTGAACACAGGGAAACCTTTGCTTTTGTAAGAAATGAGCTGATTGTGTTTGGCTCTATGCATGTATGTCATACTATGACCTTGTGAGTTGGATGTTGTATTTCACCTCTAATGACCACATCCTTGTGTTGCAGGTGGAAAAGCCCCAGACTGTTGGTCTGTCCTACAACACCAAGGACCAGTGGGAGATCCCCAAGAATTCCCTGAAACTCATCCGCAAGATCGGCCACGGCCAGTTCGGTGAGGTGTGGGAAGGCTTGTGGAACAACACCACTCCTGTTGCCATCAAGACCCTCAAACCAGGTGGGTAGCAAGCACAGATAAAACTTTTTATCACAATTGTGGACAATTTGTTAAAATGATTAAGAGAATCAAATTAGCTCAGATTTTAATGCAAACAATTCACCAGGTGATGAAATTATATGGTTTTGTCTACATTATGATTTGCATGCTTCAAGTAGGGCACTCTCTGGTTTCCGTGTATGGGCAGACGTCATTGTGCCTCTGGTGTAAACACAGAGACTTTATTTGTTGACTTCTGTTGCCAAATACTGTTACTCAGTGCATAACTCCATGACCGTTAATTCTTATGATTAACAACCAGTTTTCATTTCTGACTTGTATAAATTTCTGGACCCATCATATCAAATAACACATTACCTGTGTTATATTCTTGCTGACACAACCGCCTCCGTAGTGTAGTGGTTAGAGCGTCCGCCCGGAGAGCGGAAAGTCGCGGGTTCGATCCCGACTGCGTCATACCATAAAGACGTTAAAATATGGTACTTGTTGGTCCCTGCCTGGCGCTCGGCATTAATGGGTACAACAAGGACTGGTCGGCTCGGAGTCAGTATAATGTGTCTGAGTAGGGGTATTCATACTTCACTGCGGCATGGTATCTCAGTGAGCTAGCACTATAAAACCAGCTTAAGTCTGGGCTAGTACAAGCAGCCGCACATACACATACACACGCATGCACGTCGTCATATGAGCGAAATATTCTCGAGTACGATGTAAAACCCAATTTCACCTCACCTCACCTCTTGCTGACACATTAGTAACTTGGCAGCCTGAAAACAAACGTCCTAATGGCCTTTTTTTTTATGCAATAGTCAATATCGATGACGTCACATCCTCCATTTAATTTTGTATTTTGTGTTGCATGGGAGCAGTGTTAACATAAGCAGTAATGCTTGTTCACAATCCCAATTCATTTTCATGAATAAAAATATGTTTCAACCACATGTTCAGATATATCAATATTTGTTCCAGTCATACTCTCATGATAATAAAACCTGTGAAGGTCCGGGTTAGAATATTGATCTTCAGTAACCCCTGCTTGTCGTAAGAGGCAACTAACGGCATCGGGTGGTCAGGCTCGCTGACACATGTCATCGGTTCCCAATTGCGCAGATCGATGCTCATGCTGTTGATCACTGGATTGTCTTTTTCAGACTCGATTATTTACAGACCGCCACCATATAGGTGGAATATTGCTGAGTGCGCGTAAAACTAAACTCACTCACTCATGATAATAAAGGGATAATAGTGCTCACACATAGGGTAGTGTAGTTGCCAAAAGTTGCCTTGCAGTATGTATAATGTTTAAAAAGGATATCACAGAATATCAGTAAGCTGGTAATATTGTGCAGTGTTGAGAGCTACCACTGTCACGGCAGTGTTTTGTGACAGTGGGCCCAAAACTCAAACTGATGGATCAGTTCATCTGTGTGTGTTTTTTGATACAGGAAGTCACATCTAAACATGTTCTCTTTGCTCCTTTGTGGAACCTTCACACCAGGAAACACTTGTCTCTGTGATATATGACACCTCCACCCATGCAGTGTTAGGTGTGCCCATGTTTTACCTGAGTCAGCCATGTCACCTAGTGCTGAGTGGTTTCACATCACACATAAGTGTCAACACCATGTGTGTTGGACTCTTGTCATATGTCTGCGATACATTCTACCACCTACTGGACTGGCCCCGGGTTTGACCTTGATTTATGAAGGTGGGGATCCTTGCACAGAATGAGGCTTCTGTAAATTATGAGTGTTCTGTAAGGTAGATAATTACTTTCGTGTCTGGAATGAAACAGGGATTGTGTACACACTGGTCGTGATTGATCAATGGAATGTAACATACCTATAACTGATCTTGATCGGCTGTTGGTATCCTAACTATTGTCAGGCACCCTTCTTGATGCAGTATTTATTTTTTCTGAGTCCATTCTCTACATTTATGGACCGCCTCCGTGGTGTTGTGGTCAGAGTGTCCGCCTCCGTGGTGTTGTGGTCAGAGTGTCCGCCCGGAGAATGGAAGGTCGTGGGTTTGACCCCCGGTCGCGTCATACCAAAAGACGCCAAAAAAGGTGCTCAACATTAATGGGTACAACAAGGACTGGTCGGCTCGGAGTCAGTATAATGTGTCTGAGTGGGGTATTCATGCTTCACTGCGGCATGGTATCTCAGTGGGCTAGCACTATAAAACCAGCTTAAGTCTGGGCTAGTACAAGCAGCCACACCTACACAAGCATGCACGTCATCATATGAGCGAAATATTCTTTAGTGCGACTATAAACCCATCACCTCACCCACCTCACCTCACCTCTACATTCACCTCTACATTTATGAGTACAGATGAGTTCCTGTAAAACCCTACTAACCTTAACCTTGAAGTATTCTGTTTGGCCAAGTAATCCAAGCTAATAAAAGACAACATGTTTTCATAGAAAAGCAGAAAGTAGTGCTATGAGCTGACTTTGGGGTTGTAGACATCTTTTGCCAGACTGGTTATTATGCAAGACATTGTATAAAAGTAAAAACACTTGTTATTCATCCTGTGTTCCAGGCACCATGGACCCTAAGGACTTCTTGGCTGAGGCTCAGATCATGAAGAAACTCAGACACTCCAAACTGATCCAGCTGTACGCTGTGTGCACTCAGGACGAGCCCATCTACATCGTCACCGAGCTCATGAAGAACGGCAGCCTGCTTGAATACCTGCAGGGTAGGTGGAACCTGCTTCATCTTCTACCAGGAGCTGTGCTAAAAGCAGCATAAAACCAAACTCACTCACTCACTCATCTTCTACCATGACATTGAATACTTGTTTGGTTAAAATGAGGCATCATATTTCCATTTGCTGAGTGTGCCATTTGATGACACAGTGAAGACTGCTATATTCTGATTGGTTAAAATGAGGTTTCAATTTCCATATGCTGGGTGTGGCATTTAACGACAAACTATTAGATGAAGAGTGCTTAGTTCTGATTGGTTAAAACGATGTTCCAAATTTCAGGGTTAGCGTTAGGGTGAATGCCGGATGTGGCATTTAACAACACCTTCACTAATAAAGACTGCTTGATGCTGATTGGGCAAAAACCAAAATATGTGTGTTTACGGTTTCCCCGACAATCCCAAACCCCATCATCAAACTTTCCGACCCTAAACTTTTTATCCATTTTACTAAAAAAAAAAAAGACAGCCTAAACATTTCTTTATTCCAACAGTATGTCCTCCCCAATGTTGAAAACTTTAGGCGATTGGGGTAGCCTAGTGGTTATATGTGACCTGTGCTCACTTACTCTTGTTTTTCATAAATGTCAAATTTAGTAAGTGTTGTTGCTTCAGTTATTAAATTTTTAAACTGCTTTTCCCTCTTTTCTTTTAAAACTGGTGCCTGACATTACATAAATATGTGATTTTATGAAAAATATGCGAGTGCGTTTAAAAAAGAAATGTAAGAAAAAAAAGATACACCCTACCTACCGACCCTGTTTTATAATTTCATGTTAACCTAAAGACACATGGTTTGTTTTTTGGGGCCTTGGTTAAAATGAAATTTCAAATTTCTATGTACTGGATGTGGCATTTAAGTATGATAAAAACAAATGATCACGTTATATTAACACTGATCTGATTATGTTTCCAGGCAAGGGCCGAGTGCTGAAGCTGCCCCAGCTCATTGATATTGCAGCCCAGATTGCTTGCGGCATGGCCTACCTGGAATCACAGAACTACATCCACAGAGACCTGGCAGCCAGGAACATCCTTGTTGGGACTGCAACAACGTCAAAATTGCTGACTTTGGTCTAGCCAGAGTTATCAAGGTAAGTCCAGTAATGCATGACCTTCTGCTGGAATCAGTTTTGCTATATTTAATAAAGCATTAAAACAAGTTAATTTCCCTTTCCAAGATGGAGGTTTCTGTATTTTGTGTGAGTGTGTGAAGATATGATGGGCAGGATAACATGTGAACAATTCAGGTAACATGTAAGCATTTAAAGTGGGGAACAGGGTCCCAGTGGTCTCATGTACAACTCAATAGATTCTCAAATGTGTCCTTAGCTGCAACAGTTCCCAAATTTGCTGTAATTATGTTTTTTGTGAGCACTTTTCCTGTGCTACATCCATGAACACACCCGTGAAGGTCAAGGTTAGAATAGTGATCTTCAGCAACCCATGCTTGTCGTACGAGGCGACTAACGTGATCGGGTGGTCAGGCTCGCTGACATGGTTGACATATGTCATCGGTTCCCAATTACGCAGATCGATGCTCATGCTGTTGATCACTGGATTGTCTGGTCCAGACTCGATTACTTACAGCTGCCATATAGCTGGAATATTGCTGAGTCGCGGCGATAAACTCTTACTCCATGAACTCTTTGCTGACACATTCTTGCACCTTAAGACCTAAATCCCATGATATTACTGATGTTCCTTTGAGGTGGCACTATAACGCACATTTCCTTCACTTACATCATCAAACATTAACTGACACATCTTTTGAACCTTGACAGCGTCATGTATGTCTGAGATTGCAACATTCAAAAAATGCAGGTTCTATGTCATGTGTGAGTGTAGGAATCTTGTTTTAGAACAGATGAGCTATATATATAGTCCTCCAACACCTACATGCTAAAAATCTAGGAGAAACATGTACTGGAACAAATATTTAGAGTTGCCATGAGTGTGTGATGCTAGTGATGATATAATATCTCCATTGTGCCCGACATCAGGAGGATGAGTATGAGGCTAGAGTCGGAGCTCGCTTCCCCATCAAGTGGACAGCACCCGAGGCCGCCAACTACAACAGGTTCACCATCAAGTCTGACGTCTGGTCCTTCGGCATCCTGCTCACTGAGATTGTCACATACGGACGGGTGCCTTATCCAGGTATGGCATTGTGCATGATTTTATAGATTTACTCAGTTTGATAATTAGCTATTGGGCTTGCATTTTTTATTGAACATAACTTTATTATTATCAATTCGAGACAAAATACCTAAAGACATTTTGAATCAATCTGCAATGGTTTCAAACTACAGATGTGTTTGTGTCAAAGTTGTAGGTGCCTAAGTAAATACTTTGACTTATCCGATGTTTGACACAACCAAAAAATGATGAATTTAGAAGGAATAGCTAAGGATCAGATTTTTACTTTGAAACTGATGTTTGACTGACTGTGTACATGCCTCCAGAGACTTAACTAGGCTCTTGTTTTCTGTGTATATTCTGAGACAGCTATGCTGATATAAAGTAATAATATTTGTTAATGCGTAATTCATACAAAAATATGGCAGTCCATGAAAGAAAATCACAAAGATTAAATGTTCACAAAGAGTGTCTTTATTTAGCTTTACATCATGTTGTGTATTGACCATTATGAAATCGGTTTATAGTGTCTCAACTTGTATCATCGGACATTGTTGAAGTCCAAATTGAAACTAAGTGACAAAATTAACAACCAACTTGAGGAATCAATTTGCTTTGATGTCACGCCCAAAAGATTGTAACAAGATGGTATATGAAATTGATGAAAGTTATGCAGCTGTGGGGGTGGTGGGGTAGCCTAGTGGTTAAAGCGTCCACTCGTCACGCTGAAGGGTTTGATTCCCCACATGGATACAATGTGTGAAGCCCATTCCTGGTGTTCCCAGCTGTGATATTGCTGGAATATTGCTACAAGCAGCATACAACTATACTCTCTCACTCACTTATGCAACCATACTCACTCACTCACTTATGCAGCTGTGTAAAGGGTTCAGCGAAAAATCAATCAAGAGTGACTGTGTGAGAGAATTATTGTTCAAGAGTTAACTCATATTGAAAATCCAGGTCCTTACATGGGGACAGTATGTGAAGCATAAGCTTATTGTACCTCACCAAGATGTTAGGCATTAGTAACATATAAGCATGGAAGAGTCAGTAGAATATTGGGCAAACAGGCAGACCTAGCAAATTTAATTCAAGTCATCACCACCTTGAACACCAAAGTTAAAGTTTATGATGTTTTGCTGTCTAACATGTTCTAAGACAAATATCTAAGACAAAGTAATCTTTACTCGAGCATTTTTGCTGATAAAGTTGTATGTTTTTCAGGAATGACAAATGCCGAGGTACTGCACCAGGTGGAACATGGCTACCGCATGCCCTGCCCACCTGGCTGCCCCAAGACATTGTACGATATCATGCTGGAGTGCTGGAGGAAGGACGAGCTCGAACGACCCACTTTCGAAACACTGCAGTGGAAACTAGAAGAGTTCTTCCCCCTGTCAGTCGACCCCTCCGAGTACAAGGAGGCATCGTATGTGCGATAAGAACACAAAACATTATGGACCAAACTTAATCTCAAACCCGCTCAAATTTGTACGAGGCTTGACAGGACAATGCATTGTGGGATATATTCACCGTGTTGAAGCTTGTGATGTCAAACTACAGCAAGCAGTGCTCTAAGCAGTGGAAATGATGGATGTTTTAGGTGTGAAACTGGACACAAAGATGGTGTAAGATGTAGTGATATTGTCTGTGAGTTAGTGCAGTGACAAGACATTGTTGACTTTCAATGGTGCTGAGAGAGACGATTGTACAATCAGTACTGTGTGCCGCTACAGACACCCACACTAGCATCGCAGCGGTTTCCCATTGCGAAACCACATTGGTTTCACGTGACGATTCACATTGCAATTCTCATTGCACTGGTTTCCTACTGAACAATTGCAGAGAGAACTGTTTTTAACTTGTTGTGACTTTGTGTCGTTTTGTCTTTTTAATTGAAATTTCTAGAACAAATCAGTAGTAATCACTTGTCAGAGACATACTGAGTGTGCTTTTAGTACTTAAGTGCTTTTACATGACTAGCAAACAGTTGTCGCCCCCCTTCTGATATAGGTCGATCACCTCTATGTCTCTTTCGTCATGTGACCTGTCATGTGACTTTGTCCGGTCTTTCATGTTGTCCTGAGTGATAGTGATAATGGGAAATGCTGGAAAATGAGGGGGCATCTCAAAACTGCAGACATGATGTTTCGATAAACATGATAGTTATTGAGAGTTTCTTTAAGATATGTGTTTTGTTTACTTTAATATTAGAAAACTAAAGCAAATTTGTTATGTAAAAAAGTACTTATGATGAGTAATTGAATTGTTAAGGATAATTTACCAATATGAGTGTCTGCATTTGACATGCCCCCCTCTATTGCTTGTACATAGAGTTGTAAGTTATAGCCCTTTCACGTTGTTGTACTGCACACGATGCATGCAAACTACTGCTCCATTTTACCACAGTCTAGAATTTTCTCCTCAGAATTTGTGCTTCCTGGATATAAACTGTGAACATTAATCCAGATATTGGCAAATATTGCTGAGAGAATTGTAGTCATAATCATGATAAACGCAAACATAATATTTCTATTTTCACTTCTGTCTGCACTATTTTTCTACTGTGAAAACTTTAACTCTACTTATGCATATATATATATATATATATATAAATTCCAACTTGGCATTCTTCTCAACTCTTCTCTACAAAACAATCGATTCAATTTTGATCCAAGCTAAAACTTTTCAACACATCATGTTTTGTCCCCTTGGTTGTCTAAAATATTCTTCAGAATGAAATTCTATTCTTGACGAAAACAGAAATTCGCACAATGAAAATCTCCAGAACATTCCACTTTGAATCTATGCCAGGAAATGTCTCAGTAGAGGGATGCTCTGTCCTTATTCTGTCATGTTCCAAAAGGTGTATTCCTAAATGTATAGAAGCTCTATACCATATACCAATGAAGCTCCCATATGAAACAGTGGGCAGATAACTGCAACAGGGTAAGACTATAATTGTGGAATAACATTTCATACTGACTTTGTACATTTGATGACGTGTCTATGTTTCACTGTCTGTGTTTCCATAATGTCCAAACAACAGCATGTGGTGATGTTCCTGGCAAATTGTGATGTACTTCCTAGTCAATCACCTGCTCTCTAATGAAACAACAGTTCTCTTGACAACATCTACTTGTACCACTAAGACACTTCATGTCAGCTGACCTGGATGCTCAGCTAACATTGGAGCTGAGGCAAGCCTCCTCCTGAAATGGACTTCCGTGAGGAAGGTATATCTCATATTGGGACTTTCCACTTCCCTTGAATAAGTTATGTCTCACTCTGAATGAGGCTTTCCTTGAATAAGGCGTGTCTCATACTGAATGGGGCTTACCTTGAGTAAGGCGTGTCTCATACTGAATGGGTCTTTCCTTGAGTAAGGCATGTCTCATACTGAATGGGTCTTTCCTTGAGTAAGGCATGTCTCATACTGAATGGGTCTTTCCTTGAGTAAGGCATGTCTCATACTGAATGGGTCTTTCCTTGAGTAAGGCATGTCTCATACTGAATGGGTCTTTCCTTGAGTAAGGCATGTCTCATACTGAATGGGTCTTTCCTTGAGTAAGGCATGTCTCATACTGAATGGGTCTTTCCTTGAATAAGGCATGTAAGGCATGTCATACTGAATGGGTCTTTCCTTGAATAAGGCTGATGGGTCTTTCCTTGAATATACTGAATGGATCTTTCCTTGAATAAGGCATGTCTCATGGACTGAATGGGTCTTTCCTTGAATGGGTCTTTCCTTGAGTAGTGTCTCATACTGAATGGGTCTTTCCTTGAGTAAGGCATGTCTCATACTGAATGGATCTTTCCTTGAGTAAGGCATGTCTCATACTGAATGGGTCTTTCCTTGAATAAGGCATGTCTCATACTGAATGGGTCTTTCCTTGAATAAGGCATGTCTCATACTGAATGGGTCTTTCCTTGAATAAGGCATGTCTCATACTGAATGGGTCTTTCCTTGAATAAGGCATGTCTCATACTGAATGGGGCTTTCCTTGAGTAAGGCATGTCTCATACTGAATGGGGCTTTCCTTGAGTAAGGCATGTCTCATACTGAATGGATCTTTCCTTGAGTAATGCGTGTCTCGTACTGAATGGATCTTTCCTTGAGTAAGGGGTATCTCATACTGAATGGGGCTTTCCTTGAATAATGTGCATCTCGCACTGAATGAGGTTTTCCTTGATGGTGAATCTCTGTGATTTGGGCTTTCCTGAAATAGGTTGTCTCATACTGAAAGGGAATTTCTTTGATAAGGCATGTCTCATACTGAATGGGGCTTTCCTTGATTAAGGTGTGCCTTATACCGAAATGGACTTTCTGCACTCAGGAATGTCTTGTATTGAAAACAGAGGTGCATCTAATAGTGAATGAAGCTTTCACTGAATAAGGTGTGTCTCATTTTGAATGGGTCTCTCCTTAGTCGGGTGTCAGGTGTGTGTCTTACACTGAAAGGTGCTCTTGGGAATGTCTTATGAAAATGGATTTCCTTGAGCTGGGTCGTTTGACGCCAATACTGAAAAGGAACTGCTGAACTTTCTGACATGTCCTTTTTCTACACAAAACAAATTAATGTTCCAATGGAATTAAAACAGATTGCTTAAGGTAAATGAAAAATGATGCATACACCCTAAACATTTTCATACATAACTAGTTTGTAGGATCGGTTGCAAAGAAAATAGGACATTATCTTCAGTTTGAGTGGTATCACAGCATAGTCACTACAAGACACAACAGAAGCTGTGGTCGTGTGATGACATGAACATGTACAGTCCCAGTGATGTTAGTAATGTAGATACATACAGACTACATGCAGTATAACCGAGAAGAGTCGGCAGAGACGTCACCAACACTCCGGGAAGCATTGCACACAGCATCACATGGCCTAAGGTGATGTTTGTGCAACAAGATTTACCTCTGTTCCTCATAGACACAAGTTTCCCACCCTGTTTCAGGTCTATACTAACAATCAGAGATAATCAGCTTCTATGGATCAGTGTAACATACAATCTGTCCCTGATTCCTTGTTTATTCTGCATGTGACATTTAGGTTGAATCTTATGTTTCCTGAAGTCCCTGTAACAGTGTTTGTATAGGGATCAGTGCTATTAGTGTTTCAGTTCCAGTCTTGTCAAGAATATTATTAAACAAAATTGTATGACCTACTTGAATTATCTGCACTGGTTCAGAGTTCGATGAGGCAAGTTAAGTTTTCATGGGTCTCGACAAGTGTTTCAAGTTTATTTTAGATTTTGTTGACATTGTTTTATTGTTATTTTTACTGTGGGGTGAGACAATAGATTGTGACTTCACTATGTTGCTGCATTATTCCCTTTCACACTTTTTATACTGATTTCCAAATTAGCAATGTTCAATAATATGGAAGCTAGCCATTCTCGTGACCTATGGAATCAACTGTCTATATGCAAACAGTCTTCTTTTAATCGACTTCTGTACTCGTATACTTTGTGATCTTTTGCACTCTGCTCTCTCCTTGTTTCTTAATAATTAAAAGGTAACCAGTTTTAATAATTTGTTAAAAATGGCACTACTGTCTCTCCTGATGGCATTCTTTTATTGAAAAGTATTTTAAATGTGCGCTGATGTTTCAACAATTTACAAAACTAAATGAATATGATGCTGTCCAGTGCTGGAAGTAAATGGTATTTTCACATTCTCCCCATAACGTTTATAGTGTCATCATCTCGTCCAAGTTCGTATGTGAGGAAAACAAGAGGGATAAAAGAGTTTGTAATTTTCTATGATGTAAATAACTGCAGTATATTATTGTCATATACAAATCCATTTAAGCTTCAACAACCTACTAACAACATAGAGTGGATGTGATTTGTTCGACCTGTATTACAACCAACTACATTAAACTGTTGTCCCAGCAACGAGGGACCGAAATGTATGGGAGATATCTGCAGGAAGTTGGAACAAATCGTGAACTGGCTCTGAGACACCAGTGTGATGGGTGCTGTGCCCACCATGTTTAGCTGTCTGTTTGTTACTGTGTTGATGTAGACGTCCTACTGCGGAACCAAGTGCAATCTCTGATCAGGTACACTGCTGCTGTTGCTGCCGTAGCCACCGATGCTTACTGTGTGGTACGTCAGCCAGCTCTTGTACAGCTTGCTCTTATAGCAAGGTCAGTCTCTTTTTATGTAATAAAATGGCATTATGAACTTCTCGAGTCTTGTGTTCTGTCAGATCTGCATCAGTAGTAAACCAGTGCTGCTGAAAAACGACGCTCAGCAATATTAATACAATGATAATGCGTGTGTAAAGTGTCAGTCTCATATTATTTCGTAAATTATCAAGTCTGGGTCAGGCAACCCAGTGATTGATGTAATGAATGAGCGAGTTTAGTTTTAAGCCGCAATATTCCAGCTATATGGCATCGGTCTGTAAATAATCGAGTCTGGACCAGACAATCCAGTGATCAACAACACGAGCATCGATCTGCGCAATTGGGAACCGATGATGTGTCAACCAAGTCAGCGAGTCTGACCACCCGATGCCGTTAGTCGCATCTACGACAAGCATGGGTTACTGAAGATCAATATTCTAACCCGGTGGGGTCGATGTAATGAATGATCCATGTCATCAGGATAATATGTCAGTAACCAGTAGTCTAATCCTGACCACCCGATCCGTTTAACCTCCTACGAAACTTGTGGGGACAAAACTCCTGGACAGTAACACAGGGAGGCCACAACAGCCTTGCAGTCCTATGTGTGTGTTATGCTGGTTTCATCATAGGGTGGTTGTGGTTTGTGGCTTGTCAGCAACTTTCCCATGTTTGTAGATTTCATCAACATAAATATTTAGGACAGATGGCATAATTTCTGCCTTCCATCCCACATTAAGTTGCCCTAATGTCATACCTGAAGGCAAATACACATACATGTGTACCTAAAAACAAAACAACTCCAATATACAAAACAAACTGACTTCAGTTTATTCACAATTTATTTTATGCTTAAGTTTACAAGAACATAGAATCCTATTACAGTCATTCATTTTATATAACTTTAGGTTCCCTACTATCCATGTGTATCACCAACAGATTATGGTGTACCACCAACAGATTATGGTGTACCACCAACAGATTATGGTGTACCACCAACAGATTATGGTGTACCACTAACAGATTATGGTGTACCACTAACAGATTATGGTGTACCACCAACAGATTATGGTGTACCACCAACAGATTATGGTGTACCACCAACAGATTATGATTATGGTGTACCACCAACAGATTATGGTGTATCACCACCAGATTATGGTGTACCACCAACAGATTATGGTGTACCACTAACAGATTATGGTGTACCACCAACAGATTATGGTGTACCACCAACAGATTATGGTGTACCACCAACAGATTATGGTGTACCACCAACAGATTATGGTGTACCACCAACAGATTAACAGATTATGGTGTGTATACCAACAGATTAACAGATTATGGTGTACCACCAACAGATTATGGTGTACCACCAACAGATTATGGTGTACCACTAACAGATTATGGTGTACCACTAACAGATTATGGTGTACCACTATTGTGGGAACATCAGTACAGCAGCAACAGCAATTACTTCTTTGAGGCATTTTAACACCAAGTACAGAAGCATTTTAGAAGTTGGATAGATGAAGGAAAACCAAGTTCTACAGATAGTCAACTTCTTTATTGCAATCGGTGTGACGATTTGGTGTAGGTACTAACACCGTTATCAAGCTTGCTTGATTAACACATATCACTTGCTTGGTAACGGTGTTAGTACCTACACCGAATCGTCACACCGATTGCAATAAAGAAGTTGATTATCCATAGAACTTGGTTTTCCAGCAACAGCAATGTCTCAAATCTAGCTGTATTGAACATGTAGAATATTTCCTTGTTTATGCTGCCTTTATGATGCAATGACTTCCAACAATGGGATCTCATAAGACAAGGTCATCTGAGCTTTCTTCAGAAATACAGCTGGTTTCCTTCAGTCTCATAATATTTGGTTTCCCAACTGAGAGTCGGTATATAGTTAGACATGGTCGACTAAGCTGTCTTCACAATCAAACTCAGTGACACGTCGCTCGGCAGGCTGAACCAATGCTTATCTGCCTGGTAAGCAAGCACTTGTTTGGGATGAGTCCGATCACCTGAGCTTGATTCCTCGTTTAATACCAGCACGAATACCTGTCATTTCTCCAGCATACCTAGTCATCTCCGTCCTTGGCTCGCGTACCTGAAAATACAAAGTAGTTCATTGTTAAATTTTTGTACAAGAAAACATGAAAAGTGAAGGACCACATACATAATACACTTCAACAGACAAGTCACGGTGATGATAAGGATTCTGCCAACACCCTAAAGTTGCATCATCTTACATAATCGGTTATACCAGTGGATGTCAGGGTCATCAAGAATACAACTTGCTAAAACAATGAACACATGACATATCATAGGAAGTTCACGAGTTTCGTATAATTCGTATGTAATGAGACCGAGTGTGGTATTTTATTTATTACCCACGTCTAACATGTATTAAATTGACAAAATAGCGTATTTTTGTTATTTCTTTGGTTTCAAACCAAAACCGGTTTCATAAAGAGGTTGCGGAAGAGTTTTGTACTGTAGTACAATATTTGCATGACGTCAAACTGTAATGACGTCACGGCCTTGGTAACCGACGTCACAATGCATGTCAGTTGTCATCGCCTCGTACAGCCTCCTACAGTAAACTACTCGTAGCACCCCGTTTCTTGGTTTGTAGTTGCTTCATTCGGCTAGCATCACTGGTAGAAACATTGCGTTTGTTTTTCGACGGATATAATGTCTCAGTTCGACTCACAATTAAACAGCGACACGGCAACGTTGGCAATGTTTACATTCCCACAATGCATTTAAGTTGTAGAATGAATGAATTCACGTGTTTGTTACGAATGACAAAATAGTTACGTCAGAATGTGACCTAACTGAGAGGTCATCGGTTATCCAATCAAATCATTAGAATCTCAGGTCAAGTCGTTACGACACAGGTCAACGCGATACGACACTTGTGTGACGTACGAGATTAGTATGCAACTACCCATACGTTGACCATGTGGGTAATAAATAGGTATATCACTTATGAAATCTTGTCACGATAGGCTGCTTAATAAATACGCTTGGCTATTATATACTGAGGGAAACAATAAAGTGAACACCACTTCATGGCAGTGTTCCTTTATCTATTCTCAGATTTCCACCAACAGTGCTAATCAAAGCTGGTGATGAAAACTGGAAAACAGTAAAAGAAAACTTGAATTTCCCCATGTTTCTTTATTTGTTTCTCTCAGTATATATCAATACTTTAAGGTTAAGATATATTTGGACTGAAGTTCCATGTTTCACAGTTCTGCTTTAGGAGACAAGCCCTCAGTGAGTGAGGGAGTGAGTTTTATGCCGCTTTTAGCAATATTCCAGCAATTTCATGGTGGGGGACACCAAGAATGGGCTTCACACTTTGTACCCATGTGGGGAATCGACCCCGAGCCTTCGGCATGACAACCCAACACTTTAACCACTAGGCTGCCCCACCGCCCTGCCCTCAGTGACTGTGTTCTCCCCATCACTCACCTGTCCCTTCCTGCGAACCTTGGCCTTCTCAAACTTCTTTCTGTGTTTGACCCTCGGGTTCCTCTGTTCTTTCTTCCTCTTGGGGGTCATGCCTTTGTTCTTGGCAATCTGGCAAACACACAATCCAATGCATCATTGTACCAGTGAAATACCCAATAATTTAAGTGAGGTGAAATGGTAATGTTGTGTTCAAGAGTATTTATTGTATATTGACCTGTAACTGGCTGCGTGTGGTAGTGCAGACTTACACCAGTTTCACAATGCTCGCCCTCAGGGATACTAATGTGCAGTTTATCATGCTCTAACAGTTTGTGCTGACATCAACACATCTGTCCTTATTTTATCCCCTTAATGTTGAGTGCCTGGCAGAGTAACAAGTACCATCTTTTAAGGGTTTTTAGTATGGAGACAGGAAACCAGTCCACTGACCTCCGACCCTCTGGCAAACAATCTATCTATCCACTACGGCACAGAACATGTTTTTTAACTTAAGGGAAATACCTGACATCATTTCCGTGTGTAAACAGAAATGGCTGACACTTTAAAATGAAAATTTGAAAAATATGTTTCCAAACATTTGATAAAGGATACTTACAATCACTTAGATCAATGCATTATCCTAAAGTAGTTGATTAATCATGATGAAAGTAATTTCTGACAGGTAAGAAACTTCCCAGTAACTGCCCTGATGATGTTGCTACATCAACTGTTTCTTGCTTCTCTATGGTGTACCAGGACCGCCTCCGTAGTGTAGTGGTAAGAGCGTCCGCCCGGAGAGAGCGGAATATCGTGGGTTCGATCCCGACCAGCGTCATGCCAAAAGACGTTAAAATATGGTACTTGTTGGTCCCTGTCTGGCGCTCGGCATTAATAGGTAGAATAAGGACTGGTCGGCTCGGAGTCAGTATAATGTGTCTGAGTGGGGTATTCATGCTTCACTGCGGCATGGTATCTCAGTGGGCTAGCACTATAAAACCAGCTTAAGTCTGGGCTAGTACAAGCAGCCGCACATACACATACACACGCATGCACGTCGTCATATGAGCGAAATATTCTCAGTCACGACGTTAAACCCAATTTCACCTCACCTCACCTATGGTGTACATACCTGGTATGTTATTGCTCTCTTCCCCTCTTCCTCCTCCTCATTGTCATGCTCTGCTTGCTCCATGCCACCTTCCTCCATCCTGAACAGACATAACATTCACAGAAATATACAGAAATATACAACACTGCTTTGGAAGGTTCAGTTTGGCCTGGTGGACCAAGGTGTCCCTAGGATCTGCTGATCTGAGTTTGATTCCTGGATTCACCCTCATTATGATCTTTGTCTGCACTAAATTTGTCCATGTGTTTAATCACAGTTATGAATGTGGATCACTTGTCATTTGTTAACAATGTGAGGTCAAACAAACCTTATCATGCTTATTGTTGTAAATTCTTGTATGGACAAATAAGGGCAATATACACGACTTACTCAGCATCTTTGTCATCATCATCGTCGTCGTCATCATCATCATCATCATCATCATACATGTTGCGACCTTTCTTCATCATACTGTAGTACTCCAATGCATCCTTCTCGGCCTTGGTCTCAAACCTGCCAGTCTGTTTCTTCACCTACAACACCATACAACAGGTGCTTGTTGATGTAGTACTCATTACATCATAAGAAAACAACATGCATGTATTACATGGTCTGATCTTGTCAGTGTGCATACACTGCTCTTAGCTCTCACAATGAACTTTGTCTGCTGTTACCAAAATTATGTGATGTGGTGGTATTTGGAATCAAGGTTGGGGGGTTGAAAATCTTAATTACTGTATTTCAGACTAATCTAAGATGCGTAGATGATCCGGTTACTGAAAGTTAAGACAATAGGTGATGAAATGCATGTACAAGTTAGGGCTGGGAAGAATCCATATTTACTCCCAAGGAAGCCGACTTCTTATTACCGGACCCTACCAAGGTACCCGTTGCATGTCAGGAGCTGGGGAAACACATGTGTTCTTGAGATTTAGGTCAGTTTTACCTTCGCTGGTGGTTCTAGGTCCTTGCCTTTTGTCTTCTCCTTCAGTTTCCTCTTGAGTTTCTCAGCCTTCTTACTGAAATATCAGGAACATTCAGACCACCATAAGTCTCAGGTAGGATGTAAAGCACAATTATAGCTGTGTTTCCCTTCAGTCAGCAATAGACCAGCTATACCTCATCAGTGTATACATAATGTAGATTGGACCATAGAAACAAATGATGGATTTGTGGTGGCGCGTGGTCCTGTGCACAGAGCTCAGGTCACGAATCAGTTGAAGTTAAGCAACGTCGAGCTCGGACAATCCTTGGATGGGTGACCGTGTTTGGCAGCTTGACTCCTGAGAGTTTCTAGGACTTCAGTCCTTCCCCCACAACGAAGCACATGTGATACATGTGGTCTCACCTTAGGCAAGTGAGTTTGTTCAAATTGCCTCTGTTCACCCAGCAGAAAATGGGTACCCGGTTGGATAAAGTAATGTGACTATAACCTTCTAGCGCCTAACAGGCAGCTTGGGTTATGTGGGGTAATAAGAATCAGATTCTGATTAAGCGCCACGAGCAATCACTTGGTGTGTGGAAACGTGCTATAGAAGATGACTTATTATTATTTTTATATTATAAGCAACACCCCACACCATTATAATAATGATAATGAGGGTACTGGCAATACTCCAAACCATAAAGGGGAATGCTCAAAGCACGCACAAACAACACACCATTATTACCCCCGGATAACCCAAACTGCCTGTTAGGGGCTAGATGGTTAATAGTAACATGACTTATCCCAATGGGTAGCCATTTTCTTCTGGGTGAACAGAGGCAATTTTGAACAAACTCACTTGCCTAAGGTGAGACCACATGTATCACATGTGCTTCGTTGTGGGGCAGGACTGAAGTCCAAGAAACTCTCAAGAGTCAAGCTGCCAAACACAGTCACCCATCCAAGGACGCTCCGTGCTCAGCGTTGCTTAACTTCAACTGATTTGTGACCTGCACAGGACCACACACCACCACGCGTTTGACCAAGCAATTCAGCATAGCCAGTAATAGCTCCAAGTTAATAGCATATGTTATAATGACCAGCATCCCAAGTAGTGGTATCAACTCACATGACCCCTGCTGTTTGTTCAGGGGGAGGTGTGAGGTCCACGTCTTCCCCATTCTTCAGTCGGTCCAGAATATCGTCAATCTCAGGCTTGAGCTTGGAGTCCAGAGGCTCTAACTGTTTCATCAGCTGTGAACAGGACAAGAAATAAGTGGAATTTCCCAAGTGAAGTGTCAGGCCGCCTACCAAACCCTAGAGGCAAGGTGCTGATAAACTTACAATCATAATCAGGGAGAAACTAGGATTCAATTTGATTTCTAGGAATAAGGGTGCAACTCTGCACAGCAAACTGTGATGCTTTGAACAGCTGGGTCACCCTACCCTTCATCAGAAGATAATACTAGGCTTATGAGACTGAGATTGTGTATGTGCTATGTACTGCACCAGTCTCCTTGTATCAGGGTGCAACTGGGCCTGTACAAGAGAGATTGTGTAGGTGCTATATACTACACCAGTCTCCTTGTATCAGGGTGCAACTGGGCCTGTACAAGAGAGATTGTGTAGGTGCTATATACTACACCAGACTCAGGGTGCAACTGGGCCAGTACAAGAGAGATTGTGTAGGTGCTATATACTACACCAGTCTTCTTGTATCAGGGTGCAACTGGGCCTGTACAAGAGAGATTGTGTAGGTGCTATATACTGCACCAGACTCAGGGTGCAACTGGGCCAGTACAAGAGAGATGTTCAGTCACTCCCTGTAATTCACTAGTCTCCTGATGACAATACAGAAGTGGGCTTATTCAAGATAATAAATAACTAACGTTTCTGTACTGCACCAGTCTCTTGACGACGGGGTGGTTCTCGGCTGCGATGTGCTTTGCCTTCAGCATGAGGTAGAAGCTCACATTGATACAGTAACTGCAACATACATGATGAACAAAAATCCAATCACTATCACATTCAGGATGACATCATATTCAAGTATTAGGCCAAAGGTTAATTGTTTGTTGTGTAACTGCAAACTCAGCACAATTCAAACTATATGATGGCCTGTAAATTAAATCATATACAAACCGTGAATAATGACTGACTGACTGACTGACTTAGGTTTTACGCTGCTTTTAGCAATATTCCAGCAACATCATGGCGGGGAACACCAGAAATGGGCTTCACACATTGTACCCATGTTGGGATTCGAACCCGGGTCTTCGGCGTGACGAGCCAACGCTTTAACCACTAGGCTACCACAACGCCCCCTGTGAATAATGATATTGATATGTTGAGCAACCATTAACATCCTAGGGGTATGTGACTAGACCACAAACCAAATCACTGGATCCACAAGCATGATTACGTCGCCTCATACAATCAGTATAGGTTGCTGTTAAGTAACTACAACCAGATATCCTCTTGGTGAGGAAGGCCAAAGGTGTCAAGCTGGGCCTATAATAATTTATTGACTATTGTGATTTTTCATTCTGTCTTAGATCTGCATTTTAAACACATCTCTCCTTGTTCCTACTCATCAGCTTTTTACTGAGGGACACTTACTTCATATTGAGGTGAAATCTTGTCCTGACGTAATTAGCAGCACTGCCATGAACTTTGCCTTCATTGACAAGGGTCAGCAATGGTTGGAAAATGTCCTTGACTTCTGTCATCTGAAGTCAGTAAAAGGGAACAATGATAATCCAGTTAAACAAGAGTCATCAGAAGATGACATATCCCCCCAGCCCCCACATCTTTGAAAGAACAAATCATCTGACAGTTACTTAAAGTCCAGCTTGATTTTAGACTAAGTGCAAATCATTTCCATGGAAACCGAGAAAATAATAAATCACAAATATCTGCAAATAGCAAAAGGCATCACTTCAATATCTGCCTCACATATCTGCCAAGTTTTGCTGAAAGATATAGAGAGGTTTTTGAGTTGTGCTCCGGAAACGAAGCCCACCCCTCACTTTTGGGATTAAGTCCGAATCGTTTCCATGGAAACCGGGAAAAATAAAAATGCCAAAAATCTGCAAATAGCAAAAGGCACAACTTTAGGATCTGTTTGATATATCTATCAAGTTTTGTTGAAAAATATTATACGGTTTTTGAGTTGTGCTCCGGAAACGAAAGCAATCCTTACTTTTTGAGACTAAGTCCAAAATGTTTCCATGGAAACCGGGAAAAATAAAAATGCCAAAAATCGGCAAATAGCAAAAGGCACCACTTAAGGTTCTGTTTCATACATCTACCAAGTTTTGTTGAAAAATATTGAACGGTTCTTGAGTTATGCTCCGGAAACGAAGCCCACCCCTCACTTTTGGGACTAAGTCCGAATCATTTCCATGGAAACCGGGAAAAATAAAAATGCCAAAAATCTGCAAATAGCAAAAGGCACCACTTAAGGTTCTGTTTGATATATCTACCAAGTCTTGTTGAAAAATATTGAACGGTTCTTGAGTTATGCTCTGGAAACGAAGCCCACCCCTCACTTTTGGGACTAAGTCCGAATCGTTTCCATTAGGAAACCGGAAAAATAAAAATGCCAAAATCTGCAAATAGCAAAAGGCACCACTTAAGGTTCTGTTTGATATATCTACCAAGTCTTGTTGAAAAATATTGAACGGTTCTTGAGTTATGCTCTGGAAACGAAGCCCACCCTCACTTTTTGGACTAAGTCCTAATCGCTTCCATGGAAACCGGAAAAATAAAATGCCAAAAATCTGCAAATAGCAAAAGGCACAACTTTAGGATCTGTTTGATATATCTACCAAGTTTTGTTGAAAAATATTGAATGGTTCTTGAGTTATGCTCCGAAACGAAAGCAATTCTTACTTTTGAGACTAAGTTCAAAATGTTTCCATGGAAACCGGAAAAATAAAAAAAATGCCAAAAATCTGCAAATAGCAAAAGGCACCACTTTAGGATCTGTTTCATACATCTACCAAGTTTTGTTGAAAAATATTGAACGGTTCTTGAGTTATGCTCCGAAACTAAGCCCACCCTCACTTTTGGGACTAAGTCCAAATCGTTTCCATGGAAACCGGAAAAATAAAAATGCCAAAAATCTGTGAAATGCAAAAGGCACCACTTTAGGATCTGTTTGATATATCTACCAAGTTTTGTTGAAAAATACTGAACGGTTCTTGAGTTATGCTCCGGAAACGAAGCCCACCCTTCTTTAAGACTAAGTCCAAAACGTTTCCATGGAAACCGCGAAAAATAAAAATGACAATTATCTGTAAATAGCAAAAGGCACCACCTTAGGTTATTTTTGACATATCTACCAATTTTGGTTAAAAAATATCGAACGGTCTTTGAGTTATGGTCCGGAAACAAAATGATTACGGACGGACGGACGGACGGACGGACGGACAGACGGACGAGGCGACGACTATATCCCACCGCATTATATGCCGGTGGGATAAAAAGCCTCATCCTTCTCTAGATAAGTGTGATCAAATACGCTTCAAACTTGAGCCCTCATTGCCTTTAAAAGTAGCCACAACACAGCCATAGTACAACCATGAGTGAGTGAGTGACTTTCGTTTTATGCCGCTTTTAGCAATAATCCAGCAATATCACGGCGAGGGACACCAGAAATGGGCTTCACACATTGTACCCATGTAGGGAATCGAACCCGGGTCTTCAGCGTGACGAGCAACGCTTTAACAACTAGGCTGCCCCAGTACAACCATGACAACATTACAATGAATTGTTCAACATGGCACATCACTGTACACCACTGCAAACACTGTCTCTGAACTGCACTCTGAACTTGTCTCAGTTGTGGACACCACTGCACATGTCTTAGTACTTGACAACATTGCCCACCTTGCAGATGTAGTCCTCAATGAGTGTCAACAGTTCTGGAGATTCTTTCTTCAGGAGCTGCAGGAGGACATAACACAAAGAAAATGAATACAACTGTACACCTCACATCTTCAACAGGACACCATGGTTCATTGCAACAACATTTCCTTAAACAAAGTTTTCATCTGAAACATCATAACACCTCAATGTGGCTCAAATAGCTGTAAATATTTGAGGAAAAATTAACAACTTCCAAGATGATGACACAGAATAGTTCCACATCAGTCAGTTAAGATGGCTCATTTAACCTACCTCCAACTTTTCCCTTCTAGAGAGTTTGGACAAATCTTTCACAACCTTGCCCTCCTCTTTCACTTCCTTCTTCTTTGCTGGCTGAATGGACAAAAATATTGAGCCTTCAAACAACTAATAGTGACATATGGATGATGTTAAGAAATGATTTTGTCTGTTTGTTTTTGTTTAATGCCGCACTCAGCAATATTCCAGCTACATGACGGCAGTCTGTAAATAATCAAATCTGGACCAGACAATCAAGTGATCAACAGCATTGATCATTGATCTATGCAATTGGGATATAATGACACGTGTCCACCAAATCAGCAAGCCTGACCACCCGATCCCGTTAGTCACCTCTTATGACAAGCATGGTTTGCTGAAGATCAATTCTAACCTGGATCTTCATGTGTATAGATGTGATGGTACAGCTGCATCCAGACTACTATCAATAAACTGCAACACCTTACCTTGACTGTGAAGGCGTCGAGTCCAAAGTCCTGGTCACACATCTCCTCCGCCATCTTCCTCTGAAGAGCCAGAGCCTCCTTCTCTTCCATAGCAGCATTTCCTGTCTCCTCGTCCGACCCCGAAAAATCTGGCAACAATCACGAGACATTACTCACCAGAACATTCAGGTTACATGAAGTTTTATGTTCATGAATCGGTAAATCATAAGCAGTTGCTCAACACAAACACAATAACAAGATTGATGGGATTACACCTCAACACCTGACCACTGGATTTCACCCCAACACCTGACCACTGGATTACACCCCAACACCCAACCACTGGATTACACCCCAACACCCAACCACTGGATTACACCCCAACACCTGACCACTGGATTACACCCCAACACCTGACCACTGGATTTCACCCCAACACCTGACCACTGGATTACACCCCAACACCCAACCACTGGATTACACCCCAACACCTGACCACTGGATTTCACCCCAACACCCAACCACTGGATAACACCCCAACACCTGACCACTGGATTACACCCCAACACCCAACCACTGGATTACACCCCAACACCCAACCACTGGATTACACCCCAACACCCAACCACTGGATTACACCCCAACACCTGACCACTGGATTACACCCCAACACCTGACCACTGGATTACACCCCAACACCTGACCACTGGATTACACCCCAACACCTGACCACTGGATTACACCCCAACACCTGACCACTGGATTACACCCCAACACCCAACCACTGGATTACACCCCAACACCTGACCACTGGATTAAACCACTGGATTACCCCACTGGATTATTACACCCCAACACCCAACCACTGGATTACACCCCAACACCTGACCACTGGATTAAACCCCAACACCCGACCACTGGATTACACTTAAACACTTGACCACTGGATTACACCCCAACACCTGACCACTGGATTACACCCTAACACCTGACCACTGGATTACACCCCAACACCTGACCACTGGATTACACCCCAACACCTGTCCACTGGAATACACCCCAACACCTGACCACTGGATTACACCTAAACACTTGACCACTGGATTACACCCCAACACCTGACCACTGGATTAACCCCAACACCCAACCACTGGATTACACCTAAACACTGGATTACACCCCAACACCTGACCACTGGATAACACCCCAACACCCAACCACTGGATTACACCCCAACACCTGACCACGAGATTACATCCCAACACCTGACCACTGGATTACACCCCAACACCTGACCACTGGATTACACCTCAACACCTGACCACTGGATTACACCCCAACACCCGACCAATACCCATGACAAACTTACCAAACTTGTTATCAATAATGTCAGCATGGTAGAACCTGTTCCGCTTCGCTCCCCACGTCTTGCTGTCTGGCAGACCTGTCAACAATACACACACATCAAGATACACTGATTATAATGCAATTACACCTTCATAATAGATGGGGCCAAAATAACTAAAAACATGAAATTTTTAGAGTAAAATTAATATTTTTATACTTATCCTGACTCATGTTTATTTGCTTGTCTTCTTCTTCTGGCGAACCTAGTGGAACACTTGTATCTCCCAATTGAAGTTCCCTTCAATAAAAAATCACTCATTAGTACTGACCACGAGTTACCTCCCTTCCACAAGTGGGGGAAGGAGGGCACCACCCAAGCCCATGTGCCTCTCACTCTCCTCATATACTGAGCCCAACACCTGAATTTCCAGGGAAATCCAAAGTGTTAAGTGGGGAGACGGAGGAGGCTTACCTCATGAGTCAGGATAAGTATAAAAATATTAATTTTACTCTAAAAATTTCATATTTTTTCCTTATCCTGACTCATGTTTATTTGTTTGTAGAATCCTCACGGAATAGGAGGTGGGATTATATATACTTTGGATTTTACTAATTAGTGATTTGAACTGAGATAATTGTAATAACCCTAAGGGATAGTTTAGGCATGAACTGAATTCCTGCTATAGAACTTAAAGTAGCCATAGAGCTTATTATACTGCATATATAATAAAAGTATAACAGAACATTTATTAAGCTAAAGCTATTAATGTGATACTAAACCGTTGATAGTTTATAATGAATACTTTTATAGAACCAAAGTAGTAACCAATATATGTAAGTTATAGAGAATTGTGCTTAAGGTATAACTTTAAGCTGTATAATAGTAACCAACATGAGAGTTTGTTAACTAATGTTAAAATGAACATATGACTGAGCTTAAGGATTGAAACTTAAGCTGAACATATATATAATAGTAGAACTCCTAAGAGTTGTAGGCATATATATAGTATGATTATAGAACTGTGCTTAAGATATAATTAACTTAAGCAACCTAAATAGCCAAAACAACTCCGTAGAGTTTGTTAGCTATTACATTTTATAATGTAACCATAATGCTTAAAATATGATGAAACTTAAAGGTCACATGCAACCAAAAAATCAAACATAACTAAAACACAATTATCACTTCTTCATGACATATAATATGCATTGCTGATTATGAAAAAACAAATAAACAAAATTATAAGCGTATAATCGCAAATCAAAAGTGCAATATTTTGTACTTGGGTTTACCTCCCTCGAAACGAAGCAGCCGGGATACCGAACCCAGTCAGAGCGGGTGGGTGTGCACTCAAGTGTAGGGGCTGGTTCATTTGCAGATGCCGCCTTCACGGCTAATTGTGTGTGTTTATATAGAGATGTTGGGTTTTGTAAGTACATGCTCATTTTTTGTGTATAACATTTTGCAATCAACAGACATCATTACATGTCATGTGTTCAAGTATCACACCTGCCTGTCTGTGTAATTACATAATGTGACAGAGACTGAACTTGGGCCATAAAACAATGCGTTATGTTTATGGTGTATAGCCTGATTGGTGTTAAGTTCAAATTGCATGTGGTCAGTGATCGCAGTTGTGTATTGAATATTGTCATTAGCAGACAGGCAGGCAGACACACAGGTGTCAATAAAACAAGACATTGAGTTTTGTCTGTGACAGCGACATATCTATATCACAGTTAGAAATTGTGTCAATGCTAAATAATGACATTGCTTTTAAGTATCGAACTGAGAAAGTGACTCGGTAAGAAGAACGTGTGGTGAAATAGACAAATGAAATTATATAAACAGTTTATTTACTGTCATTACATATAAAAAGCTCGCGCCTGTGAGATATCAACAAACATTATGAAAAGCTCACACACCAAGCCTTCACCGAGGGTATTCACCAGACAGCCCGCTTCCAAGTTATGCGAACCTATTTCACTGAGCACGCAAGTGAGCTTGTTCCCAGCTGTTGAAACTGTTATTCCCCAGAAAAGTCTGGGAAAATAAGTGAAACGCTTGAACTCCGATTTCGCGTTTTTTTCATCATCGTTATTTTTCAACTTTATAAGTTGAATTTGCATTTTTGACGCTTTGTTTCGGTAAGTCCATACCGAAAGGTATCAGAATCTGCAAAGTTGTGTTTTACGTTGCATGTGACCTTTAAGCTAAGTATATGATAGTAAAAACTCTTTAGAGTCTGTTAGCTAATATACTTATATGATATAAACACGGTACTGAGCTTTAAGATATGAATAAACTTAAGCTACATATATAATAGCAAAAACTCCGTAGAGTTTGTTAGCTAATACATGTTATAATGTAACCATAATGCTTAAGATATGATGAAACTTAAGCTACATATATAATAGCAAAAAACTCCGTAGAGTTTGTTAGCTAATATATTTTTATGATATGAGTATAGTACTGTGTTTAAGATATAATGAACTTAAGCTACATATATAATAGCAAAAACAAACTCTGTAGAGTTTGTTAGCTAATACATTTATAATGTAACCATAGTACTGAGCTTAAGATATGATTAACTTAAGCTAAATATATAATAACAAACTCCGTAGAGTTGTTAGCTTATATATTGTATGATATAATAACCATAGTACTGAGCTTAAGATAATAAAAGAACTTAAGCAAAATATATATAGCATGTAGCTATTTAGTACTGTTATAAGATAAGTAAAAATCTGTAAGATTGACTTATCTTCTCCGAGGAACTGTCAACTGTTGTGCGAGGACCATGGGACCGAATTGGTGGCTACCTGAGACGTCCTCGGTGGTGATATCTCTCAGATAGTGGTTGGCAAACACCATATCGGATCTCCAGAAATAACCCTCCATATTTCAATAGCATTGTATATGTTAGCGCTCTAATATCATGAGGATTAGAAGCTCATGGAGGGTCGATCCTGCAGTCTTGTAGGCACGTAGTATGACAGTTCTGATCCAAAAGGAGATAGTACGTGAGACTTCCGTCTGCGTAGCTTGATAGAGGAAATAATCTCTTGCATTTTTCCCTCCTGTTTGGCTCGGTGGAGATATATTTTCAGTGCTCTTACTGGCCATCGTGATAGATTCATCGTATCATGGGGTCCAAGTATATCATCAAAGCGTGTTCATAAACCTCACTTGTGAGGTGTTGGAGCACTATATTCAGATCCCAAGTTGGAGCGTGAAACTTCCGTTTTAATCCTCCAATCGGAAAGCTCGTAGCAAGGCGAGTAACTGGGTTAGAACTTGACGCCCGTTCTCAGTTATGATAGAGCTATTGCTGCAAGATAGGTGGACAAGTTGAGCCTTATAAAATCTTAGTCTGACGTAGATAACATAAGTAGTCCGCCACTTGAGGATGAGTAGCATATCTAGCTGTAAATCCTTCCTTTGCAGCATAATTGACAACACTGTGCCATTTGTCATCGTGATAAGTTGCCAGTTGAGTTACGAGGGCAAGTTAGACTGCTTTGCCGCCTGGCTGAAAAAACTTGTTATTCAGACACGCCTTGATACAATCCATAATGTGAAGTTGGAATATATCTGGCTTTCCGCGCGCTTTGTTTGGTGTGCGGATGTATTAACAGATTCGAGCACTCTGTAAGGTGTAGTATTGGTTGTCCGATTTCTTGAATAAGAGTTGGAAACCACTTCCTCGCTGGTCAGTAGGCCATGACCAAAAACCAGATGGAGGCTCTGCTTTAGACTGATTTAGAGTAAACTTGTGAGATTAACGCTGGTGGCGGAAAAGCCGCACTGCCGCTGAGACCTTCCCACGATATGCTTAGTGCGTCTGTTGCCAATGCTAGTGGGTCTGGAACTGGCGATACGAATGTTGTCAGTTGTTTGTTGAATCGAATGGTAAATAGGTCTATTAGTGTAGTTCCTATTTCCTTGATAATTTGAGTGAATATATCTGTATGGAGCATTTAATTCTGTCGGCGATGGTATGTGTGGCCGAGAGAGAGCGTCTGCTATCACATTCTTTGCTCCTGGAATGTGATATGCTCTGACATGTATGTTGAGATTGTTGATTAAATCGAACAATTGAAAAAGAGTCGATATGTTCGGGGACCTGGTTGAGCTTAGTTTGTTCACATAAAACGCCACTGTCGAATTGACTGTGTGAATCATCCACTGGGTATACTGTAGTAAGTTGCTCCAGTGTATTAAGGCGTTTATTACTGCTTGCATCTCTAGCAGATTTATGTGTAATTGCTCTCTTGATTGCTCATAGCCCTGATGCCGTCCTGTTGGCAAGATGGGCTCCCCAACCTTATAGTGACACATCTACGTAGAGAAGTGTTATCGATTCCAGCTCTATTAACGAGACGCCTATTCAAACATTCGATCTCTTGGTGCATCATAGTAGATGAGGTTTGACCTGAACCGATGATTGAACGGTAGAGATTCGTCTAGATGCGAATTGTTGATGACTTGTAACGGATGTAATTGTTGTCTGCCTCTGTCTGTCATGTCTTGAGCTGAGCTGAAGTGCGTAACCCCAACAGACTCTGTCACTGTCGTGTGGTAGCGGAGATAGTAAGGCTTGTGGAAATGACTGTTGGATCTTGATCCATGGTCCTCCGGGTACAATTATAAGATTCTGCGCCGCTACAAATCAAAACCTAGAATAGCAGATCTTGGCGAAGGTTCTAGGTCCAACTTAAGTAGGCTTTACTAACCATCTAGTTGTGTTAGTAGCTTGATGATGAATTCAAGTGTAGTCTGAGACGCTATGGATTTGAATCCATTTGTATCCCGTCCGTCGAGGTAAATTCGCCATGCGGTGCTTGACGATGTAGATGCATAACCAGGGGTGACTGCCATCGCTGAACTTATGTAAAAATCGCCTGACTGCCGTGTCCTCGTCCTTACTTGACAGGGGAGGTCTCTAACCTCAAGAAGGCAGCCCAATCATGAAGGTTTAGATTAGCTGGACTGTAAGGAGGCTTGCTCGCTTCACTGATATATTGTTGTCACTTGCAACCCATATGTGTTGAACTGTGAACTATGATCGACCTCTCGTGAGGGCGTTGTCCATCTCTGTCCAATCAGAACAAGGCATTTTGATTCTGTAGAGTACCCGCCTGTGACGCCACCGTGTATCAGGAAAGGAACCTTGTATAATATAGTGCCGTCGTTGATATTAGAACAATCGTCGGTCTTCACCGTAACTTCCGAAGTTACCCGAGTGACCACGTGTTTCGAGGGTTGATGGTAAACGCCAGCTGAAACCTCCGCGAAATACCTCGCTCTGTAATATTAATGCTGGATAAGTTATTTTCCAGGCTGTCGAAAGTAACTTCAGTCTTGAAGATAATTCCGACTTCCTTATATAAGGTTCAATAACCTTGCAAGTTGTCAGCTTGTAGACTGTTAAAGCTGAACTTGTTGTACATATTACTTCTGAGGAAATCGCTGACGATTATGAGTTTTACTTTCGCCCGTAACAAGACTGCTGTTCAATTTCGTTTTGAATTGTCTGCAGATCTGCGTAATGGTCACGCATGTAGATAATCGTATCGTAGTAGGTAGTCGGCTTGAAGATCCCTAATTAGGCTCTTCGTCCGTTGATAAATTAATACAGCGACGCTTGTGTGTTGTAAATAGCCTGTGCAATTGTCTTCGCGTGAGGCTTGTAGACGGCATATGGCTTACAGTTGATAAACAACTCATGTGATGTCTTGAACGGACTGACGAAAGTGGCTATATATGACGAAAGTGGCTAGTATATGGAGACCTTGGAGGAGACTTCCTCGGCTTAACTGGGACTCTCGCCAAGATCTCGGCAACGCTTCTAGATCTTCTGGGTGAAGTAGACTTGGAGCCACTTAGCCTTCGCGACCTTCGCGAAAGTATCGAGTCAGAGTCCGATCAATATATGAGCGCTTGCTTCGCGAACGACCTCTGTGTTCTACAGGGTGTGGGCTCGGCGAAGCGCTCCTTCTCCGCGATGTCCCTCTCAACTGGTGAGGCTGTAGCTCCTTCGCGGAGGCGGCCTGGGACTTCCTTAGCGAAGTGTCTAGAGTCGGATCTTAATGATACCATCGTCTTCCTCTGACGTATGGTCGTATGTCGGAGACCTCGATCTGTAAGAAGATCTATGTGAGGACTGAGGAGAACGGACTGACGATTGGCTAGTGTATGTAGACCTTGGAGAAGACATCCTTCGCGGAAACTGTGGGCTTCGAGAACGGTGATGGCTTCGCCGACGCTCTGGGCTTCTCGAACGTTGAGGGCTGCGCGAACGTCTTCTAGGCGTTGTAGAACCACTTAGCCTTCGCGTCTTGCGCGAATGTCTGGAGTCAGTGTCCGATCCGACATATGAGTGCTTGCTTTGCGTAACGCCTTCTTCAGACATGACAAGGTGCGCATAGGCGGCACTCCTTCTCCGCTGGCCTCTTGCAAAGGGTCAGACTCTAGCTCCTTCCCGGAGGCGCCTGGGATACCTTATGCAAAGAGCTCACCCGCAGGGTTGCCTCTCGCTGGAGGCGCCTATGGGCTCAGGGGCTCTACGCGAAGTCAAGGCGGCTCTGGGGCCCTGTATGACTTAGTATGGGGTGGGCTCTGGGGCCCATGGCTCTGAGGCCTCTGTAAGCCGTGAACGGTCTTCCATCAGCCTCATGATTTGGTTGACCAGGTCGCCTGGGATGGTCTGCGCTGGCGCTGAGGGTGTCCTCTCTGTGATAGTGACGGACCCTCAGTTATAATCTCCGCGTCAGCGTAGGGCATCTCTGATTGCATGTTGATCTGCGCTGAAGTGACGGTAGCCGCATTGGTCACTTCTTATGACATACATCTGGAATGATAAACGAAATGTCATCATCATATAAACATAATTCTGAATATCAGAAGCAAAGTTTTTTTTAGTAGTCTTCGTGGATTTCCCTTTGACGCAGGCTGTAGACCTGGGGCTCGGAGCATACGCTGAGACGACGGGAAGTTCTTCTAGTTTTATACTGTGATGAAGGAACGCCCTGGGAAGCAGGTCGCTTCTAGATATAGCGGACTGCGCCCCACGCTTATCCCCGAAGGTAACTCAGGATATATCTGACTCGATCTATTAGCCATGACTGAAGATTGTTTCCGAGATTTATCTGCCTTCCGCCTCAAAACGGAACATAAATATTTATCAAAGGCAGAAATTGGTAAATTAATATATAATTTACAACGAAACAATAGAACATGGAGTAATGCAACTAGGGCATTTTAAATGTGGATCGGTAGCAGAGTAACGTAATTTACAAACAGTGCAGATTTTATTAACGCAAACTGTTGAGCAACACGGGCGAACCGTGAATCAAGCAGCAGAAACACTAATAATTATCAATGCATGTTGAATAATGATACTAGTTACACCTCTATAGATGAATATAAGAGGTAACAAACTAAATATAAATAAAGGATATAGTGTGCAGGGAGACACAGGTGCTCTCACGCCTTGCTCACTGGGCTAAGAAGGAGAGAGTGAGGCACATGGGTTCAGGTGGCTCTCGCTCCCCGCTTTGTGGAAGGGAGGTAACTCGTGGTCAGTACTAATGAGTGATTTTTATTGAAGGGAACTTCAATTGGGAGATACAAGTGTTCCACTAGGTTCGCCAGAAGAAGAAGACAAGCAAATAAACATGAGTCAGGATAAGGAAAAATGTTTAGTTTTACACCGCACTCAGCAATATTCCAGCTATATGGCGGCAGGTCTGTAAATAATCGAGTCTGAAAAAGACAATCCAGTGATCAACAGCATGAGCATCAGTCTGCTCAATTGGGAACCGATGACATGTGTCAACCAAGCCAGAGAGCCTGACCACCTGATCCAGTTAGTCGCCTTTTACGACAAGCATGGGTTACTGAAGATTCATTCTAACCCGGACCTTCACGGGGGGGTAAGACAAGAAATAATATCCCTATCAACATTTGAGTAGCATGTGGTGGTGGTCGTGCTTGAGAATATTTCACTCATATGATAACGTGCATGCGTGTGTATGTGTATGTGCGGCTGCTTGTACTAGCCCAGACTTAAGCTGGTTTTATAGTGCTAGCCCACTGAGATACCATGCCGCAGTGAAGCATGAATACCCCACTCAGACACATTATACTGACTCCGAGCCGACCAGTCCTTATTGTACCTATTAATGCCGAGCGCCAGACAGGGACCAACAAGTACCATATTTTAACGTCTTTTGGTATGACGCGGTCGGGGATCGAACCCGCGACCTTCCGCACTCCGGGCGGACTCTCTAACCACTACACCACGGAAGCGGTCTTGAGTAGCATGTAACATGTTATATTTGGGATTACACTTTCATAGTAAAGTACAGATTCTAGTACTTTTGTACCCTCAGAGTCAGGCACCTAGTCACCAGCACACTAAGGCAGCCGTCTAACCTGCTCAGATGCTGCGACTTCGGTCCATAATAACATTTGTAGATTTACTTGACTATCAATACAAAATTCACTGGCCACCAGGACCACTGCAAACATATCATTTAGTGGTCCTGATGATATTTTACTAGTCAAGGATCACAGGACCAGTGTAAAGTTTGTACACTGCTCATCAGTCTCTTTTCTATATTTACACACATTTTCCTTAATTATACTATGTCAGATAGAATCAAACTTTGTTATGGTGTCATCAATGTGATAAACCATCCTATAAACCTGAGATAAACTCAAGATACAATAAATATGCAAATTAAGGCAACTTCTTTTCGTTCGCTTGTAACATCCATGTAAAATTTACTTCTGTACAAGCTATTGCGAAAATTTACCTACATCATTAGCCTGGGTGAGTGAGTGAGTTAAGTTTTACGCCGCACTCAGCAATATTCCAGCTATATGGCTGCGGTCTGTAAATAATCGAGTCTGGACCAGACAATCCAGTGATCAACAGCATGAGCATCAATCTGCGCAACTGAGAACCGATGACATGTGTCAACCAAGTCAGAGAGCCTGACCACCTGATCCGTTAATTAAGCCTCTTCACGACAAGCATGGGTTACTGAAGATTCATTCTAACCCGGACCTTCACGGGGGTAAGACAAGAAATAATATCCCTATCAACATTTGAGTAGCATGTGGTGGTGGTGGTTTCTTGAGAATATTTCACTCATATAGCGTGCATCGCGTGTGTATGTGTATGTCGCGGCTGCTTGTACTAGCCCAGACTTAAGCTGGTTTTATAGTGCTAGCCCACTGAGATACCATGCCGCGAGTGAAGCATGAATACCCCACTCAGACACATTATACTGACTCGAGCGACCAGTCCTTATTGTACCTATTAATGCGGCCCAGACAGGGACCAACAAGTACCATATTTTAACGTCTTTTGGTATGGCGGTCGAGGATCGAACCCAGCGACCTTCCGCCTCGGTATGGGCGCTCCTACCACTACACCACACGGAAGCGGTCTTGAGTAGCATGTAACATGTTATATTTGGGATTACACTTTCATAGTAAAGTACAGATTCTAGTACTTTTGTACCCTCAGAGTCAGGCACCTAGTCACCCAGCACACTAAGGCAGCCGTCCTAACCTGCTCAGATGCTGCGACTTCGGTCCATAATAACATTTGTAGATTTACTTGACTATCAATACAAAATTCACTGGCCACCAGGACCACTGCAAACATATCATTTAGTGGTCCTGATGATATTTTACTAGTCAAGGATCACAGGACCAGTGTAAAGTTTGTACACTGCTCATCAGTCTCTTTTCTATATTTACACACATTTTCCTTAATTATACTATGTCAGATAGAATCAAACTTTGTTATGGTGTCATCAATGTGATAAACCATCCTATAAACCTGAGATAAACTCAAGATACAATAAATATGCAAATTAAGGCAACTTCTTTTCGTTCGCTTGTAACATCCATGTAAAATTTACTTCTGTACAAGCTATTGCGAAAATTTACCTACATCATTAGCCTGGGTGAGTGAGTGAGTTAAGTTTTACGCCGCACTCAGCAATATTCCAGCTATATGGCTGCGGTCTGTAAATAATCGAGTCTGGACCAGACAATCCAGTGATCAACAGCATGAGCATCAATCTGCGCAACTGAGAACTGATGACATGTGTCAACCAAGTCAGCGAGCCTGACCACCCGATCCCGTTAGTTGCCTCTTACGACAAGCATAGTAGCCTTTTGTGGCAAGCATGGGTTGCTGAAGACCTATTCTACCCCGGATCTTCACGGGTCAAGCCTGGGTTTTCTAAATGACTGAGCACTTGAGTACTCAAACATAGTTGCCAATCGTTTGGCACTGTATTGTAAATGAGTTGTGTTCAATATATTCAAACCTGGTTTCTAAGGTCACTATAGAATAGAAGCATGATGTTATGTGATAAAAAGATCATTACCATCATTTGTTTTCCTATCACATATTTCAAATATTTGGAATACAAAATATGTATCTCAGTCACATAACGTATTGTTATTGCTAATACACTCATGGAAACGAATAAGGGAACACATGAAAGTTCACGTTCCTTTATTTATTTCCAGAATTTCACCTACCGTGCAATAAATACCTTGTGAAGAAACATGGAAAAGAATAAAGGAACACTTGTACTTTCATGTGTTCCCTTATTTGTTTCCATGAGTATATGTCATATTTATTACACAAAAACACACAAGGCTTGTAATCTCTGTCTCTCTGTAAAGTATATTGTTAACTTGACAAACCTCTTCATCGGAGTCCTCCAAGCGGCTTTCCTTATATCCCTGATCAAGAAGCACCTGTCACAGAAAAAGAATACACTACTCACTGAGACATAATATACAAAATATAGGTTGGTTGGTTGTTTTTTTGTTTAACGCCACAGTCCGCCATATTCCAGTTATATGGTCGCTGTCTGTAAGTAATCAAGTCTGGACCAGACAATCCAGTGATCAACAGCATCGTCTACTACACTGGGATATGATGACATGTGTCAACCAAGTCATCGAGCCTGACCACCCGATCCCGCTAGTCGCCTCTTATAACATACACACGGGTTGCTGAAGACCGATTCTAACCAGTGTCTTACAAAATATAGGCTCCACATAGCCATGTTAGGTTTTCTTCTGGAAGGCAGCTTGTCATGTTAATATTATTATGATGGACCACTGGTAATATTTTAGATGAAGGACGCAGGGTATAACTGGGAACATGTGCAGCAATGGGCCCAGGATAGACAACATTGGAAAACTCTAGTAACAGCCTTATGTGCTCAGAGCACGAGGAGGATTATGCAGTAACTGAGTAAGCACTGGTAATAATACTTAAACTGGAACTAACAAGCTCAACATTTATCGTGAGGGATACAAAACTAATGGATCACTAAATGGCCTGTTACCATGCAAACACATTATACAGACATACCAGCGGTCTGGTCATATTTTGAAACATTGGGGTGATAGAGATGTTCTTAAATGATGTCTATTTGTCCTTTGTTTCAAAGTCAAGTGACAATCTGGAGGGACAAATAATTATAACATTACTAAGTGTGTGTCAATGTATGCAATAAAAATTATTACTTCTGCTATTGTACTAAGTGTTTTGTTCTGGATGTCTTGAAGTATGGCCATACTGTATATTTCATGGTAAGAGTTCCGCCCATAACCCCTACATGAAATGTATTCTATTTATTAGGATTATTTTGAGGGTTTAGGGTTAGAGTTAGGTTTAGGGGTTAGGATTAGGGTTAGGATTAAGTTTTTTTATTAAAAAAAACATCAATTCTTTGGCATAGAATGATTTTTAAAAAACGAGGGTTACGAGTGGAAATCTATTCCATGTTATCAACTTACCTTGTTTCTCCCTTCATGGAAGTCATCAATGTCATCATGGTAGTAGTCCTGGGATTCAGGATCTGGGTCATCATCTGAGGTATACACATTCAGAGGCCTGCCCCCTTTACGTCCACCCTGGCCTCTGCATACATCAAAGATAATCAGCATTACAAATATATAAAACTAAATTTTGAAGTTAGGTGTATATCACAAAAAAAGATGAGATACCATCCCTAACCATCCAAAGTACTGTGGCTTACTAGCGCTGAAGGGGTCGTTGTCGGCACGGGTACTACAGATATGTACCCCAGGTATGTTTCTGTATACAGATATGTACCCTGGCCATAATGAGAATACAGAAACGTACCCTAGGACGATTCCATTCCCATTGTGTCGTATTCTTGATCGGAACTGTCATGCTGTTGTATTAGATACATTTGATTGCGTTTTGTAAGTAATGAGAATACACAGTAACAGATATTTCGCGATGCATATGAATACCACTCGCATTCAGTTGAACGGGAACAACTACATGCGGTTTTGGTTTTGGATTACGGAATATGGACTCGTCCGCCTTTTAGGGTACCTGGTATGTTTCTGTATTTTGACTTTGTTTAGGGTACATATCTGTATACAGAAACGTACCTGGGGTACGTATCTGTAGTACCTGTGCCGACAACGACCCCTTCAGCCTTACTAGCCATGTTATAAAAGATATCAATATCAATGACTGAGTCAATACAGCTGCTAGGGTCATTGCTAGCACATGCACTATTCGGTCCTACTAAATACGCCCCAGGTGAATGATACTAAATGAAGAAGGTTTCTCTTTAAGTATAATCATGTTCTATTTATTGTATTTATGACGTTTAAACCCCATTATCAACGCACCTATTAATCAATACTATAATTCACACTTAAACCATGACATCATAACACACACTACATCGGGCGTCACTAAACCTTAATTGAGGAAATAGCATACTTACGAACACGATAACAAACAGATTAATAATCAAATTTAATCACGAAAACAGGTGATACTTTCGAGCATATGCCGAGCGATTGTATACATGTGTCTCGTGTATTCTGTGTAATTACTTAGAACAGGGTGTAATTTGGCTATCTAACATAAAGTTATCGGAGTCACTTATTAACGTAAATATTATCTATTTTTACCGTTTTCCCATATCCGTTCAGATGTGATCAAACAACACACGTGCAGTAAACACCAAAGAGAGTCGTCTCCCTTTAACATTAAACTGGTTCTCCTTGTTCGCACGCTACAGTGCATTCAATATATAGTAGACAGAACCCGATCATTTCTTAATCCAGTTTCGAGACATTGGTTGTTGTACCCAAATCCGGTTCCAAATAAGCAGCATTGCTATACACTATATATGTGAAGAAAACTAGTTTTCTCCATTTGAAGATAGAAATTAGCTCAGAATATATCAAACAAATGTCTTACACATTTTGTTTTGTGTGTCCATCGATGTATATATAGTATATAATTATTCAGGCAAATACTGGCACATTTTCAATGGATGAGAGGACGAACAGACGTATTTGATTATAAAAATTGGACATGCGTAAAGTAAACATATGTAATAGTCTTACAACATGTAAACCCGTGAAGATCCTGGTTAGAATTGGCCTTCAGGAGTGAGTGAGTGAGTGAGGTTTAGTTTAGTTTACTTTTAAGCCGCTTGTAGCAATATTCCAGCAATATCACAACGGGGACACCAGAATTGGGCTTCACACATTGTACCCTTGTGGGGAATCAAACCCAGGTCTTTGGCGTGACGTGCGAACGCTTTAACTACTAGGCTACCCCACCGCCCCTGGTTTTCAGCATGCGTGTCGTGAGAGGCGACGAACGGGATCGGGTGGTCAGGCTCGCAGACTTGGTTGACGTGTCTTCATATCCAAATTCCAAATTGCGTAGATTGATGCTCATGTGGTTGATCACTGGATTGTCTGGCCCAGACCAGATTATTTACAGACCACCGCTATAATATAAAGCATCGCGTGGCACATTCAGTTCACTTTCGATATACTAAAGGCCAACATATCGCGCCATGTGGAGCTCTGTTGATATCGAGTGCACATTTGACGCCACGATCAGTGAGTGACGTGTGTAAATGAATGAATTCGCACCGTCAATCTTTTGCCCCATTAAATTAATTTGATGAGCGAGTGAATGATTGCCGATGTGCTATGATCAGCAATGTTTTGGAGGAGGTCGTGTACATATAATTAAATCTGGCAGTCAAACATATATATTGATAAGCACAAATCAGAGACCATGTACCGGCATAACTTCAAGTATCAGGACTGTCATGAGTAATCCAGTCGTTACCTAGCTACGACGTGTGAAGGAATTGTCCGTTTTCGTCGGGTCTGGCTACAACATTGCTAAAATATGCGTCAGATCTGAGGTCATTTTTCTTTTGAAAATAGGTGTATTTTGTCTCCCCAAATAGGTAATTTTCATTAAACCTAGGGCAACGTTCACCAAACGCTCAGCTGTAATTTTTGCAAGGGCCATTTCCTTCTCCATCAAACCAGGGAGACTATATAACGTTGTAGATTATCCCTGATCAAACAGACACATAATGTCTTGTCCAAGAGAATAAAAAGCTAGGTCTTTTACAATATACATGTTCTGTGAATTGTGTTAGTACGAAGATTAGAAATGTTGTTAATGGTTAATGAAAACAATATGATATAAGTTACACTTGTCTTCGTTTTCACTTTCGTGCGATTGTGTACAACGAGTATATAGCCGTAATAAATTGATTGTAAGACTTTCATTCTCTCCGGCCTCAATAACAACATCCAGCCTCACATAATATACTTCGTTGTCCTTACAAACCCAATAGGTAAAGAAAGTAGCTATTTAAGTTGCTTTGTTGTCTTGACACAATCAAACATTTACGGACAACACATTCGTAGTAGTTCATGCAATACACACATTTTAGGAAAAACATAGCGCCTCATACCTTACATCATAAAATTTGGATGGAAATTTAATCGTTTAAAATATTTGGTAAACACAACAAAATAACAATTAGATATGTATATTAAAACAATCAAGAACTAAATAAACGCATAAAATATATTAAATACGAGTGTTTTATATATTTGTTTACAATATATTTGTCTGTTTAGGGTGTACCGTTAGAACTCCATAACGAGCACGTGTTGTTGATGTTGACGTTTTAATATCCGGGTTCTGGTCGAGATGGACCAATGATAAGCTTCAGTCGCTACATGACGTCATGTTTATGACAAGCTCTCCAACATGGCGGAGAAGGGTCCACAAGTGAAAATTGGGCATTATATTTTAGGTGAAACACTTGGTGTTGGCACCTTTGGCAAAGTAAAAAGTGAGTATTTGATGCAAACTTTTCAATTTTTACCAATGTGTCATCTGACAATGCCGTGCATTCATAGCCTTACTAGGACAAGTCGCGTGCGCCTAGATTTTGTAAACAGCCTTGACTCGCGAGATCTTTCGATCAATAACCTTGCGGCTGCAATGTCGAGAACATGTATACGGTTTCACGTGTGATGCATTTTTACGTTGGATTCCAAATAACGATATTTGAATATTTCACTGCAAAAATATTAAAACACTGTTGACTGTCATAATATTGCAGCCGAAGGAAACTTGTGACGTGTTAATTTATTTTGTGCTATGTAGGGTAGTAATATGGCTTGTTTTGAGAAAAACATGTTTAAGTCGAGAGGTTGACATTGGAAAAAAACGTCCCCATGAAAACACGTAGGTTTGAATAATTACTGTTTGCCTGTTGTTGCGAAATAATATCCACATACTATTTTGTATTAACGTTGTTTACAATATAGTGTCATCAGTGCATAAATAGGGCACTATTAGTATTAATATTCCTGATTCAGACGTGTTTTTTTTCCAATTTGTCCTGCAATTCATGGTAATAAGATATGTGTACATTTATCTGTAGTTATTGCACCATATTTTCAACCATTATGAAGTTCCATAGTTTGGAAATAGTTTGCTTAAAGGACTGTGTTAGTTTGGAAGCAATATTTTTGCACCGCAATCTTGCTAATGGCAGTGTGGATCATAATAGTGTCACATACTTATTCAGTTTCAAGCTTGCAGTTTAGCAGTTCTACAATGATATACAATAGTAGATTACAAAATATATGAGAGTATGATTTTGACCAAATTTTCTTTGGGTGCAAAGAGTTTCTGTGTAATAGACGTAACAGTGTAGAAAGTCACTTGATCCTCTGAATACAGGGCAAGGAATTTTGAATCAGTACAGAATGTATCGGTAATTAAAATATATTGTAGCATCACACGCATTGCAATCACTGAGTGTAAGTCATCTGAATAATATCACTAACCCACCTATCCATCCATTGAATTTTCATAATTTACTATGATGACTCCCCATGCAATCTGTTCACATGGGGAGAACTTCTGCACTTTAATAATTAAAAAAAATACCTGGCCTAGTTTGTTCAGGGAGTTTAATATCACAATATTCTGGGTCAGGAGGGTACCACATGATCACTAAGAATGATAACCTATGAACCTTATGTTTACCATCAACTATAACACAATGTTTCAGGGGGGCAGTGGTGTAGCCTAGTGGTTAAAGTAATCGCTCTTCACGCAAAAGACCCAGGTTCAATTCCCCACATGGGTACAATGTGTGAAACCCATTTCTGGTGTCTCTTCTCTCTCTCTCTCTCTCTCTCTCTCTCTCTCTCTCTCTGGAACTCTGGAACTCTCTCTCTGGAAATCTCTCTCTGGAACTTGCTAACATTGCTAAAAGTGGCATAAGAGTAAAGTCACTCATTAAATAGAAAGTTTGAGTATACAGCCGAACACTGTTGTCTCAAGATTTACGGGACCAGGAAAAATATTGACTTATCCGAATATCGACACATCCGAGTTGGGCATATCGTCACATACCAACATGAAAGAAAACAGTAGATTGCATGTCTATTATTTATTTGTCCTCACAGAGATCGCAAATACACTTGGTAATCTCGTCATAGTGTCCATTTTGAAATATACAAAAGTTGGATTTACTCCACAAACGAAGTGAAGAAATCAGAAAGTTTTAACTGACGGGCATTTGGTGCTGAGGCATTTGGTTTGAGGCAACAAGAACAGTTATTTGTTCTTTACTTTGTTTCCCACCCACAACACAATAATCCTAATCCGCATTTCTCAACAATCAATTGCTTGTCACGTGACGACACAAGTCCCTGATCAGATTCTCACTATGTTTTGATTCGATACTATAATCCGTTATCAGGAGTGTTAAGTTGAAATTGGGAGTACATCCTAGTTAGATAAACAAACAAGTGACACCTACAACTCAATTAGCCTTAATTAGCTTACACTACCGCTACCTTTGATTCATGCCGCAGCGTGTGTGTAAACACGTGGAGACAGTCACAGTTCAGATGGATACTTGTCCGAGAAAGGTAGGTGTATATCGACTTTACGTGCAAATATTGAGTTAAAAGGGTAATTTTGCTTGTCGGGACCATGAAATCATATCGAGATATCCGAAATATCGACACATCCGTATCGAGTTGAAGTGTTCAAATAATGATAAATAATGAAGAAGGATTTTGCCGGGACCGAGGAATTATATCGGGACAACCGAGATATCGAGTTATCAGAGTTTGACACAACGGTGTTCGACTGTATCTTCAGCTGATATAAGGATACAAAACACTGTACAGTGCGTGATTATGAAGCGAATGTTTGAAATATAGAAATCTATGTGTTTTATGTCCCTGCAATGTGTCCTGACATGCATCAAATCTGTAGTTTGTAGTATAGCGGATAAAGGTCTGTTGAGAGTGGAAAGTCAAGTCTGGTACAATCACTGGCTGCTTTGTTCCAGACAATGTGAAAAGATGGTACTTGTTGTTTTCCTTGACTGCAACGTTGAACAGTGTAGAACCTCATAACACCTCTCCTCACCTAAAGCATAAATGGTGTGTGATTTAAACATTAATGTTTTAGTTGATAGTTTTATGATTATTGGACATTACTTTTTATCCGTGCTTGCCAGTACATTTCTATTGAACATCTATAGTATGTTGACATAATTATGATATGTATTTCAGGGCACAATACTAGATTTATTGGACTAACAAAATAATGGAGGACTCTTTGTAGTATCTATTAATATAAAGGCAATACCAGTGTACATAATATACATAGCACATGGCTTTGTTGTGACACGTCATGTGTCATGTCCGCAGGATAGTATTTCATAATATGTACAAGTACCTAGACATGATTGACATTTACATTCATAACAGATGAATTCCATGTTGAGTAGATGTTTGTATTGAGTTAGTATGTTATATGTTGTAAGCATTGTCTACTTATCAGTTTGCAAAACCTTATAGTTACTGGTTCCAAAGAAAACTCACAATGCCCAATGTAAAAGAAAACATAGTTAATATTCAATGGCTAAAAAATATCTGTTACTCTAATCTACAGTAACAAAATTGGATGATTCTAAATACTGGCCATAGACATGATGATCAAAATAAGTGTCTCCCAATTTGTAGTGGTTATAAACCTTACAGTGTACTTTGTTAATGTCAGAGCTCCAGATAAGATTTAGCTCATGTGGGTACTGTACCCACTGTATATTTTTGGAGTGGGTATTATGAATGTTGAGTGGGTATTTCATTTTCCTTTACCCACTGCTTTCAAATATGTGCGTATTTTAGTCATTTTACTCACCTAAGTATATGCCATTGAGTGAGTTTACTAAGCAGGTATGTTCTGCCTTATGTCATACCTAATCAAAACCAACTTAAATATAATGGAAATAATTTCATTAAAAAAATCACTCATCCTATACTGACAATACAACACTTGTCCTATACTAACAGTACAACACTTGTCCTATGCTAACAGTACAACTTGATAGCAATTGATGTCTTTTTCATTACGCGAGCGATTTTTAAAAATATATTCCGTACGCATTTGTTTTAAACTTTCTGCGTATCTAACATTTTAAATGCGTAATTGGTACGCAACAATTATTTTTCAATGCGTAATTCTATGCGTATTTTACCCGGATACGCAGCTTATCTGGGCCTCTGAATGTAAAAATAAAAAATAAACAACTCTGGTTCAATGTGGAATAGAGATCATATCTTTACTTGAAGCACATCAACATAATAAGAGTATGTTTATCATGTTTATGAACACAGGTACTTACACTGGTGTTTTTGTTTTCCAGTTGCCACCCATCATCTTACTGGTCACAAGGTAGCTGTGAAGATTTTAAACAGGCAGAAAATTAAAAGTCTCGATGTTGTGGGGAAAATCAGGAGAGAGATTCAGAATCTCAAACTCTTCAGACACCCTCATATAATCAAACTGTAAGTCAGAAGAAAGTGATGTGCTGCAGGCATTCAGATTGCTTCTTCCTCTAAGACATTGGGGCTGGGGTAGACTAGTGGTTAAAGCTTTCGGCTCATAACACTGAAGACCCGGGTTCGAATCCCCACATTAGTGCAATGTTTGATTCTGTGAAGCCCATTTCTGGTGTCCCCTGCCGTGATAATGGCTGGGGACATTGCTAAATATTGCTAAAGTGGCGTAAAACCATACTCACTCAAAGACATTCATTGAATTTTGAAGACGTCTTAATGCTTTTAGCCCCCAATATTAATCACTGATACTGCAACCATGATCATGTGCATTGATGTCCCTCACAACTTCAACATACTACCATAATGTTGAGGTATCATTGCAAGGTATACCCAATTTCTATATTGAATGCAAGAAATATTGATTTGATTTGAAACTTGAATACAAATATGAGTATCAGTACATGGTAGATTACGTTTGTGATTACCCAGATACCAGGTGATGAGCACCCCAACTGACATCTTCATGGTCATGGAATATGTGGCTGGCGGTGAACTGTTTGATTACATCGTCAAGCATGGCAGGGTAAGTTACACACTGTCAGTGTTGGATCAAAATAAGAAACTGCTGTAGTTATAGTCACAAAAGGAGAGGACATAGCACTAATCTTGTTACTATATTGAGTTTCAGTGGGCTTAATGAGGATATCATAATATACAGGCAATCTTTGTATCAGTGTCATTACGAAATTGACTCAAACAGTACTATGGCATTGCTAATTGGTTGTCTTTTTTGGCTGCTACCACTTTCCACCGTGTAGAGTTATGTCCCCCTGGCAGGAGCTGCCATTTCTGGTTCCAAATCCAATAGATTCTCTGATCTGATTAAGATCAGCATTAGCACTGTGCCATTATCTTTCACTTTCACTTTCAGTTAGTGGGAAATCGCTAAATCAGTAAATGTCTAGGACCTGGGTAATTTTCAGCTCACATGACTGGTAGTCAAGTGACTGCATTAACTTATCTGAAGCTTTAAACAAAAGTAGCTTACACCTGGTGTTTTGTTTCAGCTAAAGGATGCAGAGGCAAGGAGGTTCTTCCAGCAGATTATATCTGGGGTGGACTACTGTCATCGACACATGGTGGTGCACAGGGATCTCAAACCTGAAAACTTGCTGTTAGACCAGAACACCAATGTTAAAATAGCAGACTTCGGTAGGTAATGTCGAAGCAGAGAGGCTGTATATGTCGCTTTCAATCAAATTCCAACATTTCTGGTCTTGCTGATTTTGCTTGAAATTTGGTAGACATGGTAGATGCCATGTCAAATGTTCATTCAAATTTCATGTAAATATTTTGGAGGTTTTAAACAAATTGTAGAAATATGCCACCATGTTATTATTCAGTGTGAAAATATAATGAGGGTCCCTGATAAAGACTGACCTAGTTGAATAAATTTCATCAAATGCATCATTTATTTGATTAATTGCAGGTTTGTCTAACATGATGCATGATGGAGAGTTTTTGCGGACAAGCTGCGGCTCTCCGAATTACGCTGCTCCTGAAGTTATCTCAGGAAAGTAAGTCACATGATCCTTTTTAATTGATTACCAACAGTTATTGGAATAACTTTAAATGTGAGGCTGTTTGGCATGGCCTGTCTCCCATTTCATTCTAAGTCTGGATGTTGTCTATTTCTGGTGTCCCCACAGTGATATTTCAGGAATATTGCTAAAACTAAGCAACTCAACACCATTCTCACTCATTCCTCAGGTCATTCATGTCTCTTCTCTGACATGGGTGCTTGCTCACTGTGATTGTTTTTTTGGCCAGTCAGCACCATACCGATGCTCATGAGTTCAAAGAGGTAAAATGTCTATGCCTTGCATCGCTTCGGGTTATCCTCACACGTCAGTCTGACAGCACATGAAACAACTGAAATACTATTCAAAGTGGCATTACTCACCACTCACTCACTCTCACTCACTCCTCCACTCCACTCACTCACTCACTCACTCACTCACTCACTCACTCACTCACTCACTCACTCCACTCACTCACCTCACTCACTCACTCACTCACTCACTCACTCACTCCTCCTCACTCACTCACTCACTCACTCACTCACTCACTCCCTCCCACTCACTCCACTCACTCACTCACTCACTCACTCATGTAAATGTTTCAAAACTGTGGACACACCCCTGTATTATAACATTGTTTTCAGGCTATATGCAACATTGTTTTCAGGCTATACGCTGGTCCAGAGGTGGATATCTGGAGCTGTGGTGTTATTCTGTATGCCTTGCTGTGTGGAACGGTAAGTGGACTCAGTGTGTACAAGTGAACATATACATGCTGGAGCACCAGAAATGTTTCAGTTCATAATTCAGTGTCAGTGCTATGATCATGGTACTATTGAATCAGTGTTTAACTGTTACAAGTGTATAATCATCACAGATTGTGTATGTATACTCAGCATGGAAAATAACTATAACATACACTGCCAATGGTGCAGTTGTATAGATCATGTTGGAAGAATAATTTGATGACTCTGCGATTTGATTAATTAATCTTGTCTATTTCAGTTACCATTTGATGATGAACACGTCCCTACACTATTCCGGAAGATCAAATGTAAGTAGAGAACTTTTCATTATCCCCCGCAATGCGTTTTGCGGGGGTATTAAAATGGAGTCCGTCCGTCCGTGCACATTTGTCTTTTCCGGAGCAGAACTCTAAAACCGTTCAATATTTCTTCACCAAACTTGGCACATACATGGATCTGGTGGTGTACTGGTGCCTTTTGGTAGTTTTGGAATTCTGAATAAAATATTTTTGGCATTTCCATGGCAACAAGTTCGACTTTGACTGAAATTAGTGGTAGTGCTCTTTTCTGGAGCAGAACTCTAAAACCGTTCAATATTCTTCACCAAACCTAAAATATTGCCTTTTGGTAGTTTTGGAATTCTGAATAAAATATTTTTGGCATTTCCATGGCAACAAGTTCGACTTAGACTGAAATTGGTGGTTTTGCTCTTTTCGTGAGCAGAACTCTACAACCATTCACTATTTCTTCACCAAACTTGGTACATATATTGGTCTGGTGGTGTACTGGTGCCTTTTTGGTGGTAGTTTTGGAATTCTGAATAAAATATTTTTGGTGTACTGGCATTTCTATGGCAACAAGTTTGACTAAAACTGAAATTAGTGGTAGTGCTCTTTTCCGGAGCAGAACTCTAAAACCGTTAAATGTTTCTTCACCAAACTTGGCACATAGATTGGTCTGGTGGTGTACTGGTGCCTTTTGGTAGTTTTGGATTTCTGAATAAAATATTTTTGGCATTTCCATGGCAACAAGTTTGACTTAGCCTGAAACTGGTGGTAGTGCTCCTTTCTGGAGCAGAACTTTAAAAACCTTTCAATACTCTCCTTCCACTTTTCTATATACACACCTAAATATTTGACATAATCATAACTCGTAGACATAATCATGAAGAGTATTTTGCCATTGCGGGGGATATTGATGACTTTGTCTTCTTGTTGAGTTCATATATAAGAGAGTTAAATGCTAAATGGCTAAAAATATGCTTACATATACCTATGTTTATACTTACATGTATTGATAGATTGATAAACAATAACAGTGGTGTTTTGTAACATTTTCTGTTAATCTAAGTGTCCATAAAAATGTGGTATGCTTCTTAGACCTGTATCACTTGGGCTTGCCTTCCATGTGAAACTTTAAAATTGTGAAGATTAAACTTTAATACTGTGAAAGCATTAAACACAACTTCAGGAAATTCACTCACTTGAATAACTTTCAGCTGGCCTCTTCGCCATCCCTGAATATCTCAGCAAGGATGTTGTGTCCTTATTGTGCCATATGCTACAAGTAGACCCTCTCAAGAGAGCAACAATACAAGACATCAGGTAAGTGTGCATCTCCCACTGACTGAGACACTTTGTGTGAGCTGATCTGTACATGGTTTACAGATAACTTAAGTGGAAGCTGATGTAAGGGACATAACTCTTGTTAGCTGGCAAGTAGAGTCATTTAATATTACACTCTGTGAATGGTGAATCATATTGTACATACTTCGAGTATATTTGTATCATTATTCTATGTTACAAAGTGGAGGGAGATGCAGGAATGATTGTTGTCTGTCTCACAACCTTCCATCACATTTACTACTTCAGTTTAGCCATATATGAGTATTTCATGATTTTTTTATTTTTATGTTTCAGTTGCAATAATTTGCTACCTGATTTTGTTACTTTCTGCAGCAAATTTAATTTTAATACCCACCCACTCACTGGGTACATATTATCTAGCAGTAAATCTTGAACTTGATACATCTTAAATGTTTAAAAACACAAGAATCTGCTCCTAGCATCTAGTATTGCTGATTTATAGGTTTCTTTTCCACTATAATTTGTTTGTATATGATATGTGAAATGAATTTAGGGATCATGAGTGGTTCAAGAAAGATCTGGCTGGGTACCTGTTTCCATCTCCGAACGACCAGGATGCCTCTATAGTGGATCTGGATGTCATCAGAGAAGTTTGTGATGTAAGTATGGGAGTATTCACACTAGTCTGAACTAGGTTTGGTGGGCAACTGTAATCCATGTCATGTCCATAATTATCACATATTGTGAAGATACAGGTTAGAATTGGTCTTCGCAAACCCATGCTTGTTGTAAGAGGCAACTAATGGGATCAGGTGGTCAGACTCGCTGACTTGGTTGACACATATCATTGTATCCTAAATCTGATGCTCATGCTGTTGATCACTGGATTGTTTGGTCCAGACTTGATTGTTTACAGAGTCATATAACTGGAATAGTGCTGAGTGTGGCATTAAACAATAAACAAAATTATCTGTATTGCATATTTGAAACAATTTGTCCACTCTCTTTTGCTTCTGTAATCCTGAAACCACTGAATGTGGACTGTATGATGAAAGATTAGTCTTCTCTCATCATAGAAATGTTCATATAATTGTGTCTTTATTTCTCAGGAAATTACTTTTAAAACTAATCTTAATATAACAACTTGTAATTTTGTATGTAAAATGGTGTTTGAGGTTTGTGTGTTTTTCCCCCCACAAATCACATTATCCATGACTCTCTGTTTGTAAAGAGTTTTTGAAATGAAACCTTTCATTTGATAGAAATTCAACGTAGATGAGCTGGACGTTCAGAGGGCTATCCTGAGTGGGGACCCACACGACCAACTGGCTATCGCCTACAATCTCATTATAGACAATCAGAGGTTTGCAGATGAAAGTAAGTCAGCCTCCGAAGCATGCATGTAATGATGACCAAAATGTAGCTTGTAATATACTGATATTACATAAAGTCAGAGGCATTCAGATGTAATATCTAAATAGTGCAGTGAACTCTGTAAGCTGCTTAATATCGTTTTGAGAATGAAATCAAGAAAAAATGACTCATGCCTCTTGCATTTTCTAAAGAGGCCCCACAGTTTTGCCATTTTAACTGATTTTAATCTGCCATTACGATTAATGTATTGTTTACATCCTCACTCTTCAGCTTCTAAAACAGAGATGAAAGAATTCTACCTTGCCTCTTCCCCGCCTCCAGAGTCATTCCTGGTGAGTTGTTACATGAGGCTGTTTTTATACTATGGCTTTGTAAGGTGACATATATTTCTCACACACGGAGACAGAACATTCTGCAAAGCAGGAGCTGTTTTGTGGAACAAACTTTTAGCCTACTTACGTGACAACACCAACATCACAAGTTTCAGATCTGAACTGAAAACCTTCATGTTCAAGAGAGTGTACAACTAAGCGCGCCTTTGAGCAGTTTTCTAGATTAAGGCGCTATAGAAATGCCTAACTTATTATTATTATTAGTTTACTAATCATAGAAGGAATATAGAGGAAAGGCTTTAATGATTAGATTAATGTTATCTCACATTATTGCATTGAGTGCAAGTTGAAGTTAGTGTCAAAATGGACCCGTGAAGATCCAGGTTAGAATTGATCTTCAGTAACCCATGCTTGTTGTAAGAGGCAACTAACGGGATCGGGTGGTCAGGCTTGCTGACTTGGTTGACACATGTCATCATATCCCAATTGTGTGGTTCAATGTTCATGATGTTGACCACTCGATTGTCTGGTCCAGACTTGATTATTTACTGACAGCCGCTTAACTCACTCACTAGTGTCGAAATGTTTCTGAATTTTTTTGAAAATAAGAACTTAAAAAAATTCCTAAATAGTGATTAGCCTTCCAGGGTCATATGATTTAAAGTCTTAAATAAATGCCTGGTCTGAAGTGAGTCTGTAAGAGTCATTGTCTGATCCATGTGTCATCCTTCCTTATAACATATATGTTGCACCTATGTCTGCCACTAGGTAGGTGTTGTTAAGTCTGGAGTAACTTTGTTGACAGCGGCAGTCATCCATTCATTCCCTCAGTCCATGCTTACATAACTGCAACATTAAGCTACAGGATGTGTGATTAGCTTCTCATCTCATAACTGAATTAAAGGTATGTTGTGTTCTGTATATTCCAGGCCTCTAGTCCTATGAAACCTCACCCAGAACGAATGCCAGGTTGGTGACCCTTATCTTCTTGTAATTGTCAAAATGTTGGTGTAAATTAAATCAGTGAGCATGATCTTATAGTTTTAGTTGGTATGTTAGTTTCGAGCTGTAATCACTTTGTACCTATTTCAGAAATAAAGGATGTGACCCACACATTAGATCCAGTCAAAAGTCCGCCATCAGGACAGAGGCCTGTACAGCCTGCACCAAAAAAAGCCAAATGGCATCTGGGTATGTCGGATTAACTTAATTCTTATGGGGGAAATGATTCATTGAAAGTTTCAATATGATGAACCTGGACACGCCTATTCCTTGTCTGAAGGATCAAATTCATGTGTACATTGTCCAGTGAAGATAATTCTTTTAATGATTATAATTAAGGAGTTAAATTGCTAGTTGCAGGATGGTATTATACTGGGAACATATAGGGAGTCCTTACTATAGTTGGTCCCTAAATGCTGGTGATGATGAATATGTCGACAACAGAGTGAATCATTGCTCATAATATCAATCACTAGATAGTCTGGTTCTGACTCCTTTAATTACATGCTGTGGTTGTTTAGGTTCAATCGTATTGAGTGCATTTTAAAACACACACATAATGTTAAAACTAGCATTATCACTAACACTGGCACTTCCATATATTTTATGACAATTGTAATTGTTTCAATTGGATTTCTTTCAGGTATTCGGTCACAGAGCAAGCCACAAGATATTATGCATGAAGTCTTTAGAGCTATGAAATCACTGAACTTTGTGAGTTTTGTGCTATCACTTTACATACCTTACTGTTACAATTATATCCCTTCTGTTAGATCATTCTAGAATGAGACCCGTGAAGATCCGGGGTAGAATAGGTCTTCAGCAACCCATGCTTGCCACAAAAGGCGACTATGCTTGTCGTAAGAGGCGACTAACGGGATCGGGTGGTCAGGCTCGCTGACTTGGTTGACACATGTCATCGGTTCCCAGTTGCGCAGATCGATGCTCATGCTGTTGAACACTGGAATGTCTGGTCCAGACTCGATTATTTACAGACCGCTTCCATATAGCTGGAATATTGCTGAGTGTGGCGTAAAACTAATCTCACTCACTCACTCATTCTAGAATGGAGTTATGATCTTGTAGCTTTGAACATGAATCATCTTGATAATAACCAGTGGTAACTCTTCGTATATTCTGCTACATTGTGTGTATAGGAGGACAGAGATCTGTCTTGCATGCATATCTACCATAATTGTTCTCATCAAGATGTGATATTAAGCATCTACAGCATTTAGATTACACTGTAATTGACATTTTGTAGCACCTCTTACTAACCAAAGAAAAGCGTTGTAGGGATTTCTAAAATATGCACCCAGTATCCCTTGTATATCTCTAAATGATAGGGTGCATATTAAGGCTATAACGATTCATTTGCATATTCGGTGAATCGAACCGTAGCCCTTCATGAATTCAATTAAGTTATTCGAACCAGAACAGAATATTAACAATGGGGGCATGTTTTACTTGAACTTGATTTTGTGTGAGATATGCAGTAATGGAATATGTACTAGTTGCAGTAGTATCATTTAGTTCCAAGGCTGTGTACGCGGTACTGCTTACATAACAAATTTGAGTGTCATTGACTGGTTATTGCTGTGACAAATCAAAACTGTCAACATGGGGTTCCATATTGTACATCAATCTACAATATTGTATTCGTGAATAATTATTCATTATTAGTTAATATTCATGATAATGTATCATATTCACCACATAGTGTATTCGTTAGCCCTAGCACTGCATATTGAGCCAATCAGACATTCTTGACTGATTGTGTGTCAATGTGTGAATTTTTGTTTTGTCTGGTTAAATTTACCTGTTGCTGTGAATTCAGCCTCAAAGTTCTCTTATCCTCATTTTGAAAACAGTTTTAATGCAGAGTCTTATGTTTAAATACAAGCTAGTTGATATGCTAACTCTTGCATTAAAATGATATTGTATTGATGATGCACAATTACTAGTTGATCATAACATCTTGTCATTTCATTTTGTCAACAGGAATGGAAAATAGTCAACAATTATCATGTTCGAGTCAGGAAGAAGAATGAAATCTCTGGAAAGTTTGTAAGTCAAGTGTTGATAGTCAGCTGAAAGTATTAAGGGGATATAATTGGACTGAAAGTTTGGAGTGGATAATGTGTGTAAGGGGTACAGGTTGATAGTGAGGGTGGATGGTTACAAATCAATCAGGTGATAATCTGGCCCAGACTCGGATATTTAAGGGCTGCCATCCTATTGCAGGAATATTGCTTAAGCATTGTTACACATCAAACAGCACAAAAGCATTGTTCCAATTTAATGTGGATATAGAGACTGAGGGGTGCAGGATTATTTAAAAGAGCAAGAATGTATATAATGGACTGAAATGAACAGGGCTGCTCTTTTACAGTATTAAAATGACGTATGTATTTTCAGACCAAGATGAGCCTACAGCTGTATCAGGTTGACCAGAAGAGCTTCCTGCTTGACTTTAAGAGTCTTTCTACAGTGCAGACTATGGATGCCATAGAAACTCTAGAGCAAATATCAGACGAGAGGATGGATGTTGACGAGGAGGGAGATGGACAGTGCCACCAGACACTTGAGTTCTTCGAGATGTGTGCCAATCTCATCACAGCACTTGCTCGATGAGTCACAAACCATTCATCGTCAGTACTTCACGGGATTGTATATTGTGTGTTCCTCCATCATCCATGAGTACATATGTTCATGATGAGGTGTAGTTGCTGATTTTAACCACTGTATGAAGTGGACTGCCAGAATCAGGGAGCCAGTTAGTGTGCAACCCAGTGAGGGCATATCATACATCGCTGAAACAGTATTGGTTCTTACTTAATGAGCAACGTGCTATTGAGTACTGTACAGATTGCTTCTATAAAAAGCGTCTTCTCATTGGGGTAGCCTTGTGGTTAAAGCATTCGCTAATCACTCAGAGGACCCAGGTTTGATTCCCACATGGGTGCAATGTATTATGCCCATTTCTGGTGTCCCCCTGCCATAATATTGCTTGAATATTACTAAAAGTGGCATAAAACCATACTCACTCCCTCTGAAGCAGGGGTGGAAATAACCCATTGCCCGACTCCCCAGTCCAGTGTTTTTTTCTGTCGGGAAAGCAAATTTGTATATCACACTGTGCTGGTGTCCAGTTGACTTTCCAGTGTTAATTATGTTGTTTATTTATAAAATCAACAACAAAATCGGCCAGTATAGTGGAAAAATTATCAGGGCAAGTGATTTTACTTGTGCCACTGTACCGGAGTTTTAAAGTTATTTCCACCCCTATGAAGATAGACCTGTCACTACAATACTGCATGGCAGTCATATGTACTCATGGCTGACGAAGGAGCTCAGTGTCTGCAGCTGATGAAGTATTAATGATGCTGAACAATAGACATGGTGCACTGGGAATGGATAAGCTCAGGCTGAGAGTTGCTCAGTAGGTGTTGAGATAGAGAACAGTTGGCTGAAAATGTACAGAATTGATTGTTATACTCAGAAGAGATCTTTTCGCACAAATGAAACGGTAATGCTTAACATATGACTGTGTGCTTTGATAATGTTAGCATTATCGTAGGCTGATTGTGACGAGAGTGTGAGAAGTAAACACATGGAAACAGTGTTGCTTGTTTGTCAGAGAGAGGAGGTGTTGACTGTTATTTAGAGACAAGTTGTGCATTCACCTGTATGAAATTCACATGGAAACAGTGTTGCTTGTTTGCCAGAAAGATGAGGTGTTGACTGTATTTTAGAGACAAGTTGTGTATTCAGTTGTATGAAAATCACAAAGCATAATCAGACATTGGAATTATTCTCCAAAAGAGCATGATGCATGTATCTGAAGCAGGGATTTGCCTTGGTCTGTTTAGGTTTATATCTACAGAATTGAGATAATATGTTTTGGGGGAATCAGTGTTACTGAAGCAGTGATAATTGTTCACGCGTGTGGGGGGTTCCTTATGAGATTGATGAAAATCGACTACTGACACTGTGATCTTGTATTTCTGACAAGAATAGAAATGTAAGTTGCAGCATGCTGTGAATTAGGGAAAGGAGACCTAAAGTATTAAATGGTTCAAACAGCCATGTTTTTTTTGGTTTTGTTCTCATTGTAATTTATTTGCGTCTTTCTCTGCTTCCAGTAAAACCCTGTCTGAGAACAACTCTTTCTTGTAGATTTGTTTTGAGGTATTTATCCGGTTTAAAAAAATTTGAAGTCAGTATAATATGATGAAAAATGAATTAAAATGTAAAATGAATTAAACTTTGAGGATGAGGTTTACAGTTATTTGAACACAAAATGATTTACTTGTACGTTTCACATTTAAGCAATTTCATGAAATAAGCTCCAAACTGCATTTTGAACAGGAAGAATTAGTACTGATTGTGTTCATATTGTATTAGTGCAATGTTTGCTGCATAAGAAGTTGTTACTTGTTATCATCCTGAAAATATGTACAGATTCAATGTAGGTACTGTAAATGATCTCACTGCCTTTGAGCAGGCAGCGAAACAGCTGTTGTGGATATGTAGTGCCTTTTTGTACATGATCATCTGAAAGTGATTTTGTGTGACTTAAGCAAGTAGTTAAGCTCTCAGTCTGGAGCAGCTTGTAAGGAATTTGTCATAGTTGAGTCTTTCTTAGTAGTGTATATATTCGCTGGTTCTAAAAATGAAACTGTCAATCGTGACAAAGCGACAGGTTAGATGTTGAGGGGATTTCATCTTTAATGAAGAATTTGGTTCTATTGATGGTAGCTGTGTTAATATTAAGCATGCTTCATTGGCAAATATCTGCAATTTTGCTTCTGCTATTTATGCAAAAAAGGACCCAAGGCTATTCTTTTATACAGGCATATTGTTTTATTTATGAAGAATATATTTTGTTCAGTGTAACCATGTTTGTTTCTGATATTTTGTTACTGCATATTAAAATGCTGCTGCAAAAAGGTTTCTTATTTTTTATGTCTTCAAGAACAGAACAAGGCATCTGAAAGGCTTATGTAAGCTTTGAGAGGAATTAATGTGTACCTTTGTGATAACTGATGTATCAAATGGTAGGAGATGTAGCATAGTGGTTCTGTTGATTTGAGCAGGATTCCCTTTAACTTAAAATGCTGCAAGTTTCAAAAACAAAATACAGAGGAAAATATGACTTCAAAAGCATATTTTCAGTTGTTTATGTCACTTGCAATTTATTATTTTTGGATAGACTTGTCCGTAATAAAAAAGCCACATTAATCTGACCACCATAGCTGACAAGACAGAGAAATTTGCAGTTTTTGTAAGTTTGGGTCTAAGTTATTGGAACATTTTGTTTCAAAAATCAAATTTGGTTATGTATTTGAATTAGAAAGTTTTACCACATTATACCAGGATGGTGTCTCAGTTTCAGTCCCAGATCAAAGTTTATAGGATAACAGTCCTCCTGAGAACATGTTGAAGTCATTGTTCAAATATGTGAGAAAAATGTCATTGGCAATGGAAGGTGTATTTATTATACTAACATGGAGTAGGTCAACTGATATTTTTCAGCTCAGCATTAGATGTGAGGTGGGAAAATTCTACATTGGATCCGAGTGTGTACATGTGTTAAGGCTGATTTGATCAAGGCTGTGATTGGAACTTCATAAATGGCATCCGTGTATAGTGTTGTTTGTATGATAATGTTATTGAGCAGAATATATTCAATGTGTCATCTACAAATTCTTAAATCCAGTAGCCCAGATATGCTTGAGCTCTCCCCACATGGAGGTTTGGTGTGAAATGTACTGGTTTGGCTTAAATTAGTTCTTACATCTGAACATAGATTTACATTCACTCAAATACGTGATCTTCCTGCAGCACCAGTGCCTCTTGATGCAGTAGTGAAGGGCAAGTTTAAAATTGAGTTCAATCATCACTTGAGAGTAGACAAGTATGTGATCTTTAAGATTTTGTTATAACAATTAAGTTTTTCTGTTTAGTGGGAAGTGTAATATCTACAATTCCATGACTTAAATTTAGTTTGGATGTATGAAAACATTGAACAAGTATTTGTGATGAATCATTTGGAAGTAAATTTTGTTCATTGTTGCATCCCTTTCTTTCTTTTGAAGTTTTATAAGATTAATATATTGTATCATAGGAAAAAGCAAGATTAGATGACCAGTATGCTTTTGTAAACTTGTCTCTGCAAGTGTAAAGTTTATGTTAAGCAACAGGTATACAATATACAGGTATGTTCCTTGAAATCTTACTGACTTTCTCTACTGCAGATATAATCAAGTTCTTGGTGGAAGAGCTAATGTTGCAGAGATGCCAACCCTCCCAAATTTATCGGAATCATCCCGAAAAATGCATGTCGATTCTGCCATTCCAACAAAGCCAAATTCATTCCGATTGTTTGTTTTTCAAAATATAACAAACATATAGGTAGTCTTACTTACTGGAGGGCTAGGATCATGTTTGACTATAAATAATGATGATTAAATAAATATAACACTTTATTTACAGAAGTTCTCAAAGTGTTTGAACAAGAAAGTAATCTGGAAGTTGAGTAGGCTGCCTGATAAATTCCACACACTGTTTATTTTATTCACTTATCATTCACAAACACTGCTGCCGAGTACTGCAAACCGGTTTCAGTTGTATAAGGATCGCTATGTGTATTGGCATTGAAAGGTTTTGTTCCTTGAGTGCAACAATTTATAGGGATCCCTAATTTGTTCGGAAAATTCCTAAATATTTTTTCTATCTTAGGGAGGTCAGATTCTTAACTGCACCACTGTGGGGTTGGCATCTCTAATGTTTTCCTGACATGCTGGGTTTTATGGTATTTGTATTTGATACATCGGGTATAACATTGTAAATGCTTCCTTGTGTGGAATCACTGGAATGTATAAATGCTTTTATATCAAGTGCTAGATAGGATAATACAATAAAGTCTGAAGTTGAGTTCTGTTGTCTGTTGTAACTAGTTACAGCATTCTCAAAACACACAAAAAAAACAGGATTTGCAAATCAATTTATTTTTTCTGAAATTGATTGGCTATAACTGCTCACCTGTGTTTTTTCCTCTTGAGTATAATGAGTTTGAAATGGAGTTTCACATTACATTCACGTCTTTTTCATGCACTCGTGTTGGGATGGCTTGTAGGTTTTCTCGTGCCAGCCCACCAAGATGCCACGACACAGTTTAACATAGATAGCCAACTCTGACACTTCATACTGAGCCAGGCAGACCTTCTTTCCCACTTAATACAGTGTGGCAGACAGGGTTAACTGCAAGCGTGACCTTTACTGTCTTTTGGTATGACATGAATAGGGGAGACGTTGTAGTAGGCAACATCATAACTTGATACTAGCTCAGTCTTTGTTCATAGCATGTTTGATTAGCCATTGTATTGAATTTCCAATCTATTTGATATATATTTTCAAATCTTTGTATTTTAACATGTTTAAGGGATGTCTTCATCTCCCTTATGTGCAACTTGACACAGGATTTCGCTGGCTCTTGAGCTGAAAATCAACATCCAATCAGAACTTGCAGGTATTCTTAGTTATAGTTTAGATAAGATATAGTAACACTGTCCCTTGTTTCAATCCACATTTTGACTGTACATCTGATTTTACCCTATGTTTTTTGGACTGGACCTTAAAGAGTCTATGGTAGTTATAGAATGGAGGTACAGTACACTGAAATATCAAGGTGTTTGAACAGGTTGTGTGAGTTACCCCCACAATTTCAGTTATTTTCAGAAAAAAAACCCCATGAGGCAGAGAGTGGCCATAGCTAGTCTCTGTAAGAGCACAACAGTTCACGATGTACCGAGAACACAAAACATAGTAGATACCTTTAAAGAAATAGAAAACAGACCACGTAAAATCCATGTAAAAATTGTTTATTTTATCATCACTTGTCAAAAATAAACCTTTACACACTGTTTGCACCTTCATGTCATATTATTGTAAAATTATGATAAGCAAAATGGACATTGTTAGACCAGAATTAATCTAGCAACTGGATCACTCGAACACACATTTTTGCAGTGTGAGGAATACGTTCAAAATATTTCAGGAAAGAAATAAAGCGTAAGTACATTTACTTTGGCTATAGCATACCATAGCAGCAGATGCCAACTTTGAATCCAAGTCTTTGGTGCACAAATGTCTTAACTGAATTTAATGAAAAATGAAAACATGCTGCAGTAACTGCCTATTCAGTATATATTATTTTCATATTTTAAAAACTGTAAACAGCAACATTTAAGCTGTATTACGATTACCTACAGAGACTAGGATTGACACAACAGAGGTTGATTTTAAGCACCATCCTATACTGTTATTGTTCATGGTGTGCAGTCAACAGTCATTCCAGTTAGATCATTTCTACTGCAACACATACTCCAGGGGACCTATTTTAACCCAGGGTCCAGTAGTCCAGAGTGTAGTCTGTAACTTTTCCTGTTCATGCTGGTTGTTAATATACATTGGACAAGCTATATCATTGTGATCCAGCTGTTAGACAAATCCTGATCCAAACATCAGAGTTATAAAATATCACATTGTAAAGTCTCCCCAAAGTTCATTATTTTGTTCTGATATATGTGGAGAAGTGAATATATGTTACATCGTATGTACAGTTGAGTCGTATGAAATGTACAGGAAGAATCTACACTCACACAGGAACTATGGTAACACACATGCAGACATAACATCGGAATCTCACTGGCAATACACAGAGCTAGACGACAAACAAAGGCTTAAAAACATACAGTAGTTCCAAATACCCTGATTTTTTATATCTCACCTTTCATCCTTTCTGTCCCTCAAAACTGAAATTAAATTTCTCCCAAACTAACAGTAATTTGGTCTATCCTTAAAAGGTCATTGCCTCGCTTCTTAACACAATTTCAATTATTTAGTTGAATACTCTATAAATAGAGATACAAATATTGCCCAATAACTAGCTCTATTTGCGAAAACGAAGATGGCCAGAAACTGCTACTACTCAGGTGCCTGTTATTACTTCACATCATGCCTCTTAAATGTCTTAAACATACCATGGATGTTTTCTACCCACAATGCTTACCTGGGTTTCTTTTTGGTACATATTCAATAATGATTACATGTTCATTACAAGTTCTCTGTAGTATGGACGCAGGTTTTCTCTGGTAGTAGTAAGACAGTGACATTTGGCTACCCTACAGCATGACGTTCCACACCAATGTGAACCCTGACATGTTTTAATCACTGAGTACTAACGAAGAGGTGAGCACATTTCATATAATCAGCAGGGAATAAACAGGTTTCGCTCACTGTACCCATGTTGGGAATCAAACCTAAGTGTTTGCAAAACAGGCAAATGCTTTAAGTGTCAGGCCAATAGACTAACATCTGAACTCTGAAATGAAAATATTCTAAGTCAACTGTATTATTATTAGGACACAAAAATGTTTCGAAATATAAGTCTGTCTGTAGATTAGATACATCTTATTTCAATTTGGAAGTGTGCTTTAGACCCAAGATTAGACCTGAGAGTCGTAGATAGGAGTTTGTTGTTGTTTCCATGTGTGAATGGCTATTGGGTCAAGTACATCCAAATCTATGGACATATATGTCGATTTTAGCAAGAAATGCAGTTGGAATCGTCTATGCTTTTATGACGGAACAATATCTCGAGATAACCAGGATGAGATATGGCTCAGATCAAGCAGCTTCCTGTTTGATTCTTACGCCCAATAGTACCATGTTTCACTGTGCTCATCACACATGTAAAATCGGCCTCTGAGTATTTGCTTGTTCAGTGTTTGGCAGCTGGAAGTGTATCACAGTGGTCCAGTATGGAACATATTTACAACAGGCACAAAACACAATCAAGAAAGATGGCAAGCATGGTAAAAATACCGCTTAAATAAGATCTCAAAACAATATCTCAACAGCAACCAATCTGCTGGTAAACCTATTATGGAATTAATGCCATACAAAATAGCCATTTACTAGATCATATTTGCAACATAATCATGATATCTAAAATGAATGATAATTTATTTTTTTAAATTATTTCTATTATCATGTTAAGGCCACAATATATATTACCTCTTGGGATCCACACCCAACACTATTTGGACAAAAAAATATTCCCATATCATTTAGTATTCTCATTTTCGAAACAAAATCTTAGGAATTCTTCAGAATGATCTTTAAGAAACCAATAATACACAATAACAATGCTAACCTATCAATTTTAGGTATGTAGTATGACTATTGTTTGATCTCTTTAAGACCTAAAACCCTCTGTAATGAAAATAAAGTTTTCAAGCAACAAACTTGAAATAGAATAACTAGTAGTACAAACAGTCTGATTTACTTTAATTAAATAAGTATATTCTCAACATGCTCAAGTAATTCTGCATATATTCATCTTGGAAACTCGTTCTATTTTTGATGTTGATGTAATATTCCATTGATTCCAATGATCTTCATTAAACATTTCCAAATTGTCACAGTCCATGCTCATAACATAGATATACATTTACAAGGATTAGTTTAAGCATGTTAAGGAAATGAAAAACCTTAGACATAAATAAATATAGCCAGTGTGAGTATATTGACCAATATGGAGGTCACCAAAAATAAGGACTGGAATGTCAATGTCAAGGTGTGAGGGGGCGGAGGTGGCAGTAGGCTGGGTTCTCATAGACTGTGGTAATACCCATTGATGCAAACACTTTTATTAGTCTGATGCAACAGAAAGGTTGTCCATATATTGTAGCGTTTTTCGTGTTCTCATGGCCCTGATTTAATTTGACTAATTCTGTAAGCACACTGGTTTGTCAAGTTGGTATGGACACAGAAACATAAAAGAAACTTAAATTAAAATAAACATCCAAAACACTTTTTTGTTTCTTTGCAATCTTCTGACTCTGTATTTGCCATTATCTTCCACACTTCGAAATATCCTGAGTAACAATTCACATTATTTGTATGTGTGGATGTTCCAAACAGATTCCATACCAATAGTGTCTGGAAACACAAGCTTTCACTATTAATTAGCAACATTTGATTTTGAATGGCTGTGTTATCAAATCACACCATTAACAACTTCAACTTGTCTTCAGAGACTCTCATCACCAGACCCATCTTTACCCGTGCTTTTTCTTCACCAACAGAACCTCATCAACTCATCTCACTTACATAGAACATTCTTTCAATGCCTTTGCTAAAACAAACATATATAGAATTGGTATAATATTCTATACTTGTGGGCCAAGGGAAGCTCAAAATATTGACAATATACATGTGTCATGTCGTAACAGCACTACAATATCCGACAGCTAATTCACACAATTCATGATTGCAAAATATGAAGCTACTGGGGAGAAGACTTTGATCAAGTAAAACCACCATGATATTTACACAGTTACACATCAGTCCCAGAGTTAAAACACCAATCAACACTCTCTGCACTCAATAATGTTTATTGTATATTGGTAGTCTTACAGCGTGTAGTCCAAATCCCACTTCATTGTAAATATACCATTTCATTGTAAATATACTGAAAGCCCTATCAAATGTAATGGTGTTACAATAATTCCCTAAAGACAATCTTAACTTCCAGTACTTTTGTAGATTTCATTGAAAGATAATCACACAGTTGAACATAAGGCAAACCCAGTATTCAGCTGTCTTGTCATAATTAATCCTTTTTGCAAACTGTCCATTTACAAGCATAAATCATGTAAAGCAGGCACATGATATATGGCACTACATGATGAACAGGTAAATAGAACCAGTGTACATTCCTAAACACTGGTATACACAGTGATCTCAATTTTATAATTATTGTGAAACGTTAGATGTAATAATGGCAGATATAGCTCTGTCATGGCCTTGTTAAAACAGAACCCTTTCCTAAAACCATTATCCCTTAGTATTTCATAGCCTGAAAACACACAAAGTTTCTAAATATTTGTGATATTCTCTTACTCATATTAGTACCGGTAACCTGTGTGTTTAGTGTGTTTACTGAAATCAGTGATTTAACCCGAGTATCACATTATCACACTCCAACCTTATTCTTGCATACACACACAATTGCTTCTCCTCACATTCATTCTGTGTCTTTCTCGCAGTTCTCTCATCTGTCTCTCTCAGTTCTCTCTCCCTCTCATAGCACCTGACTTGCAGCACTCTGACTTAGATAAATAATAGCCCCTACAAAGTTCACTCCTGCGGCTATGATGAAGACCGGGAACCACCGCCCGTGAGACTGAGTCACCAGCTCGGCGGTGAGTGGACCGCAGGTGATCCCAGGAATTGTGGCCTGCAAATTAGAGAAGGAATCAAGATCAGTGAGGGTGTTGGGCATGGAGATGACAGACTTTGAATAGATTATCTGGGTGGACTAAGAACTCAAAGCCTATGTTTCTGGCATGCCAAAGAACTGCATGGTATAACCAGTACACCAGTACACCACAATACACTTTTCAAATGATACATATTGCACTATTTTATGTGAGTATCTACTTGTATAAAAAGAAAGAAAGAATCCCTAACTATCAAGCCCAATTTTGAGATTGCTTTTATCAGAACCATAATATTTATCTTCAGGGAATTAGTATGTTGAAAAATAGGAGTGTGAGTGAGTGAGTTAGTTTTACGCCACACTCTGCAATATTCCAGCTATATGGCAACGGTCTGTAAATAATGGAGTCTGGACCAGACAATCCAGTGATCAACAGCATGAGCATCGATCTGCACACTGATGACATGTGTCAACCAAGCCAGCGAGCCTGACCACCCGATCCTGTTAGTCGCCTCTTACAACAAGCATGGGTTACTGAAGGCTCATTCTAACCCAGACCTTCACGGGTGTTGAAAATAGGATCTGTAGGTACAGTCAGTGCCACTATCAAACACTTTAGTTCCCAGAACATTTCAGTACACAGAAATACCTGTATGCCAATACATTGTAATATATGCCAGTACACAGCTCTAACAGTGATATAGGTGAAAGGAATGATAACACGCAGCATTTACTTACAAGGGTGTTGGATATAGCGAATGTGATGCCTGCGTGATTGGGAGCCACTTCAGCATGGTTACTGAGATGCCCCGAAGAATTGCATGCACTCAGGCCTAAAGATATGGAGACAAAACTGAAAGAAAATAAGAAAGCTTGTTTTTACACAAATAACTGAACATTGTAAACCAAAAGTCACAGTGTTCTTTAATCTGACTGTTTAAAAACATGATCGAATGGTATTCAGTTCCCGGAAATTGTAAGACTGTGCATTGACACGTACAAATATCGCACACAATTGCTGCGTTGTCAGCAGTTGTGACGTCATTCAAATCATATTGTGACATAAAGTCGGAATGATGTCACAAATGAGCAGTTCTAGATGCTACCATGGGAACCAGCTGAAACGGCCGGCTAAAAAAATAATCTAAATACAAATTTTCATGTAAGTTTACATATTTGGTCACTTTATAACATAAGAATTTTATTTTTTGAGCGGGGAAATTTAATTTTCATATTTTTTTTCTTATTCTTGTACAAATACGACCGGCGGATCCGTAAAACAAGAAATAAAACTGGTCTGGCCTAAGGAAAAAATTTGCAGTTAATGCTACATAAGGTTGCCATTAGTGTGTAATAATATATCAGCAGTATTTAGCTAAACCTGTAGAGGTTTCCAATTCTTTGAAGAGAATCGTCCTTTGGGTACATATATGCATTTTCTGGTGCGGCTGTAAATGTCATGAGACAGTTGTATCAAAGTTTTAATAAAAGTATTGTACAATAAATAAAATCTTTTTTATCTATTATACGGCCCCCAACACGGGGAGTTACCTCCCTGCTACGCATGCGCAGCCAACCAGGCCCGTATCATCATTCCTTCTGCTGAATAAATCAGTGAACAGAATTGCAGGGAGGTGGGTGGCCCTACCCCAAGGACGATTCTCTTCAAAGAATTGGAAACCTCTACAGGTTTAGCTAATTCTTTTTCATAGAGATCATCCTTGGGGTACATATATGCATTAACTCAGACTCCCAAAGACCAGAGGCTAGGGAGGAGGGAATTCTGTCAAAGTACACATAAATAGCGATCGTTAGGAAGAACGTAACAGACGCCACAACAGTCACCTGTCACGTGTCCCGAAGCTTCCGCGAGAGGCATGATGGGAGGATAACCGACAGGGAGGAAAGTACTAAGATCCGACCTCATAGGTTAAGCAAAGCAATTCGCACACAGTGCGAAAATAAAAAATCCAGCCCACATTGTGAATCTACTATCGTAAGGGGGAAACCTAACTCACAACTGACCAGAATCTGCTGAGAGAATCGATAGGCGTTAAATATGGTAACAGCGGATATATCAATGATACACAATTGAAAGCAGCGTCAACTGACCAGATAACCAAGACTCATGACCATGACCGAGTGAGCCTTCAACCCCTCAGGGGGAGGCTTGCCCTTAGCCTGATAAGCAGCACAAATGACCGATACAAGCCAGTGTAATAGGGTCTGTTTGCAAGCCGCATGCCAGCCTTCCCGCCACCGTAACAGCAGAACAGATGGGTACCCGTACGGATCCCTTGTGTTCGCTTTGATATAGACCTTGAGAGTCTTACGGACATCCAACCGGTGAGTGCTTGTTGCAGAGTTCCCGATGTGGAAGGCTGGGTAAGAGTAGGAAGCTGTCACATGGAAAGCGTGATCGATCTTCGGACAGTAAGCATCCGGGAGGCACGACACGATCTGGATGGAACACAGGCACCACCGGGTCTGCCGACAAAGCATGTAAGTCGCCGACCCTTCGCCCAGATGTTACCGCCACCAGAAATACGGCCTTCCATGTTAACAGCTCAATGGAAATAGCCGATAGACGTGAGAACATAGGACCGGACAGCCAATCTAGCACGATTGACAAATCCCAAGGTGGGCTGGTTCGCCTGACTGCAGGTCAAACCCGATCCACTCCAGCTAAAAAGCGCTGCATAACAGGGTGCTGCTCCATAAAAGCACCATCGACAGGGGTGTGGAAAGTGGAAATAGCGGTGGAGTAGCCACAAATGGTCAAAGCCGCCAAGCCTTCTTCCAAACGAGCTTGCAAAAACTCCAATTCTCGGACTAAATCCGCAGAAAAGGGATCTGCAATCCCCCTATCTGAACACCAGCGGAGCGGGCGGGACCACCTATCCTCCTATTGAACGTTTGTCGAATCCCGCCTCGAAGCCAGAATTGTGTCTGCAAGTGCTGCAGGAATTCCGCGTGCTGCGAGGCTAGACCTGACAGAGGCCAAGCCACCCACTGAATCCTTGGATTGGGGTATGGCGCGCCGTTCTGAGTGAGAATTTCTGGTCGCAAAGGTAATAGAACAGGAGGCTGAGCCAGAAACCTGAGAATTACCGGAAACCAGCTCTGTGACAGCCATAGCGGTGCCAGAAGCACAAGTAGCCGAGCTGGCTGGGTGGACAGCTGGGAGAGGACCCGGGTAATGAGCGGTAGAGCCAGGAACGCCCACAGCACCTTGCCCGTCTAATCCAGCAGGAAGGCGTCGGAAGCCAACGCCCTCTGGTCTGGTATTTGAGAGCAGAACACGGGTATCTGATTCGTCCCGCCGGACGCAAACAGATCCACCTGGAACGATCCGAATATCTGCCGGTCGAGCATCAACTTGTGCGGGGCCAGGATCCGGCGAGAGAGAGTGCCTGCTTGCACGTTCTGCAGCCCCGGGAGATAAACAGGAAGCACCTGACAGTCGCACTGGTTGCACCAGAGTAGAAATTCCCACGTCTCCCGAAGGAGCACTAGGGACACTGTGCCGCCTTGCTTCAGGATGTACGTCATAGCCGTACGGTTGTCCAACTGAAGACGAACCACCTGGCCCCGTAAATGCTCCCAGAAGCGCTCGAAAACCAACCGCACAGCTCTCAGTTCTAAGATGTTGATGTGAAGGCGGGCTTCGGCTTCGGACCAGAGTCCAGACACCGACAGACTGCCCAAAACACACACACCCCCAGTCCGTGAGGGACGCATCGGTTTGAACTGAAAGAGCTGGCGTCGGGACTTCCAAAGGGATCCCCTTGGAGAGATTCCCGACATTGGTCCACCACTGAAGGTGAGGCGACAACCACCCTGGGACTGTGAGACACTGCTCCAGATCCTCCGAGTGAGCCCACAGACTCGCCAAAGCTTGCTGTATAGGGCGCATCCTCAACCGCGCCCGCCACACGACAGAGAGGTTTGGGTAGGGCCACGACGGAGCCAAGTCCGCGCTGGTGCCTGGGGCTGGGAGAGGAACGAAGACACCATCTCCCGTACTCTGGTGACCCGGTCGGGCAACAAAGAGACAAGACCCTTGTGAGTTGTGAATCCTCGCCTCCAGGCTAAGGGATCGAGCCGGGCTCGGCGATCCCACTCCCGGACTCTGGGTCCCCTGTTCAGAGTGGGCGAGGAACTCCTGGCGGAGACCTCCAACGGACTTCACGGAGTCCATGTGCTGCTGAAACAATTGAGTGATGACTGACATATCAAAACCACTAGATTGGGATTGAGATTGGGAATGTGACTTATGCGAAGACTTAGGTTTAGCTGGTTTAGCCTTTATGGCTTTGGAATGGGGGGACCTCCTGGGTCAGTTCCCCTCCTGCCTCTCCCAATTCCTTATAAAAAAGGAAATCAGCTGCCCGTCTCTTCTGGGCCCGGGGGAAAAGGCCAGACAGAGTTCGCAGATTTCAGGGTTATGCACAAGCATTTGTCTTCCCTATCAGCTCTCGGGATATTCTGCCCGCAGACAGTACACCCAGTAAACGCCTGAAAGCAAACACGCAAGCATGTAGCTAACGGCGGAAGACAGCAGCATAAATATCCACGTACAAAACATTGAAAATTACGTGAATGCGACCACGCGACATCAAATACTTGGTTAATAACGCAATATTTCAACCATGTGGCACGCTAAACTTCCCGCCATGGAATAGCAACACGTGCGTAAACCACGGGAAAGCTAGCGTAAAATTTAATACAAAGTCACATAAATGAGAAATAACAAACTGCAAAATCAATAAAACTGTTCTTTTTCATTTTAAGAACAAATAAAGACCATACATACAGTTGTTGAAGTCTCAGACATTCTTTCACAAGAGAAGTAAATCAGCTTAGTAACTCGGAACACTTGTGAACGCTTGAGTGACAGCAGAATGATGATAGGGGCCTAGGTGCTTACCTGGCTGGCTGCGCATGCGTAGCAGGGAGGTAACTCCACATGGTGGGGGTCGTATAATAGATAAAAAAGATTTTATTTATTGTACAATATTTTTATTAAAACATTGATACAACTGTCACATGACATTTTCAGCCGCAGAAAATGCACATATGTACCCCAAGGACGATCTCTATGAAAATGAATATGGTGGAATGGGATCTATATGACAGTGAGGTGAGGTGAAATTGGGTTTAACGTCGTGCTTGAGAATATTTCGCTCATATGACGACGTGCATGTGTGTTTATGTGTAAATGCGGCTGCTTGTACTAGCCATGACTGAAGCTGGTTTTATAGTGCTAGCCCACTGAGATACCATGCCGCAGTGAAGCATGAATATCCCATTCAGACTCATTATACTGACTCCGAGCCGACCAGTCCTTGTTGTACCCATTAATGCCGAAGCCAGGCAGGGACCAACAAGTACCATATTTTAACGTCTTTTGGTATGACGTGGCCAGTGATCAAACCTGCGACCTTCTGCTCTCCGGGCGGACGCTCTAACCACTACACCATGGAGACAATCTCTATATGAGTGTGGTAAGTCTTACTGAATAATTATAATTTTTTACAAACAATATTCATGTCCTCATTGGATTTTGCAACAGATATGTGTAAGTTGATGATGTAACATTGCCTAAACTTGTTTCAGCGTACTTCTGATATGAGTTAAGGATCAGATGAATATTGTTAAGGATTACTCACAACACAGCTAAAGGTAGGTTATTTACAGCACTGAAAAACAGGATAAATAAGCCGGGTCCGAGTAACCCAATACTGGTCATGAGGCGCCGCACGGACAACACTGTCCACTTGTGGGCGATGAGAGCATCGGCAAAATGCCCAGCCGCTGTAACAAAATGAGACTACATGAGACAAACACATAAACACTTTGAGTGAGTGAGTGAGTGAGTTTGGTTTTAAGCCGCTTTTAGCAATATTCCAGCAACATCACGGCAGGGGACACCAGAAATGGGCTTCACACAATGTACCCATGTGGGGATTCCAACCCGGGTCTTCGTCGTGACGAGCCAACGCTTTAATCACTAGGCTACCCCACCGCCCCATAAACACTTTGAGACAAATACATAAACACATAGACACTACTACTACTCCTAAACGCATATACTGTTAAGTAGCCTTCACACGGCAAACTAAAGTTTGACAACACATGTTAAAATTTTACAAGTTGTCAAACGCGTTTTCACACGTCAAACACATGTTGTCAAACTTTCGTGTCACTTGAGTGCCACGTCACCTCACGTGATGTCACGTAACATGACAATTTCTTTGACTGCGATTGGTTGTTTCTGAACAACAAGAGTTTGACAACACTTCACACGTCAAACTCAAGTTTGACAACACTGAAAGTTTGACGGAAAAGTTGGTGAGAATAGAGACTGATCCTATTTCTTGACAACTCTGAAATTGGTGTTGGTGGCGAATTGTTGGAATGTTCACACTCTCAAACTCGAGTCTGACAACATGTCTTGTCAAACTTAAGTTTGCCGTGTGAAGGCCGCTTTAGTCAATCCCACAAAAAACACAGCGTCAGCTGCACCACCCCCACTGCCACCAAGTCAGTATAAGCCATTACCCCTAAGAACAAGCATGAGTCACGGAGGACCTAGTCAGGCCCAAAGCTCCACTATCAGACAAACATTATGGGTATACTGCACCACTGCCATCAAGTCAGTATTGTTAGGATATCCCGCTATGGGACAAACACACTGTGTTTACCACACCTCTTTCAATGCTAGTCAATATTACAATATCAGCCCATCTCACAATGGGACAAAGATTGATTACTGAAAACTTATTGTAATAAATGTAAATTAAAAAAGGTAAACCTATCTCTCAAGAATTTCCAATATGAATTAAAAAATACATATACAATAGAAAAACAAATCTTTACTGATAAATGTGAACAAAATAAATATTATTCGCAGTGGATATCCTACCACTCATTGTTTCAAGACTCCAGTTAACTGACTTCAGAATACTGAATCTGCTTTTCTTTTCACAATGAGTCCAGCCATGTCCATCCTTTAAAAGGTTATATTATGATGGTTGGTATATTTACCATATTTCTTGGTCAAGTGTGAATGAAAGTTGTGAAAAATTCTATCTTAGCTTTGCTTGATATGCACCTGTATATTCACACCAGCAGCTGTCTTTTGTATTGTGTGTTTTTATACTGTGTGTTCTTTTGGTGTGCATGTGCGTGCGTGTGTGCGTAGCGTGTGCATTTTATCTTGTTAAAACTCTGAATCCTTCATCATGTTTTTTTTATTTCTCCAAGAGGGCAGGGAATGCCCTGGTTCCTTTGTCCCTACCTGTAACTGGGATTCAGTAATAAAATATCAATTATCCCCCCAAAAAAGAAAACTTACTGTGGCCTGGAAACCCTGACAGGAAGCAAGGGGTACAAAGAACCCATTCTGGGCAGGAAACACCATTTAGTGACATAAAGGGCTACAAGAATCTGTACTGGCCCAGAAGCCCACTAGGGGACATCAAGGGCTACTGAAAACCTATTCTGGTCTGCAAGCCCTGCAAGAGATCAGCATGGTCTACTGGGAAAAACCACATCATCAAGGGATACAAAAAACATATTCTAGCCTGGACACAACACAAGGTCACACCACAGGTTACCAAGAGTCTATTCTGACGTGTAAACCCAACTAAGAGACATCAAGGGCAACCATGAACCTGTTCTGGCCTGGAAGCCCCCTCAGGAGGGACCATGTGCTCCTGAGGACCTATTCCAGTCTGCAAGCCCCACTAGGGTCAAGTATCGGCTACCCACCTACTCCTACTAAAGAGTTCATGATGTAAGGCACTGCCGTGAACATGATGTGGCTCTGGTTGGCTCCCAGGTTGCGGGTCATGTATGTAGGCAACCACTGCATGATGATGTAGTTGGACCAGTTCATGCTGAAGTGAGCGATGTAGATGGACCACATGGGCCAGTGACAGATAAACTCCATCCAGCGCACATTAGTGTTGTTGACCTGAAACACACCACGAAGACACAGCTACAGCTGATCATATAGGAGCTTTGCTGATTAGGTTATAACTTTGGAAGGGGACACTGAAACACACCACGAAGACACTAGCAATATTCCAGCCGTACAGCGGTGGTCTGTAAATAATCGAGTCTGGACCAGACAATCCAGTGGTCAACAGCATGAGCATCGTTCTGCGCAATTGGGATACGATGACATGTGTCAACCAAGTCAGCAAGTCTGACCACCTGATCCCATTAGTCGTCTCTTATGACAAGCATGGGTTACTGAAGATCAGTTCTAACCCGGATCTTCATGGGTGATTATGTTATAACTTTGGATGGGGATACAGAAATATTTCGTACTATTACATGGTGATTGAAATGTTATTAGGTAAAAATCCATGAGTGAGTGTGGTTTTATGCCACTTTTAGCAATATTCCAGCAATTTCATGGTGGAGGACACCAGAAATGGGCTTCACACATTTTACCCATGTGGGAAATTGAACCTGGGTCTTCAACATGATGAGCCAATGCTTTAACCACTAGGCTACCCCACCACACCCTTTATCAAGGAATGTCAGGAATAATTTAGTCAGGACTAAGAAACCCAGTGGTTAAAACATGAGCAATGCCTTAAACCACTGGTTTATTCACATGCTCTCAGCATTGAGCCTGACCCCTTGAATCAATGTATCTATGTGACACCTCTTTGTGTAATCCATATTAATCTGTCCAATCATGAATATTAACATGTTACAGGGAACAGTGACATATCATAATTGTGGCCAGCTAGTCCATGGCTATTTCACCATAAATAACTCTAGTTTCAGACGGAGAAAACTTCACATTATCTAATCATTGAATGGTGGTTGTCTCCAAGGTTTCAGGCTGCTTCAGTTTCTTCGACACTGACCTACAATCATTAAGTATGCCCTAAGTAACATAATTACATTTTTGTCAAGATACACAAAAATGTCTTAACAAAGATTGTTTACCTTCCACCATTTGGCTCTAACAAAATCACTGGCCTCCATTCAATGACTTAAAAACAAATCTAAAGCTCCAGAATATATTATGATACAGAAATTCTGTTCAGTCTCATAAGATCAGCAAATAAAGCATCATATGGCACTAAATTGTACTAAAACAGTGCTAAATGTCAAGTCTTAGCTAGCAGATGAATGTTTTGGGCACAGTATTCTCACCTTAGGCGGCTCCACAAACTCCTCGTCTGATGAGCCTCTGGCTTCTTTATAAAGTAACAGCCAGATAAAGGCCCAGATGAATCCTAAAAACCCAAATAAGTAAAACATCCAGGGCCAGGTGAGATGAGGACACACCTGCAGAGAGAAAACAGACATGTTAGCACAAAGGTAGGACATTCAGGTTTACTCCTATAGTGTCACTGGCGACACACTAGTGACTAAAAGCAAGGTCACTGATGACACACAACCACCCAGGTCACTGATGACACACAATCACCCAGGTTACTGGTGACACACAATCACCCAGGTCACTGTTGACACACAATCACCCAGGTCACTGGCGACACACAACCACCCTGGTCACTGGTGACACACAATCACCCAGGTCAGTGGTCAATGGTGGCACATAATCACCCAGGTCACTAGTGATACACATTCACCCAGGTCACTGGTCACTGGTCACTGGTCACTGGTGGCACACAATCACCCAGGTCACTGATGGCACACAACCACCCAGGTCACAGGTGACACAATCACCAAGGTCACTGGTGACATGCAATCACCCAGGTGACTGGTGACACACAATCACCCAGGTCACTGGTGGCACACAATCACCCAGGTCACTGATCAATGGTGGCACACAATCACCACAGGTCACTGATCAATGGTGGCACACAATCACCCAGGTCACTGATCAATGGTGGCACACAATCACCCAGGTCACTGGTCAATGGTGATACACAACCACCCAGGTCACTGATGACACACAATCACCCAGGTCACTGGTGACACACAACTCACCCAGGTCATTGGTGACATACAATCACCCAGGTCACTGGTGACACACAATCACCCAGGTCACTGGTGACACAATCACCCAGGTCACTGGTGACACACAACACCAGGTCACTGGTGACACACAACTACCCAGGTCACTGGTGACACATCACTGGTGACACACAACCACCCAGGTCACTGGTGACACACAAACCACCCAGGTCACTGGTGACACACAACCACCCAGGTCACTGGTGACACACAACCACCCAGGTCACTGGTGACACACAACCACCCAGGTCACTGGTGACACACAACCACCCTGGTCACTGGTGACACACAACACCCAGGTCACTGGTGACACACAACCACCCAGGTCACTGGTGACACACAACCACCCAGGTCACTGGTGACACACAACCACCCAGGTCACTGGTGACACACAACCACCCAGGTCACTGGTGACACACAACTACCCTGGTCACTGGTGACACACAACCACCCTGGTCACTGGTGACACAATCACCACCCAAGTCACTGGTGACACACAATCACCAAGGTCACTGGGTGACACACAACCACCCAGGTCACTGGTGACATGACAATCAACCACCCAGGTCACTGGTGACACACAACCACCCAGGTCACTGGTGACACACAACCACCCAGGTCACTGGTGACACACAACCACCCAGGTCACTGGTGACACACAACCACCCAGGTCACTGTGACACACAACCACCCAGGTCACTGTCACTGGTGACACAACCACCCAGGTCACTGATCACTGGTGACACACAATCACCCAGGTCACTGGTGACACAATCACCCAGGTAACTGATGACACACAACCAGCCAGGTTACTGGTCACTGTGACACACAATCACCCAGGTTACTGGTCACTGTGACACACAATCACCCAGGTAACTGATGACACAACCAGCCAGGTCACTGGTGACACAATCACCTAGGTCACTGGTGACACAACCAGCCAGGTCACAGGTGATACACAACCATCCAGGTCACTGGTGGCACAATCACCTAGGTCACTGTGACACACAACCAGCCAGGTCACTGGTTACACAACCAGCCAGGTCACTGGTGATACACAACCAGCCAGGTCACTGGTGACACAATCACCAAGGTCACTGGTGACACACAACCACCCAGGTCACTGTGACACGCATCAAGCCAAGTCACTGGTCACTGGTGATACACAACCACCGAGGTCACTGGTGACACACAACCAGCCAGGTCACTGGTGACACACAACCATCCAGGTCCCTGGTGACACACAACCACCCAGGTCACTGTGACACGCATCTAGCCAAGTCACTGGTCACTGGTGACACACAACCACCCAGGTCACTGGTGACACACAACCAGCCAGGTCACTGTGACACGCATCCAGCCAAGTCACTGGTCCCTGGTGACACACAACCACCCAGGTCACTGTGACATGCATCTAGCCAAGTCACTGGTCACTGGTGACACACAACCACCCTGGTCACTGGTGACACACAACCACCCAGGTCACTGGTGACACACAACCACCCAGGTCACTGGTGACACAAAACCACCCTGATCACTGGTGACACAAAACCACCCAGGTCACTGGTGACACACAACCACCCAGGTCACTTGTGGCACACAACCACCCAGGTCACTGGTAACACACAATGATACCAGAGGTAACTTCCATGAAAGGTGACACTGTGAGACTCACCACTGCTGCAATGGTCCCGCCTATGGATCCGCATGCTACAAGATAACCAAATGCCCTTGACCTCTCCTCACAAGGTATTGCATGAGCAAAGATGTGGAAAATAGTTGGTAAACCTGAAAAATATTCATCCACTTTGTAAACGTTATCACTATATATCCTAAATGAAACTATCTGGCTTTATATGTCTATGTGGACATTGTTTAGCATAAGAAACATTTTCTAAATTTTGAAGCATTGTAATGATGAAGTTGAAGTGGGGGAGCAGATTAAAATCTGCAGTGATCATAAAGACATTATGACACAATTTATCCCCGTGTTGAAACTTGATATCAGTGTGAGACCATAAAGCGACTTTAACATTAATAATCTAACATGGTTCAAAAAAAGAAATTATTCTCAGTGAATTATTGTCATGATTATAGTAAGTGAAAAAATACAAAACAAACAAAAGCTGATAATACCCGGTATGAAAATAATCATAACAGTCTCTACTGACTTACCTAATCCTTCTCCTAAACCCAATATTACTCGGGACAAAATGAGGGCATATATGGAGTGAGCAAAAAACGGAACCATGAACGTTGACATTGACCACAGTAGTACCGAGACAACCAGGATGGTCTTGCCGCCATACTTCTTGGCTGCACTACCTCCCACCACCTGTAGGAAGAGCAAACAGACAATTAGGTGGAAGTTACAGTCAGTTGGATGGCTTCAGTTTCTACTTTTATGAACAGTTTGTTTGTTTATTGTTTAACACAGAACTCACACAAAAGCCACTCAATATTCCAGCTATATGACAGTGGCCTGTAAATAATAACATTTTACGCCGCATTTATCATTATTCCAGAAATATCACGGCGTGGGACAAAAGAAATGGGTTTCACACATTGCACCCACGCGGGGAATTGAAAGCATGATGAGCAAATGCTTTAACCACTAGGCTACCTGACCGCCCCTCCTCAGGGTAGGATAATAGTTGGGAATTGTTTAAAATCTAATAATTGATGATTGGTCCATTACAACCGATCAATCATCGAAAATAATTGGTTAGCGTCTTTTATTAAATGTTCCTGTTGTTTTGTTAATGCACAAGGCTTGGGTTTTTACAAATTGCTTCAAAGTCCATTTGCAAATTTTGCATATTTAAATGATGATTAGTATGTTAGGAACACATATTTCCTGGATTCTTTAAGATAAATTCAATCATGACTTGGAGCGAGCTTGTAGTGCTTATGAAATGTAAATTTAATGACACAGACAAAACCAGCCTTGTGAAAAATATTGTTAATGCAAACAAGTGTTCCAAGATTGGTCGTGTTCGATTTCGAGAAAACATGTTCGATTATTTCAATTAATCGGACCACCACTAATAGGCAGTCAACCAAGTCACCAAGCCTGACCCTCTAATTCATTTGGTTGCCATTTAAAACAGCAGAGGTTGTTCAATACCCATTTTCACCCTGATTACGCACGGGGCTATTCTCCGTAAGATCAAAACATTTGTACATTTATGGTTATCTGACTTTCATGTATTAACAGCATAAGTACTTAGTATCTAGAAAGAACAACCATACATGAAGCATTGAAATAAATAATAGAGCTCTCTTATCTGGCTTTCAAGTACAAATATTTAGAGAACAATCATATATCTATCTTTATTTTCAACTTTAGACATTTTATGCTGACAATTTGGAGCTATTTGTTGGCCTAACGTTGGATACCAAGGCACATCTAGTCTGAACACAATTAACTGGTCTATGTTTGCAGCAGAGGTGCCTGGTAGCCCTATAATACACAAAGTGATATTGGTGCTATCAGCTGTTATCAGTATCTCACCTGAACCACCAATCTGTGCTGTGAGCATGGTGTAAGGGAAACACAAAAGAAAAGGGACATAAGTACTGTAAGCAATGATCAGGGTTCAGCTATAACTATTAGTGTCTTGGGGTGAAATGGTATACCGTGGTATTAATAGAACCTTCGTAGTATTTTGCCTTCGGTTCGGTATACCGTAATGCAATCCAATCAGTTTTCGTGCCATTATTTCTATCTAGTCATAAAATAACAGCTTTGTTCATTCAAAATAACAAAGATTAAGGTTATTTTTTTTCCATGGCAGGCCAGACCAATTATATTTCTTGTTTTACGGATCCGCTGGTTGTATTTTTTCTAGAATAAGAACAAAAATAAAAAATTCCCTGCTCAAAAAATAATATTCTAATCTTTTTATTGGCCAAAAATGTAAACTTACATGAAAATTTGTTTTAGGTTGTTTTTGCCCAATACACACTTCATAAATTGCCAAAAGTAAAATGCTTTTAGAATTTAAAAGGAATATTACTTTGACTGGTGATTTTAAACTTTTCATATTCCCTCCAGCCTTTAGGCTTTCTGAGGACAAAAATTCGTAAAACAAGAAATAAAATTGGTCTGGCCTTATTAAACAATGTAAGGTTTTGTTCTTGTTGTCAATTTTCTGCATTACTATGATATCTCATAAACCTAACTGAAACGGACCTAACCGAGGGCTTTGTACCCGAAATAAGTGCCGTACCATGGTAAGAACATACTGTTTCACCCCTATTAGTGTCTACAAACATGTTGAGATATATTTGTGGATTGAAGTATAATTACCTGGCTGCTCATGTAACCGACAGCAAATGAACTAAGAACCCATCCTTGTCCATGCAAATCCCACTTGAACTTGTCCGTCATCGGCACAATAGCAATGGGCATGATCACCCTGTCAGCTGAATTGATAAAGTTGGCTAGAGAGCACAATGCAATTGTCTTCGATGTTTTGGACAACATTTTGCCAGGGTTCTTGGACTGATGGTGGTGGTTCTTCTTACATTGATGGCACAAACTTACTTCAACATGAGCTGAAAATGAAAAAGTTCATCCTGATGAATACTTACTTCTGGAGACAGTATAAACACACTGCAATATTCTTTTTTCTCGAAATGGTTTTAGGCTGTCGGTTCTTGACTACTATACAAAGTACCATTGTTCAACATAAGCTGTATTCATTTGCTTTAACTGATTAGAATGATGCCTAAAACTTGACATATTATTTTATTATGTTAGCATTAGTAGTAGACAAAATTCTAATAAAGATACCAATAGTTGGGTACTTTATGAATTGTGCCGGTATATAACGATTATGAAGAGATGAATATTTCATGGGGACTAACACAAAAAGAAATTCATTGTCTGTATAATATTTTTAGCTGAAATGGTAGATTCTCTCCAATTCAGTTATATATTTATAACACTAGTAGTTTGATTTCACAACATCTAAGGCAAAATCTGTCATTGTGAATACATATTTATATTGATATGTGCAGCAGAGAGGCCTATGAAATATACAGACTGTTCAATTATGTAATATGAGTGCAAACTTCTGATTGAAAATTTACAGGTCCTTCTCTACTTTATATAAAACATTACAAACTCAGGGGTCCATAGCTTCAACAACATCAGGGACAAACTTCAGGGTCCTAGCTAAATTTATGACTCTGCTAATTATTTCAGCACCATGGTTTACATGTTGGTAGAGGTGTTTCGCAGGGAAATACACTTATCTTGTGCATGTTGAAACAAATGGAAAATTAAGCTAATTCATGATACTATCTTTCTAATAATGGCATGTTAACTGAAATTTAACAAACCCTGACACAAAGTGGTGACTATAATTTTAGTCCAAAACCTCTGGAACAAATGGTAAAATGAAATGGACACATGGTACATGATGGAGACAAACTACCCTTGGTACATTATCATGGTACTACTGTTGAGATTGAGTCTATGAGTGTGTAATATCAAGTTTAATTGTGCAAATTTTGGTTTGGAATATGCTGAGACATCATCTAATTGAAGCTATGAGGTCAATTCCACCACAATACTACTGCTGCTTGCAAAAGAAGTTAAGCATTTTTGGATACAACAGACCATTCCTGTGCACTGTTGCTTTGAGAATAATGACAATGAAGATTTTAAACAATTGTGATTGCTTGTAGATGTCATCTCATATCCATATCTTGTACAATCTGTGGTTCACAAAACCCCGTTGATATTAATGATATTAATCACTTATTGTAAATCTCTATATATCTAATGATACTATATTGATAGTGACTCCAGAACTAATTTTACTTGTTGGAGTAAATAACACCACAGCAGGTCAATTGTGACAGCTGACAATAGATGTAGCAGTTGTGGTCAGTACACTGATCAAGTCATTGTCACACTCACGTCAGCTGTTGCCCTGCAACTGTCAAAGATTAGTCCCAAATTTTGACGTGACAGAGTGGCATGTGTCTAGCCTATCGATAAAAAAATCTCCCCTGTAACAAAAACATGGTTACAATGTTCGAAGCGCATAATTAATGACGTGTATGTGTTACCGTGTTCTCGTTACATCAAGCTGATCTAGACAAAATTACACGCAACGATGGGAAAGATGCATAAATATTTCGACGTGGCATCTGCCAAACTTCACTGCCATGTTGTTACAAAGGCCGCTTACATCAATAATTATTAATAAAGGCTTGGATTCCAGAAAAAAGCAATGCAACATCCCAATTCAATTATTTTCGGTATTCTTCTGACATAAAAAGTTAATGTGACATGCAGTTGCTAATGCTTCACAAATCTTTGAATTTGTTCATGTTGTAGGCGATGAAATCTAACACACGCTAAATTATTGGACGACTGGGAAGCGTGTGAACCAATAATATTTGCGCTATTCATTGACTGGGGTCACAGGTCACAAACCAAGCACTTGCTGGGCAAATGATGATTTTATCACTTTTCATTCATGGTCTTTGATCTGTTCGTTAGTTGTAATCATATCACCACTAACATCTGATTCTTTAAATATGCCCAGTCTGGGACCTCCTTCTAAGGATAAGCTACTCAATATCAGAGACCATATAATACATAATATTATATGGTCTCTGTCAATATGAATATGAAAACGGGAGTAAAAATAATGCTTAGGGTACGATATAACTAGACTAACAACTAGTCTCTGAAATGAACATATTTTACTGAAAAAAGTTCATAGTAAAAAAAAATATATAAATGAAAAGGAGCCCTGAGACTTTCTTCATTTTCAGAAGCTGAGGAAATCTAGACTTGCCACATTTTCTAGACTTGCGTGGGCTTTCGTTGATATATTTGCTTCAGGGTCTGTACGACAGACTACGATATAACATTCGGTGAGAATTCAAGTGAAGGCTCATTGGGCAGATGTCAGATGTAAAATGTTAGTTGCCAGCCAATGTTATGCAGCCGCCCACAAAAGACACCGTGGCGCCGTCATTTTATATCTTCAAGGCTTGTTATGGGTTCTGCCTTTTCATTTTCCAACTTAAAACTCTTGTGAGTACAGTTATCTCAAGAGAGCCAAAAAGCATAATTTATATAGCACTTACAAATTTTCGACATTCACAGACCTTTGTTTGCTTTGCTAGTATAGACTTGACACATGATCACATAAGCTCTGTCCAGAACACAGTGAATTCAGGCCGCAGTAGGTTAAGGAGCATGATTATATGTATCTCAATTATGTGTATTAATTTATCATATCGCTCAGGTGTGTTAAATATTCCAACCAAGTCAAGAAACCATCAACATTTCAATCACACCCACCACTGGCAACAGTTAATGAAACTTTGAATTAATTGAACAATGCATCTGGTCCATGGAGCTGAAACCTTGTATGAGTGATCCCAGCTTTGGTACCCAGTGTTTCTAAAAAAGTGGTCACAGCAGCCACTTTGTAAATCTCCCCATTACTCAGAAATATTGCTTATGGGGAAATGCGTAAACTAGTGGAAAAGGAAGAAAGAGAGGAGAGAGGCAGAGATTTACATACACAACCATTTATGCTTCTTCCACTGTGAAGTTATGTATGTGGTTTGGGGAATAACAAGTTTTGTTGTCATATTGTAAGTGTTCTCATTTAACGGGTAACTTTCGTGTTCCTCTGTTTTTCTAGCGTTACAGCAATTGTTATGTGAATTATCCAGGCTATGGTGTTTTTGATGTGCTCAGATGATTCAAATCTGATTCATTATTTCTGAGTGTATTTTTTATGACTGCAGTCAGCTATGACAGCAGACTGAAGTTTTTCACATTGCCCAACTTATTGTAATTACCAGGCTATAAGCATACACTATTGTCGACCAACATGCAGATATTGCCTTTGTTGCCTTGGTGAGTGAGTGAGTTTAGTTTCACATCACTATTAGCAATATTCATCAATATCACTGCGGTGGACACTAGAAATGGACTTCACACATTGTACCCATGTAGGGAATCGAACCTGGGTTTTCGGCGTGACGAGAAAAACAATTATAACTGCAAAGCTACCCACCGCCCTGTTGCCCTTGTGAATGAGTAGTATTTTCCAGAAGGTTGTGAGCATGAAGATGATCCAGTTAAGATAATGTCTAATACGGTGGAATGAACTGGGTATCACATACAAAGGAGTAGTTCCAAGGCAATTTGTTCGTCCTGCTCAGAAATGCTCCACCATGGTTTGATTCCCCACATGGGTACAATGTGTGAAGCCCATTTCTGGTGTTCCCTGCCATGATATTGCTGGAATATTGCTAAAACTAAATTCACTCACTCACTCACTCAGAAATGCTCCAGGTTCATCTTCTCTTGTGTCAATTTCCAAGTCATGGGTTCACCACAGTCAGAGACGTGATAGCAGTCAGTGCAGTGGAAACATGTAATGTCTTCTTTAAAGAAGGCAAAATCTGGCAATGTGATGGCTTCAGGTTTCTAGGACTGAAATGTGTTCCTCATGGTTAACTGAGCCTCCTGAAAGGTCAGTCTGTTAATTCCTGATGTATTGCTATTCTTGAGAATATCAAGGGTAAATGTTTATGGAAAACATACTAAAGGTGTGTAATTCGCCAGGATTGTTGACCTGTTCATAGATCTTAAACATTTTTGCATATTCACTTGATGTTGGGATTTAATGTCATTTTCAAGAGTACTTCTCTCAAATAGCAGCATGAATGAGTGGCTGCATGTACTATTCAGGACTTTAGGGTACTAGAGGGTACTAGGGTACTAATAGTGCTAGCCCAAAGACAGCATGATCAAGTTTAACATGGATATCCCATACTGACTGTGCTGACCTTATCTTGTGCCCATATTAATGCGGACAGCCATTCTAGGTAATTTCTTTTAACATCTTTTGGTAGGAGCCACAGACATTCTGCTTTCTTTCTATCTACTAAACCTGTGAAGAAAGGGGTTAGAATTTGTGTTCAGCAACCCATGCTTGTTGTAAGAGGTGACAAACGGGATCAGGTGGTCAGGTTTGCTGACTTGGTTGACACGTCATCGTATCCCAGTTGTGTAGATCAATGCTCATGCTGTTGATCTCTGGATTGTCTGGTCCAGATTAGATTATTTACAGACCATCACCATATATAGCTGGAATATTGCTGAGTGCAGTGTTAAAACAACAAACCAACCAACCAGTTCTGTCGTAAACCTCAGAAGTAGTTCACTTGAATTGTGTTCACAGGTAAATCTTCCCATGTGCATGCAAGAATCACACAATGGATCCAGATGGGTGACGCAGGGATGCACACCTGTTTGCTTTTCAGAAATCTTGCATGTACCCTGCACCCTTCATTAAGTCACTTGAGTTTGGGTGTTATATAACCCTCCTTCAACATCCTGGCTCTGTTTCTGCATAAATAGATGAGGTGGAATATGCTTTTATATCACATTTAAGGTTACTGCACTTATGTAGCAACGTGCATGTATATGTGTATCAGGTTGCACTTCTCTGGGCCTACGTTTTACCATGCCATGGCTTGATATGATGACCCAGTTCAGACACATAACCCCTACCCGATCAGTCATATCCCTTTAAAATGGAGCCCCAGGCAGGGTAACAAAAAGAAACTTATTTTACTGCACTCCACCCTTCTGCAGATGCTCAATCCACTGAGGCAGTTTGAATGAACTTGAGCTGCCATTCTCATTTACACAATATCTTACCACCTCAGCTTGTTGTTCTTGGTTAAAATCAGTTGTAATCATTTATAGAATGTACAAACAAAAAATCATCAAGCATGCAAGACTGATCTTCATTCTTCACCTGGTTCAGAAATAGGCCATGACTGCACACTGGGATCTTTGGTCCAGGGGAGTTAAATTGTGAATCGACACCTACACATAGTGATAGAAATCTTATCACATTAATGTATTGTTTACTGAAAAACAACATAACCAATTAAAAAAAATTGTAACTTCAATTTCAAAATCCACAAAGTCCAATATACTTCTGACATTGTACAATAATCACATATATACACAATAGTAAAAAAAAATAATTGTATAAGGAGGTATTTTATCATGTAAACACTACACTGTGTAATTATATGAACTAATATAATATAATCAAAACAGCATACTGACCAATACACTTGACAAACATGGTAGGAATATGCTTAACATGTATATACATGTACCCACCTGTGTAATAATCCTCAACAATTATCTTCAATTCAAATGAAGGAAATGGGTGTGTCACTGGTTGCAGTCAAATAATACAGCACCCAGTCAATACCTTGTCTCAGTCCCATGCATCACACTATACCAATGTTTAAGTCTGTCTTGGAGACTATAGCATACATCTATCTACAATAAAGATTGTTGATGTCGCATTCTAGATGAAAATAATATCCAATAAATCTGTAAGTATGAAAAAAATGTTAAAATATTCATCTTAGATTTGAATTTATTTACCAGAAATAAATCAACCTGACGAATTCCTCATCTTGAAGAACTTGACAGCTGGAGAAAATGTACTCAAGGTTATATTTGGATATTTGAATTCCACCTTTCATGTGATCTTGATAAATTCTGTATTTCATTCATGTTTATTATTATTTAACTGATATTAAAATCAACATACTTGTAAGACAGACTTCAACCCCAGGTGATTTTCTACAGTAATTATGTCAACAGGGCATTTCATCACTACTGTAACACAAACTATTCAGTAAAAAACATTTTTGCATATAGTGTCAAATGTTATAACAGCAAATTACAAATGTCTCTTTAAAGTATTCTACTGACCATTAAGCTTAAACCCATTTCAAGGAGTCCATCAGCAGTAGGGACTCTTTGATTGGGTTGTGGAGAACTAGTGCTACACTCTCACTGGTCTCCTTAACCCTCTCCTTGTGGATACAGTCTAATATGTTGTGTGAACAGATTTGTGCAATTAGGATCCAAGAAACTAATCTGAAACAAAGTTGGAAGACTTGGAAACTCTTGCTTAATCAATATTGTATATTTTAATAACCGGTAAAAACATTAAGAAAACTACGTACAAAAAACAACAAGAAACTGTACAAAAAGATATATATTTCATAATCAGTCAACATGTATATTCAAATTACTTGTGATGAAGTTCCAAGAACCCTATGGCACATTCGTGTATGTAGTGTTATATTTGCTTAAACCAGTCTCATCCATGCATGTTAGCTACAAAAGGGGCATATATTTCATTTAAGAACAAAATATTACTTATTTTACAAAACGTTTTCATGCTCACATATCTGATTAGGTTACTGACAATATTATGAAGAATTTAATTACTTGATAAGAAACATCAATATAAAAACACTTTTTCATTCCAAATAAAGTAAACAACATTCATTATGCCATATGTCATAGCGGTTTTCAACAATAAAGGCCAGTTGTGACCCACTCGTGTTATTCCGGGACAAGTCATAGTGGTTTTCACCAATAAGGGCCATTTGTGACCCACTCGTGTTATTCCGGGACAAGTCATTGTGGTCTTCACCAACAAGGGCCATTTATGACCCACTCATGTTATTCCAGGACAAGTCATAGTGGTCTTCACCAACAAGGGCCATTTGTGACCCACTCATGTTATTCCAGGACAAGTCATAGTGGTCTTCACCAACAAGGGCCATTTGTGACCCACTCATGTTATTCCAGGACAAGTCATAGTGGTCTTCACCAATAAGGGCCATTTGTGACCCACTCGTGTTATTCCGGGACAAGTCATAGTGGTCTTCACCAAAAAGTTTGTGACCCACTCGTGTTATTCCGGGACAATCCGACTTCCTGGAAAGGGGCGAGTCATGATGAATGCTAATAGTAATGTTGTTTATACTTTTTATGTCTGGTATGGCATTATAAATAATGGTACTGACAGTTCAATACAAATATGAATATGGATTAATATTTCCCTTTAGGCACAACAGATTAAGTATATTTTTAGATACATTGTACATCACATGACTAGCATAGTGATAACATGAAAACACAAACAATGTTAATTAATTAATTTCTCCAGCATGTAATTCATTCTCAACATTCACCGGATAGGGTAAGTAAATTATTACTTACTGTAATAAACATCTTACAAAAGCAACTATACTTCCTAATTCTGTATGGAATAATATCTAACCATGATCATTGGCACAAACAACATGTGATTGAAAGTATAACATTTTAACACAGTTAACAATAACATGAAGTTAGATGAATCTAGGACTGGTATGAAGAGATGAAAGGTGTTGTGGCAGACATTATTGTGGGGGATAGTGTGTACCTCCATTTCCTGAGCTCAGATCTTTAACTCTTTTTTTTCTCTTTTTTCTACCTTAATTTATTTACAATCTCATCCATTATTCATCTCAGCATAAAGATCTAAGGACACCTCCATCAAGGATACAAAATTCTATGAAAGTAATGTATCCATTTGGACAAGCATATCTGCATTTTGTATTTATAAAACCAATATAATATGGGAGTTCTGAATGCAAAAGATAAGCCATACTATCATAATGTTGCAGATATTTTCACATCTTGCTGTTTCTGAACGAAATGGCATCTACACCTAAACAAGTACTATTAAGACCTTAATTACTTGGTTTTTGGATTTTTTTACAAATTATTAGACCACATATGCAGTGTATAAAACATAGCCCATCACATCGTCCTTTTCGGTCTATTTTTGTGAAGGACGGTCTATTAAATAAGTAAGGCCGTCCTTTGGTCAGGAGAAATATTTTAAAAAATATACTTAAATTGGTTTGAACTTTGTCTTATCTATTATTTTTTCATTGTTTTAGTTTTTGGGACTGGCTGTGTTTGTTCAGGACTGGTCACTTTTTTGGACAGCCAGTCCTTGGACTGGCCATATTTCAAAACTATTTTATACACTGATATATGCCAGGTGCAGCATGCCAGTGGAGCAGCCACTGGCATTACTTTTCTCTCTGTTCCACTCTGTTTCAGGGAATATTGTAAAGGTATAATTTGCTATTTTTTTCACTTTCTTTGTTTTTTATCGGGTTGGCAGCATATAATGGCAGTAAAAAATGTAAAAACAATTTGTATTTTTTCCCCACTTTCTTCCCATTTTGGGTCAGCGGATCTGTAAACCAAGTAATGGAAAAAACGGCCTAAGGGTACATTTGTTAGTGGTTGTTCTCCTTGGCCAAGGCCAAACTTTCCAAATTGAGCTTGTTAAGAAATGATGAGCAATTGTTTTAAGAAGCTAATAGTTGATCAGCTCATGAGCCTATGCTTCTTTCATGTGGCCTTAGCAGTCAAAGTTCATTCAGGATTCACCTAACATGACCTTCTGTCAAGGTTTCCTGAGATCTCCATGTCAAGTTTTATGATATCAGGCAAAAGATCTGGGACTTAGACTCATGAAATTTGAAAATTTGTCTGTAGATTGTGCATAATAGATCTTTCTTTGAGAACAGACAAGCCATGAAAAGGACAGTGTTCAGTTAACATTACTTAAACGTGTATGTAGTCATGCCGAGCATCACCCGACGAGTAGCTGCTGTATCACAATGAAACACGAAGATACATTGTATGACTGCTGTCATCTTCCAAATGTAAACAGTACCTGCTCCGATGGTCATCATGTTACAGGGTACAAAATATTGCATCCAATATGGATACAAATATGCATGGGTGCAAAAAATGTTCAGTGTAAAAATATTTGGTTGTTTGAAACAAATGAAACATTGTAGATTGCATGTGACATATAATTGACATTTCTGTTCAGGTAGAAATACAAAATGATGTGCACCAGAAACAGATGTTCACCTGTCTGACACTAAATACCCATTAAAGAGCATGTCCAGAATGACATCAGTAAAATTCTTGGAAACCAGATAAAGCATGCCCACATCGTTGGTCTGATTATATACTCCGCTGCTATGTATAAAATTACTGCTTTCAAATAACTAAAAAACCTTTTTTAATGTGTTTTCTGCTTGAAAAGTACTAATTGGCAGGATTAAATGCAGACATAATTCTATCATACCACATGATTGATTCAATGCATGAAACAGAGAAGCAAAAACATGCTTTTCTTGTAGTTTGTTATAAGCAAGTTTTAATCCATGTTATTAGAGCTGTGACGATATAATGTAGTATCGATAATCGTGATATCTTATCTGATGATAAATATATCGATATATTTTTTCCGTATCGTGATATGTACCGTTGACCTTAAAATTGTTAATGCACTAGAAATTTACACTGTTACTTGCTATAAAATATACTTTTAAAAAGAAATTAACTAATGATAGCATATCGTGATATGCATCGAATCGAATCGTATTGTTCCAAGATATCGCAATACATATCGTATTGTGAAATTTCTGTATCGTCACACCTCTGCATGTTATTGACATACTGAGTTTAAAGTCAGGGAGTCAATACATGAATGAAAACAGAAACCAAATTAGCTTAAAATGGTTTGATGAAATTCTTAACAACTATTGATTATTTTAATAATGTTAATGGAATGCCTTTTCAATTCCACAAAATGGAAATGGTAACATGATTGAGCACTTATTGAAACAGTCAATAAAATCATCCCTGTTATTTCAAACTCAAGGAGGTATTAGTGTACTACAATAAACAATGATTCTATATAACAAAATGAAATCATACAGAGCAAAAACAACTTTGGTTGATACATGGATTTACCACTATCAGGACGACAGAACAACTTTCTTGTCTCATGAATACTTTTCCAAGATGTGAACACAATAATTTAATCTTTTTCATATAAATTTACTGAAAATGTTGAAGCACAATATTCAAAAGAATCTCAATGTTCAATCACTATGATTGTACATTTGTTTTTGGTTTAGGGCAGCTCATCCAGAAAACAAGACATCTTGTGGCGTAATGAGTCTTGTTTATAGTTCACTTTGGTTCAGTTTGCACTTCTTTGCACATTTTTTGTATCAGCAAATGGTGATTCATATGCCTCCATTGGAGGACATGTGCAGACCACGTTTTGGTCGCCGTATATGTCATCAATGCGTCCAACAGTGGGCCAGAACTTGGTCTCCGGGCGTACAAATCGCTGAAATGAGATATTTTCAATTAAATTTCAGCTGGAATTAAATTAGCTACAGTATTTTTAATATTATGTTGAACTGGGTGAACATGTTTCAGATATTTCATTTACATAAATTACTCTCAATTAAACTCTCAGAGACTCTGAATGTCACAAGTAATGTAGAGGTGACATGCTTAACAGCAGATGTTCCTTGATGTAATTTAGTGGGATGGTAGCAGGCTGATATCTATCACTGCCTACAGGTGGTCACAAGATAGAAATATGTCCCTACAGAGACAGTTCTACAATGGGGACTTACTGCGGGGAAGGCGGCCTGTTCCTAGATGCTATTTAGTAGGACCACAGCAAGCTTATATCTATCACTGCCTACAGGTGGTCACAAGATAGAAATATGTCCCTACAGAGACAGTTCTACAGGGGGACTTACTGCGGGGAAGGTGGCCTGTTCCTAGATGCTATTTAGTAGGACCACAGCAAGCTGATATCTATCACTGCCTACAGGTGGTCACAAGATAGAAATATGTCCCTACAGAGACAATTCTACAGGGGGACTTACTGCGGGGAAGGCGGCCTGTTCCTAGATGCTATTTAGTAGGACCACAGCAAGCTGATATCTAACACTGCCTTCAGGTGGTCACAAGATAGAAATATGTCCCTACAGAGAGTTCTACAAGGGGGACTAACTGCGGGGAAGGTGGCCTGTTCCTAGATGCTATTTAGTAGGACCACAGCAAGCTGATGTCTAACACTGCCTTCAGGTTGTCACAAGATAGAAATATGTCCCTACAGAGACAGTTCTACAATGGGGGACTTACTGCGGGGAAGGCGGCCTGTTCCTAGATTTTATTTAGTAGGGCTACAGCAAGCTGATATCTAACACTGCCTACAGGTGGTCACAAGATAGAAATATGTCCCTAGAGAGACAGTTCTACAGGGGGACTTACTGCGGGGAAGGCGGCCTGTTCCCTGGTGTAGGGCCGGTCCCAGTTGGAGGACATCACATCTGCCTGAGTGTGAGGGGACATCTGAAGTAGACCATACACAATTTGTCACTGACAATACTTGACAGGTTTGTTCTCCATCATTGATACAAAATGTGGTATAGTAATGTGTGTCTATTCAAGTCAAGCAATGAAATGATACACTATTCATGTGCGCGAATAAAAGGCGAACCTGAACATTGCTTCATAATAAAGTAGAGTAGGTGTCCTCAAGGCTGTGACATTCATTGAGAAATATCGCCATTTGTGCAATGTAATCCAAATTCTCAAAGCAGAGAGCACTCCCTGGCTATCCTTTAGCTGGAACCAGGCTGTGGTTCAGTGCCTTGATTTAGAGTAGCATCAACATTACATATTGTCTGATTGTATTCATGTGTGATGGAGGAGTGAGTGAGTGGGTGAGTTTAGTTTTACGCTGCACTCAGCAATATTCCAGCTATATGGCGGCGGTCTGTAAATAATCGAGTTTGGACCAGACAATCCAGTGATCAGCAGCATAAGCATCAATCTGCGCAATTGGGAACTGATGACATGTGTCAACCAAGCCAGCGAGCCTGACCACCCAATCCCGTTAGTGGCCTCTTATGACAAGCATGGGTTACTGAAGATCAATATTCTAACCCGGACCTTCACGGGTATGTGATGGAGGAACATATTATACAAAAAAACAAAGTATTAAAATACTGGCACTGAATTGTCCACATCATTGACAGGACAGTGTTGGTTTTCCTATTTCAGCAATACAGATGTAATTGGTGGTACATGCAGTCATATTCAGCAAACAAAAAACATAAGTATTTGTAAGGAAGTCAGAAGTAACTGTCTATTTCCGACAACTATAAGTGCAATCTATTTCATTTATAATGTTTAGATCAGGTGAGATACCTTCAGTGGGTTGATGTTCATGTCAAGTTTGCCAGTCTCAATGTCATGAATTTCCTTCCTGATTGCTAAAAACAGAAAGAAGTAAATCATTTGTCATGTAGGCTTATAATTTGGCAGGCTTACATGATAGACAAGAGTTACCTTCCCTTGACTAACAGCCATGAAAAGGACTTGATATACATTTGGAAAATGAATATGTTCACCTGAATGAATATGTGGACCTCTCTAAGAGTTTTAATGGCTCAGGATTCATAAAGTTGTAAATGTGTTTCATCACATCCACACAACTTGCAGCTGCTCTTTGAAGGGTAATATAATACCTAGGTACCTTTTTGGTATCCCAGAACATAGGCTCCCGACTCTGATATATTTATAAGTATGACCTATCAGAGTCGGGCGCCTATGTCTCAGAACTAGCATCTTTTGCTGCAACATGAAATGAGGACAAAAATGGGACTTTTCCAAATCTTATGACAGTAAACAAGATTAATTATCTTTGTAATTTTCCCACCAGCATCGACTTTTCTAGACACTGTAACCAACCTATGTCAGTCCCACGATCATTTTTTTTCTATTTACTCTATGATGTGGGTAGCATGCCTCGCCCCTGGTTTCCATCCCACATACCTCAGTTGAGTATGGTATGAAGAGTACAGCATGTACTTACCAATGAGAGCATCACACAGCCGGTCTAGCTCGCCCTTGTCTTCGGACTCTGTGGGCTCAATCATCAGTGTCCCTGCAACTGGCCATGACATGGTCGGAGAGTGGAAGCCTGTGGGTAGCAGAAGCAGTAATAATAATAAGTCATCTTCTATAGCGCACAGTCTCCAAACACCAAGTGTTTGCTCGCGGCTCTTAATCAGAATTGATTCTTATTACCCCGGATAACCCAAGCTGTTTGTTAGGCGCTAGAAGGTTATAGTCACATGACTTTATCCAACCGGGTACCCATTTTCTGCTGGGTGAACAGATGCAATTTTGAACAAACTCACTTGTCTAAGGTGAGACCACATGTATCATATGTGCTTCGTTATGGGGCAATACTAAAGTCCTAGAAACTCACAGTATTACTTGATAATCTCACAAAACAAACATTTGACGGTTAACTTCATCTACTTATGATTACAAATAGACATTTAAGTGTTTAATGTATTAACATTTCATTGGAAATATCTTCACAATCACCAACATATCCTTAAGATTGACTTAAGTGCCCCCTGCAATCCACTTATGATACACACCATAGTCCTGAAGCCTCTTGGCTATGTCCACCACTTCTATGTTGGAATTCTTCTTGAATTCTCTACAGTCAATGATGAATTCATGAGCAACAAAGCCTAAAAGGAAAAATAAAAATCTAAACATAACAGCATTATTGAATCTTATCATCAGAAGTCTTATGAGTAAAATTAAAACATTTGTAACTTAATTTGAGAAACGTATTTCACAACAATTACGCATGGTGCATTCAAACAGATGCCTCTGACATTCATGAGTTAATGAATCCTGTGTAATTTATGCAGTCTCAGCATTCAAACTATATCACAACACAAACTCAGAAACAGACAAATATGTGACTGAAAGCAGGTATACTTATCCATGCCTGTTTTATAGTGACAGAGTGAGTGAGTTTAATTTTACGCCGCACTCAACAATATTACATTTATATGGCAGTGGTCTGTCAATAATTAAGTCTGGACCAGACAATCCAGTGATCAACAGCATAAGCATCCATCTACGCAATTGGGATGCGATGACATGTGTCAACCAAGTCAGCGAGCCTGACCACCCGATCCTGTCAGTCGCCTCTTGCGACAAGCATGGGTTACTGAAGAGCAATTCTAACTAGGAATTTCACGGGTGCCAGTTTTATACAGTCAACTCTGTCACACACTGTGGCCATCCAATCCTCTTTATGTGGCTCTTACATCATAGGATGCATGGGACCTATGAACATGAACTATGGACCTAACATTGAATCCCCACAGTGTAAGTTACACATTAAGTTTTACATTTTATGTTAAGGCCAGACCAACTTTATTTCTTGTTTTATGGATCCACTGGTCATATTTTTTCAAGAATAAGAAAAAAAATAACAATTAATTTTCCTTGCTCAAAATATAACATCCTAATGTTAATGTGATATAAGTGAAATACTCTTGAAATCAATGTGAAACCTAAACTCACTCACTTATTTTTAGTTGACATAAACAAACCAAAAGAGTTAACATGGAAACTAATGTGGTTTTGCTTTGACTGGTGATTTTTAAATATTTTTTCCCTCCTGCCTTTAGGTTTTCTGAGGACACAAATCCATAAAACAAGAAAAACAATTGGTCTGGCCTAATAATTTATTAATTGTATATTCTGTGGCATATATATATATATTCAATACTACTGCATCACCTTTGACTATGCTTAGATTTCATTACAGCTGCAATACAGATCTTGTATTCACAAAGGAGTTTTGACAAGTATGAATGTCTGGATTCTATCTTTATTATATATATCACCAAATCTGGCAAATCAAACCTACCTTCTTCATTTGTATACAGAGTCTTAAAATGGCCGTTAAGTCTCCTGCTCATGTAGTTTGCGTTGAGGATGGCAATCTCTGAAGCATGACGCAGCCCCTCCGCCCCCATCATCTTGATGTAAGCCCAGGAGATGGGGAGGATTGCACTGGAGCCAAAGGGGGCTGCTGATACCACGCCGAAGGACTGCGCCTCTGGACCGGTTGTGCCATATGGAGGTATTATGGGATGTGTGGGTAGGTATGGGGCAAGGTGCTTCTTCCTGGAAAAAGGAATTATCACTTGTAGTGATGAACACAACAATTGTAGTCATTTATTCAATATTACTGCCTGTCAATATGTCTAAGGATCAGTTTTGTGATAATAATCTTGGTCGTGTGAGAGTTCATTATTGGATTTATGAAACTGCCAATCATCAAACTGATGTGAATGATGGTCGATAATGCATCATTCAACAAATCGGATCAGGGGCCCAATCCACAAAGCTTTCATAGCTCTACGTCATTTGTAATTCTATGATAAACTTATAGTTATGATAGCTTGTAGCGTTACAACTGCTTTGTGGATCGGAACCCAGCCCTGTAGTTGAAATCCAATAACACAATCTCATAAAACTGCAAACACCAAGACTGTGAATATGGTGATATTGTACAGACTGGTATTAATTTTGTATTAATTGACAGTGATCCAGACTTTAGGTCACCAACACGAAACCTAGAAGAATTGTACTGACACTCCGATGGGTCCCATTCCCGGTCCCCCTCCTCCGTGGGGGATGCAGAAGGTCTTGTGAAGGTTCAGATGGGACACGTCAGAGCCGTAGTCACCAGGACGACAGATACCAACCTAGAACATATTCCCTGGTGTTCACGGATAGTCAATATCACTACATACATACAGCATTTCATAAATGTTATGTACATGCTGAACAGTATTTTCCTGCGAATTAATGTTTTGTACACTGGAGTCAGCAATATCACAGCTATTCCTAAGCAGGCTGTAATAACATACATCGGCCAAGTAAACCAGTGATAGGTCATGTGAGTAAGTGAGTAAGTGAGTGAGTGAGTTTGGTTTTACACCGCTTTTAGCAACATTCCAGCAATATCACGCTTGGGGAGTCCAGCCTGGGTCTTGGCATGACGAGCAAACGCCTTAGCCACTAGGCTTCCCCACCGCCCCTATTGTAAGTATGAAGCTTGATAGGGCAGGTTGACACCTAATAGCTACCTGATACTCAGTAGTCATGGTGTAACGGGGGACCATTTGGGCCCTGCAGTCCCATTGACAAACAACAAAGGAGTGATGTGGCCAGTGAACCCCTACTGGAGACAAGCCTGGAGTAGTGGAGATGAAAATTACTCTGGGATCCCATCAGGAATGAATACCTATAGAACGGTTTCCTTCCCATCCTGCTGCATGTTTCAAAGCTGGATAGAAGACAGTTGAGTTACCTGTGCATTCATGTTGGCTCCATCCAGATACACCTGGCCCCCGTAGTGGTGGATCATGTCACAGATCATCCTGGAACAACAAGAATTTGTCATACAGGTAACCAGGTACCCCTAGTAGGCAACTTGTCATACAGGTAAACAGGTACCCCTAGTAGGCAAGTTGTCATACAGGTAACAAGTTGTCATACAGGTAAACAGGTACCCCTAGTAGGCAAGTTGTCATACAGGTAAACAGGTACCCCTAGTAGGCAACTTGTCATACAGGTAAACAGGTACCCCTAGTAGGCAACTTGTCATACAGGAAAAACAGGTACCCATAGTAGGCAACTTGTCATACAGGTAAACAGGTACCCTTAGTAGGCAACTTGTCATACATGTAATCAGGTGCCCCTTGTAGGAAACTCATCATACAGGTAATCAGGTGTCCTGTAGTAGGAAATTGTCATACAGGTAAGCAGGTGCCCCTAGTAGGCAACTTGTCAAACAGGTAATTAGGTGTCCTGGAGTAGGCAACTTGTCATACAGGTAAACATGTACCCCTAGAGTAGGCATCTTGTCATGCAATGTACAGGTGTACAGGTAAGCAGGTGCTCCTATAGTAGGCAAATCATCCTACATAATAAGATGCCCTTTAGCAGGCATGTTCTTACACAGGTAAACAGGTGTCCCTGTCTGGTAAACAGATACCATTATAGTAGGCATCTTCTCACAGAAATAAACATGGGATAAGGAAGACAAATTTCACTCTTCAATATTCCTAGTGACCAGTCAGTTACATACCCTTTCAACAACATTGTGTTCTCTGTCTCAATTGTCAAGCTTAGTTTGAGGCGTTTTACTTACAGAATGGGCTAAAGGTTTTAGTGAGTTGTTACCTGATGTCCTTGTCGAAGACGCCATGTGTAGAGGGGTAGGTGATCATCAAACAGGCAAGGTGGTCAGTGTGCTTCGCAATCTGAAGTTAGTGAGCAACCATTTGATTTTAATGATGTGATGGCAGGATATTTTCTAAAAATATAATCAAGCCCCTTGTTTACTTAATGATTTTTACATATGTCCACCGATGAAGGCAAAACATTTTGCATGTGACATGTGACCTTTTTTTTCAGACATGTGTCAAAAGAATCCAGTTTGTTGTTTTAACTTTCAAAAACTAATTGAGCACCTGAATCTTTTTGAAAAGATAATTGAGTTCTTAATTATTGAAGAAATATTTGCAGATTTCAAAGCAAATATACCTTCCTTCTCAATGATAACAGACATTATAAAGTGAACCTTCGGAACGTGTTTCCCAGCATTCGCCTACATGTTACCCAGCATGCTCTTGTATGCTATTAAAAAGACTACTCTTAGATCATGTTAAACAATATAACTTATGAAACTTTATGAAATGTTTCACAGTATATGCACTTGAAATGGTGTAAAACAGTATGCTCTCATGTGATGCAGCAAGCATGCTCTTAGGTGATGCTAACCAGTATGCTCTCAGGTCATGCTAACCAGTTTGCTCTAAGGTGATGCTAACCAGTTTGCTCTCAGGTCATGCTAACCAGTTTGCTCTCAGGTGATGCTAACCAGTATGCTCTAAGGTGATGCTAACCAGTATGCTCTCAGGTGATGCTAACCAGTATGCTCTAAGGTGATGCTAACCAGTATGTTCTATGGTGATGCTAACCAGTATGCTCTCAGGTGATGCTAACCAGTATGCTCTAAGGTGATGCTAACCAGTATGTTCTATGGTGATGCTAACCAGTATGCTCTAAGGTGATGCTAACCAGTATGCTCTAAGGTGATGCTAACCAGTTTGCTCTCAGGTCATGCTAACCAGTATGCTCTAAGGTGATGCTAACCAGTTTGCTCTCAGGTCATGCTAACCAGTATGCTCTCAGGTCATGCTAACCAGTATGCTCTAAGGTGATGCTAACCAGTTTGCTCTCAGGTGATGCTAACCAGTATGCTCTAAGGTGATGCTAACCAGTTTGCTCTCAGGTCATGCTAACCAGTATGCTCTAAGGTGATGCTAACCAGTATGCTCTCAGGTCATGCTAACCAGTATGCTCTAAGGTGATGCTAACCAGTATGCTCTCAGGTCATGCTAACCAGTATGCTCTAAGGTGATGCTAACCAGTTTGCTCTCAGGTCATGCTAACCAGTATGCTCTAAGGTGATGCTAACCAGTATGCTCTCAGGTCATGCTAACCAGTATGCTCTAAGGTGATGCTAACCAGTATGCTCTCAGGTCATGCTAACCAGTATGCTCTAAGGTGATGCTAACCAGTTTGCTCTCAGGTCATGCTAACCAGTATGCTCTAAGGTGATGCTAACCAGTATGCTCTCAGGTCATGCTAACCAGTATGCTCTAAGGTGATGCTAACCAGTTTGCTCTCAGGTCATGCTAACCAGTTTGCTCTCAGGTGATGCTAACCAGTATGCTCTAAGGTGATGCTAACCAGTTTGCTCTCAGGTGATGCTAACCAGTATGCTCTAAGGTGATGCTAACCAGTATGTTCTATGGTGATGCTAACCAGTATGCTCTAAGGTGATGCTAACTAGTTTGCTCTCATGTGATGCAGCAAGCATGCTCTAAGGTGATGCTAACCAGTATGCTCTCAGGTGATGCTAGCCAGTATGCTCTAAGGTGATGCTAACCAGTATGCTCTCAGGTGATGCTAACCAGTATGCTCTAAGGTGATGCTAACCAGTATGCTCTCAGGTGATGCTAGCCAGTATGCTCTAAGGTGATGCTAACCAGTTTGCTCTCAGGTGATGCTAGCCAGTGTGCTCTAAGGTGATGCAGCAAGTATGCACTTAGGTAATGCAAGCCAGTATGCACATAAGTAACGCTAACCAGTATGCTCTAAGGTGATGAAAGCCAATATGCACTTGGGGTGGTGCTAGCCAGTATGCACTAAACTGATGCATATGGGAATGCCCTTGGGTAATGCTGTATGTTCCTGTCAATACACACCATAGCGTCCAAGTGCTTCATGTCAACATGTCCACCCTTGTCCACATTGATGGGCTGGATCTTCATGCCGGCCATCTGGGCACTGGCAGGGTTGGTGCCATGGGCAGACACTGGGATCAGGCAAACCTGGAAACATATGTCACACACACTGATGATAGGTGAGTGCTTGTGAGTTACTGTATCATCTTGAGGTTAAACAAGGTTGGGACAACCCCACACATTAATGATAGGTGAGTGCTTGTGAGTTACTGTATCATCTTGAGGTTAAACAAGGTTGGGACAACCCCACACATTAATGATAGGTGAGTGCTTGTGAGTTACTGTATCATCTTGAGGTTAAACAAGGTTGGGACAACCCCACACATTAATGATTGGTGAGTGCTTGTGAGTTACTGTATCATCTTGAGGTTAAACAAGGTTGGGACAACCCCACACATTAATGATAGGTGAGTGCTTGTGAGTTACTGTATCATCTTGAGGCTTAACAAGGTTGGGACAACCCACACATTAATGATAGGTGAGTGCTTGTGAGTTACTGTATCATCTTGAGGTTAAACAAGGTTGGGACAACCCACATTAATGATAGGTGAGTGCTTGTGAGTTACTGTATCATCTTGAGGTTAAACAAGGTTGGGACAACCCCACACATTAATGATAGGTGAGTGCTTGTGAGTTACTGTATCATCTTGAGGTTAAACAAGGTTGGGACAACCCCACACATTAATGATAGGTGAGTGCTTGTGAGTTACTGTATCATCTTGAGGTTAAACAAGGTTGGGACAACCCCACACATTAATGATAGGTGAGTGCTTGTGAGTTACTGTATCATCTTGAGGTTAAACAAGGTTGGGACAACCCCACACATTAATGATAGGTGAGTGCTTGTGAGTTACTGTATCATCTTGAGGTCTTAACAAGGTTGGGACAACCCCACACATTAATGATAGGTGAGTGCTTGTGAGTTACTGTATCATCTTGAGGCTTAACAAGGTTGGGACAACCCCACAGATTAATGGCCAGGCTGACCTTCTGACCCTCTTCTACATCCATCACTCACTCACTCACAATTGGTAAATAATCTTAATCTTGACCAATGACCATAAGCATCAATCCATGTTTTTGTATACAATTATACACCATCAACGAAGTCACTTGGTAATATCAGCCACTTAAGTTGTCTCTTATGACCAGTATAGTGAGTGAGTGAGTTTAGTTTTATGCTGCTTTTAGCAATATTCCAGCAATAGCATGGTGGGGGACAGCAGAAATGGGCTTCACACATTGTACCCATGTGGGGAATCGAACCCAGGTCTTCAACGTGTCGAGCGAACGCTTTAACCACTAGGCTACCCCACCGCCCTGACCAGTATCGGATGCTTCCTACCTTGGATACAAACAGCATCCTTTATCTTTGAGATATATACCCTGCTGGTAACAGACTTGTATCCACATTGTAACTATAATCCTGGCAATGCATTCGCATAGGTCATGCCATTCATCACAAAGCTAATTATACACCCTGTTCAAGGTGTCTACTTTTCTTTGTTCATATATTGTTCAATGCTACACTCATATATATTCGGGCTATACATATTTATTTGGGCTAAGTGATTACAAAATACTCGAGTATGGACCTGACAATCCAATGACTGACATCATGAGCATCTATTCACATGATTGGAATGCAATAAAATGCATCAACCAAGTTAGCATCCCTGAATAAATTAATCTTGCTGCTAGCCTCTTATGACAAGTTTCACTTACTGAGTACCAATTCCAACCCAAATTTTCATATGGAACTGGGTATCTGGAAATTTCCATCTTATGGATGTGGATAGTATTTCCACGTTGGACTGACTGACTGAGTTTAGTTTTACGCTGCTTTTAGCAATATTCCAGCAATATCACGGCGGGGGACACCAGAAATGGGCTTCACACATTGTGCCCATGTGGGGAATCGAACCCGGATCTTCGGCGTGACGAGGCCAACACTTTAACCACTAGGCTACCCCACCGCCCCCTGCCACGTTGGAAACAATAGCCATATTCTGTTGCCTATAAGCATACTCACATTTCTCTGATCTTCTCCCTGGGCCTTCAAGTAGGCCATGATGGCCCTCAGTCCCGCATACTCCCCTTGTGCTCCGCTAGAACATACATCCAATATTATACAATATCATCAGGATAAAGACACGTAAAAATAGTCCCAACCTATCGTCATAAGTCACACAGACTCGGAATATGTAAACCGTGCTGACTGTGTGGATTGTTGTTCACATTATCAACCCCTGGTTTGGCTGGTCCTGGTTTGATTCCCAGACCTCAATACCATACAATGGCTGTGATTTTGCTGAATTTGGTGTAAAATATAAAACTTCAATTGTATGATATAGAATATGGTATAGACTAATATTTATCTCAGAAATAATTTTTGATGTGGGGGAATGAAATATTGTACATAATTGGTCTTCACAATATGTGGAAACTTACTTCTTTTACAACAAATAAATGCAAATATTACACAAAAAACATCAATAAATATATTCATCAATTTCTCATATGTAGAATATTTGCAGAGGTAGTACCTGTTTGGCTGAAATGAAATCTTGTCATAGCCTGTGATCTCGCACAGGTCAGCCTCGAGTTCCTCAAACATCTGCTGGTAGCCAAGAGTCTGTTCTTGGGGGACAAATGGGTGGATGCAGGCAAACTCCTTCCATGAACACGGCTGCATTAGAAGAACAGAGTGGAATAATGTGACATGCACCTTGCACAACTGGGTCACTTGTGTCTACTTTTTAGCAAGTAGGCCTGTGAAGATCCGGGTTAGAATTGATCTTCAGTAACCCATGCTTGTCGTAATAGGTGACTAACAGGATTGGATGGTCAGGCTCGCTGACTTGGTTGAAACATGTCATCATATCCCAATTGTTTAGATCAATGCTCATGCTGTTGATCACTGGATTGTTGATTATTTACAGACTGCCGCCATATAGCTGGAATACTGCTGAGTGTGGCAACCAACCAAGTGACATTTAAACCCAAGTCATGTGGTGCTGCCTACACTGACCATCATCTCGGTGGTGCTGTTGAGCTTCATGGTGCAGGACCCAAGTGGAATCATGGAGTGGACAAGCGACAGGTCCTTGTTCTCAAGCTGCTTCATGTAGCGCACGATGTTCGTCTCAGATTGATACCTGACACAAGGAGGTGGTCATTTCACATTTGGTTTTAAACTACATCTGATTTCATTTGACACTGATGAATTGCTATCTTATATAAACACAAAATCTGATAAATGCAACAAAACCAAATTTTGCACAGTCACATGAAATCGACAGACCAACTCTAATGATTGCCTCATAATGTGGACACCCGAATAAAACAAACAATCATATTTTTTGTCACTTTTCACCATTTTTTTCGAGGGGGACCACTTGCTGCACTTACATACAAGTGGGTGTTAACTGCCACACTAAGTAATAAATTGGAAAGTTTGAGGCACAGATGTGTGTAATCTCTCTATCTCATTACAATTAGACCTGATTCTCACTACCGCTAAACATGGATTCCTCAGGTCACCTCAGAACAAACTTTCAACTTTTATAAATCATGTAATTTTCTGAGTAAAATTGATATTTTATACTTATCCTGACTCATGTATTATTGCTTTGATAAATCATGTAATTTTCTGAGTAAAATTGATATTTTATACTTATCCTGACTCATGTATTATTGGTGTTAACTGCCACACTAAGTAATAAATTGGAAAGTTTGAGGCACAGATGTGTGTAATCTCTCTATCTCATTACAATTAGACCTGATTCTCACTACCGCTAAACATGGATTCCTCAGGTCACCTCAGAACAAACTTTTAACTTTTATAAATCATGTAATTTTCTGAGTAAAATTGATATTTTATACTTATCCTGACTCATGTATTATTGCTTGTCTCCTTCCTTCCGCGAACGTTAGTGGAACACTTGTATCTCCTTTTTGAAGCTCCCTTAAAAAAAGCAGACGTAAAATCACTACTCACCATGAGTTGCCTCCCTCTCCGTTTTGGCGGGAAAACGGCGCCACCCGTCTTCCCACTCTTCACTCTCTCCGAATTGCAAGCCCGACACTTAGATTTTCTGGGAAATCCAAAGTGCCTAGCGGGGAGGTTGGGAGGGCTTACCTCATGAGTCAGGATAAGTATAAAATATCAATTTTATTCAGAAAATTACATATTTTTCCTTATCCTGACTCATGTATTATTGCTTGTAGAATCCTACGGATTTGGTGGTGGGTCAAGCCACTTCTGGATTCCAATTTGGTGATCTACGTCTTGCGTACCCCCCTATGGGAACTTCCTGGTAGCACTGCAATTTACTGCTAGGCTCTGCTGCTGCTGTAACCCTTTACTTCTGTTAACATTTTTATGTGGGTTTTAGCAACTCCATCTCTTGATGCAAGCATCAAGTGGAGAAGCGACCCTTCTTATGTACGAGTACGTCCTTACAAGTACTGGGTCTTATCACTTATGCTAGTCTGTCTTAGACGTGCATATGGACTCTAAAGCTGTAACTCTCCTGAGTGTAGGCTTTTGCAAGTCATGTGATAAAAGGGCGATACTCCGTCTCAGCGCCTCTGTGGAATTGTCAATTGTTGTGCTACAACAAGTGGGCCGAAATGGTGAATGCCAGAGACGTCCTCAGTGGCGATGTCTCTCAGGTAGTGGTTGGCAAACACCATGTCCGATTTCAGAAGCAGCCCTCCATTATGTCGTAGGTGATAGAGCAGTTTCCATGTAGAAGCGAGTGTTGGCGTTGAGCTCTAATTTCATGTGGATTGGAGGCTCTTGGAGGATCAAGTCCTGCTGCTTTGTAGGCCCGTAGAAGGACAGTTCTCATCCATATTGATATCGTAGTGCAAGAGATCTCAGTCTGTGTCTCTGCCGATATAGGGATGAAAAGACGCTTGAATTTTCGTCTCCTGGTCCTAGGCCTTTGTAGGTAGACTTTTAATGCTGTGGGCACAAGGATAGGTCCTGTGTATCCTGTGGCCCAAGGACTGATGATAGTGCTGGGATATGGAATTGTCTGTCCGGTTGAACTGGCAGTTGATTCTTTGCTATAAAGTCCCATCTCAGTCCCATATGCCGCGATGTTTTCGATTTTCATCAAATCGTGTCCTTTCAAAGTCTAGAGCATGTATTTCCGACATCCTTGCTGCTGTTGCTAAGGCAATCAGGAATAGAGTTTTCTGTGTCAAGAACTCAAAAGATGTCCTATCTAATGGTTCATAAGCGTCACTGGTGAGATGCCGAAGAACTATGTTGAGGTCCCAAGCCGGAGCTTTAAATCTCTGTTGTTGGTCCTCCAGTTTAAAAGAGCGTAGTAAGGCCAGTAACTCTGGTACCTAAGTCAGTTTTACACTCGTCCTCATAGTGATAACTGAGCTCAATGCCGCTAGGTACTTTGAGAGTGTTGACCCTTTTAACCGCTTCGTTTGTCTTAGGTGACAAAGATAGTCCGCCACTTGAGGGTGTGTTGCTTTCATGGCTGTGAAGCCTGTTTTCAAAGTGTAGGTCTCAAAGCTTCACCACTTGTTGTTGTACAAGTTGCGTGTTGACTTGCGTAAAGCTAGCGTGACCGCTTTAGCTGCCCTGGCGGAATATCCTCTCTTTTTCAAGCACGCCTTGATACTCTCCACGCGTGTAGGCGGAACACCTTGGGGTTGCCGTGTGCTTGCTTTGTGTGTGGATGTACTAGCAAGTTAAGTCCACTCTGGTAGTTGCAGTTGAGGCGTCCCTAGTTCTTGTATGAGAATGGGGAACCATATTCTCGCTGGCCAGTAAAGCGATCAAAATCAGTTGCAGGTTCCTCGTCTGCATGATTTTCTGCAACACTTTCTGTATTAGAGCTGGTGGCGAGGAATGCGTGGCGTTTAGTCCTTCCAGGAGATGCTTAGAGCATCTGTTGCCCATGCTCGTGGATCTGGTATTGAAGAGACGAATGTTACCAGTTGATTGTTGAATCTTGTGGCAAACAAGTCTATTAGTGGCGCTCCTATCTCTTGTATGATCTGTTTGAAGATTTCTGGATGTAGCATCCATTCTGTTGGGGATGGCTGAGTTGGGCCGAGATAGTGCGTCTGCTATCACATTCTTGGCTCCTGGAATGTGGCATGCTTTTATGTGGATGTTCAGATTGTCTGTTATGCTGAACAGATGAAAGCAAAGGTTCAGAAGGTTCGCCAACCTTGTTGATCCTTGTTTGTTTATGTAGAACGCCACTATGGAGTTGTCCGTGTGTACCGTTAGATGAGCACTCTTTAGAATGCTGGTCCAGTGGAGTATGGCGTTTATCACTGCTTTCATTTCTAGCATGTTGATGTGCAGATCTTTCTCTTGTAATGTCCATTTCCCAGCTGACACTTCTTTGTCGAGGTGTGCTCCCCATCCTTGGAGAGATGCGTCCACATAGAGATGCGTCTTGCACTCTGGCTCTGCTAAGTAGGTGCCTCCGCAAACATTCGATCTCTGGAGTCCACCATAGTAGATATGGTTTTAGTCTGTCGGGAGTCGAAGGGGTCGGATCGTCCAGATGTGCAATTCACGAAGACCTGTAATGGGCGTAGTTGTAATCTCCCTCTGCTGGCGTCATATCCTGTGCTGACGTGAGGAGACTCTGCCACTGTCGAAGGGCCCGCGGAGAGTAGAGCTTGCGATACCATCTGTTGTATCTTTATCCAACGGTCCTCTGGTACTGTTATCGCGGTTTTCAGTTGTGATGAGCCGAATTCCTAGGAACTGCAGGTCCTGTGTAGGCTCTAGTTCCGACTTGAGGAGATTCACTAGCCACCCTAGTTGTGTGAGAAGTCTGATGGTAAAGTCCAGCTGTAGTCTGAGATGACTGGGATCTTGATGAGCCTGAATCCCATCGTCTAGGTAGAGCGCGCTGCGTAGACCTCGATGATGTAGGTATGTGACTATGGGCTTCGTCACTCTTGTAAACAACCAGGGGCGATGATATTCCAAATGGCAGGACTTTCCATTGGTAGTGTCATCCGTCTAGTAGGAATCTGAGGTACTTCCTTGATTCGGATGTATAGGAATGTGCAGGTATCGTCCTGTAAATCTATGCTGGCCATATGGTCCAGCGGACGGGACGAGATGTAGCAGTTGAGGCAAATGAATCATTTTGAACTTTGCTGGTTTTAAGTAGATAATCTCTGTTGAATGTCCTCATGTTGTAAATTAGTGAACTTTTCTTTGGAGTTTTCTTTGAGTGCGAGGAAAACTGGGGAGTAGAATCCTGGTGAGATCTGGTCCTGATCTATCACCTCTATAAGCGTCCTTCTCTAGTAGAGATGTGACCGCTTCTTGCAGCCTCTCTGTCCGATGGGTTGCAAAGTTGAAACTCTGAGGTGCGTTTGTTAATGGAGGGGCTGCTTGTAGTTGTATATGATATCCCTCTCTTAGGATGTTGGATACAAATTGATCTTGAAGAATTCCCCAGTTCTCCCAGTAGCGTTGTAGATGTCCACCCACTTGGGAAAGTTGAACAGGAACGGCTGGGGGTGGAAGACTCCAGTCGTTCCGAACCCGCCCTTCATCGTCTAAAGCCTCTGGCACCTCTGGGTGCCCTGCCTCATCTGGATCGTCCTCTATAGTTACCAGATGGGCGACGAAAAGAATCCTTTCCTCCTTTGGAGGGTCCCATTTTCTTTTCTCTTGCTTTCTGGATGCCTGCAAATTTAGATTTGCCAGAGTAGCATTGGGACGTCTGCCTGATGACACTGGCTAGTGTATCAATGGACTTTATCATCATGACTTCCCTGGATTCCTTTGTGACTTCCTTGGCAACCTCGTCAATCTCCCCTGCGAAGATGGATGTTGTAGACCATGGAGCTCTGTACAGAGTCTTAGTGAAGCGTTCACTCCAGTTACATGAAGACAATAGTCCTTGTCTTCTGGCGAGCGTCAATGCTGCTGATATGGATGATAAGTGCTCTGACATAAATTGGTGGTCTTTTTCTGCGTTAGTAGGGCAGAATAAATCATCCGGTCTTCCTCTGCAGTAGAGTTCCTGAACTTGGAGATGAGCGTTTCATTAACTGCCCTGGATCTGTTAAGTCCGAAGAACATCCTTCTGGTCATAGTGTCTATCTGTGCCAGCTTTTTGTCATCAATCTTGTAAGATTTGGTCCGGGAGTCGTTGATGATTTTATAGTTCTCATCTATTTCTTGTGCCTTCATAAAGGGGTCCATGTTATGTAGTGAGAACTTCTTTGCGTTGAACTGTGGGATATTAGGAGACTGGAACTTAGTTGCCTTCCTGAAGGCTGCGTCCAGGTCCTCTGGTACGTCTGAGACTGGGTCAATTGGTGGTAGAGTGATAGTGTCGACATCATCGTCCTTCATTAGGTACGTGAATGCTTCATTCTCTTCCTTAGAGGGTGACGCTAGGTCCAGTCCATTAACCATCCAATATTTTATCTCTGAGTCAGAAAATATGATACCGCCATCGTCCTCTGTATCATGTCCACTGGTATATGATCGTTGAATATCCTTCGTGCATGGAGATCTGCGTGGCGATCTACATGGCGATCTACGTGGCGATCTGTGTGGAGATGAGTATGTAGAACAACGTGTAGTTCTAAGAGGAGATCTGTATGGCGACCTGCGTGGAGGTGAGCGTCTTCTAGGCCGGAATTGCCTTCCTGATGGCAATATATTTCTAAGTGGTGAATCCTGTGACAACCTGCGAGGTGTTGTTGGCGCCCTTGAAGATAATTCAGACGACCTTGGCGCGGGTGAGAGAGGTTTTGTTGAGGGTCTGAGTCCGAGATGTCTCTCTAAACCTTCTAGGAGGTGTAGGTTTCTTTCTCTGTGAAGTGGGTAGCCTGCGTGAAGGTTCTTCATTAGCCTCATCATCTGATGGCGATCTATTTTGTTCTGAAGAGCGCCCTCCTTGGCCCAGGTTTGCTGGCGTCATGCAGTGTAGGTCTGCTCTTAGTCCTAGAGCTAGATCCTCTGGTAGGCCTCTCAGATGTATCATCAGTGTGGGGTCCTTCGTGCAGCACTGGATCCTCTCTGAGGTTGATGACTTGGGCATGAGAGCCGCCTGGCTGTCCATCATGCGAGGTTCTTTCCTGCGCTAAGCGCTTCTCAATCATTTCCATCATTTGTTGAGAGAATTGCTGCATGAAGGCCCCGGGGTTGAATGTCTGTGACGACTGTAGTGATGTCGCATCTGAGAGGGTAGCGATATGGTCCAGGGATTGCTGTGCCTCATGGATCTCTGCTGTCAGTGTTGAAGGTAACTCGGACTGCGTAGAGAGGGATGCTGATGTTACCGTTGCTGAGGCCTGCGTCCTTTTCTTATGCAGTATCTCTGGGATGATTATCAACGGCTCATCATATAAGCCTCTTTCTTCCATCGGGACGATTTCAGCAGAAAAAGTCCTCGTAGTCTGTGAAGAACTCCCAGTAGAGCTGGTTGAAGCCTTAGGGGTGTAAGGCTTCTTCTGCGACGAAGATGGCCTCTTTTTCTTCATATGGGTTGAGGAGTTGTCCGACGTAGAAGACCTTTTCTTCGATGTAATGGCGGACCTCATCCCACGCCCATCTTCTGAGGACACCTCTGGCAGGTCACTGGATGGAAGTATGTCGTCTGACAACGATAGACAGCTCTTTAGGGACTCAGCCGGTTTAGCCATGACTTGCAAAACGTCGCCTGGATTTATCCATAGGCACTCCTAAGTACAGAGAAATAATAATAATTAAATTAAATTTTTGTTAATTGCTGACATAAATTACAGCGAGAGCTGGAAGTACATATTGTTGTGCAACTGGGGCACAATAAATGCGGGTCTGCAGCAGAGAACCTAAACCTACAACGAAAACAGTTTTTTTATGAAATGTAAACAAACTGAACAATCACGTGAAACCGTGAATAAACAGTTAAATTTGCTAATAATTTCAAACCATATTGTAGAAGGATACTCCCTGAAACCTTATAAAGGTAACTTATAGGGAACTAACTAAGTTAGCAAAGGATATAGTGCCGTGTTGGAGACACAGGTGCTCTCCCAACCGTCCACTAGGGCGAAGAAGGAGAGAGTGAAGAGTGGGAAGACGGGTGGCGCCGTTTTCCCGCCAAAACGGAGAGGGAGGCAACTCATGGTGAGTAGTGATTTTACAACTGCTTTTTTTAAGGGAGCTTCAAAAAGGAGATACAAGTGTTCCACTAACGTTTGCGGAAGGAAGGAGACAAGCAATAATACAAGAGTCAGGATAAGGAAAAATAATGAAATATACATTGTACCAACAGTTGTCACACTTTCCTGAGCTACACAGTTACGGCAACTTCTATTCCAGACTGAAAATGTTTTGACAATTTTTTCTTATTAGGAAGGTGTCAGTTTATTTTGACAGATAAGGCTAGTCTAGATCTGATTTTAATGCCAACCTCTTGAAGACCGAATGAGTGAGGAAGTCGCTGGTCCTCCGGTGTTGACTATTATGGAGACTGGTGTTAGGGTTGGTGCCAAGCTCATCACTTATCTCCTCCTGGAATCAAAGACAAAACTTGAACAGACTGGAGAGATTTGTCATATTATGAATTTTCAGAGATTCACTGTATTCTACCAGATAACATTCTTAAAAACAAGCTATTATAAATTTATTTTCATTGTCTGTGTGGTGCCAAACCTTGCAATATATACCCTCCTAAGGGGGTGGGGTGGGGGTGAGGTTTATAGTTATACCCTCCCAAGGGGGAGTATAGTTAACTAATTGCAATAAACATGGCTGTCTGAAAGCAAATGACATCAGAAAACATATAATCTGACAATGTATTTGAGAACAGATTTCAATATTTTTCACATTAAAAAAAGATAGTTAAAAGTTTGTGGGCAAACTGTGTAAATCTGGGCATCACATTCATGTAAATATGTGCACACTGGTTATTAGGTTTCTAACTCCATAAATGCCAAAACATATTACTATTAAATTCTTATGAGCAAATATGTCAACAACAATGACTTAATCATCACAAAAAACTGCAAACAACAAGACAGAATCAGTGATATTGTTCAGAACAATAATGCAACAGAACCCCCTCCCATTCCATTGTCTGCCAATCAGGAATCAGTAGTCTGTTGGTGAGCCTAATATTCTCCAAGTTTCAAATACCATGGAATCACTTGCAACTTATTTGTGTTACACATTAACCATCATATTACATAATATTCAGGCAGGAAACCTAGATGAATTGAAGTCAATTTACATCAAATTAATGGCAGTTCTCATGGATTTGATTTGTATTTTAATCATAAAGGTTTTTCTCACAAATCATGTGATAAAACATGCCTACCGCTGACTTTGGTGACCCGATGACCTGAAGCAGGTCAGACAAGTCATCTCTCTCCACAGTCTCATCTAAAGACACGCCAACCTGGAACATAAAGATGAGATGATGGTGATGATGATGATACATCATTTTTTTAATCAGCTTATAATGATTTCACTTGGATCACCACTGTGCAGAGTTACAGGTTCTCACAGTATGACTGACATTTAATAATATGAAAACATTTCATATCAGAACTAAATCTTTTAGTTATATTTTGTATTCACAAAACTTATCTTTTAAGTTGTAAATTTCAAATTTTCTTTATATGAGATAAAATAGGAACATTTTACAGGCATTTCTGTAAATGTCTCATGTTCTCCTGTATACATACATGGCCATCACTGTAGTAGCGAAGATTGATCTGTTTAGCTTCAGCTTGCTCACGAATATGATCCTGGCCCCGACCGGGTAGAAATTTGACAGTGTCAAAAAAATCCTCAGAGGAAAGAGCATGACCTGCCAGCTTGATGCCTGAATTAAATGAGCAAGTTTACAGCAAGACAGAATGGAAAGTGAGTGAGTGAGTTGGGTTTTATGCCGCTTTTAGCAATATTCCAGCAATATCACGGTGGGGGACACCAGAAATGGGCTTCACACATTGTGTCCATGTGGGGAATCGAACCCGGGCCTTCGGCGTGACGAGTGAAGGCTTTAACAACTAGGCTACCCCACCGCCCCTAATGGAAAAAGAAGAAACGTTATACATGCAACATTCCCAACATTGGGTGGGTGAGTGGGTGACCATACAGATGATTTACATTACCAGCATGTTTTTTTAATACCATGAACAAAATCACTGAGTAAGACATGCATAGTTTACAGCAACCTATTCTAACCAAGGATCACCCTGGTTGTACAATATCATCTCAGGGACAGATTGAGGATGCAGGGCTTACCTTCAGCCAGAATCAGTGCACCATGATGCACTCTGCTTCCAATGTGTCGCAGTCCCTCAGCCCCATGGTAGACAGCATACATGGCAGACATATTAGCCAACAGAGCCTGTACACAATAAAGAATACACTGAGGAAACCATTCACTGTCCGTGAGAATAATATCTTGTTCATTGGGAAAAACTTACTTTTTGTACTTCTTGATCCCTGTAAAAGTGAAAATCATGAAAAGTAGTACAGTGGTTAGTGTGTTTACCTGCATTCCCAGATATGAAGGAATGGCAGTCCATTGAGGCCTATGAACCAAACAAGCAAAATGTGAAAGTGGCTCAGGTTAGAGTGAGTGAGTTGAGTTTTACGCCACACTCAGCAATATTCCAGCTATATGGTGGCGGTCTGTAAATAATCGAGTCTGGACCAGACAATCCAGTGATCAACAGTATAAGCATTGATCTACGCAATTGGGATACGATGACATGTGTCAACCAAGTCAGCTGGCCTGACCACCCGATCCCGTTAGTCGTCTCTTGCAACAAGCATGGGTTGCTGAAGATCAATTCTAACCCGGATCTTCACAAGTGGCTCAGGTTGGAAATATTTACCCCTAAATTTGTGAAAGGCCATATAGATAAAAAAACAAACATATTCCAGATCCTGGCACAAAAAGCAACATTTTAAGTTTTAAAGGACCCTTGCCCCTAATGTAAGCTTGATCTTATGACTGTAGATTTGGCAGTACCCAACCTGTGCTGTGCAGATGTTGCTTGTGGCCTTGTCTCTCCTGATGTGCTGCTCCCTAGTCTGTAAGGCGAGCCTCAGAGCATCACGGCCACTTGAGTCTCTAGGTGAGTAAGGAACTGTGTTCAGTGTGAATGATAGTAAATCCACATAGTGAGTGAGTGATTGAGTTTAGTTTTACGCCGCACTCAGCAATATTCCAGCTATATGGCGAGTCTGGACCAGACAATCCAGTGATCAACATCATAAACATCGATCTGCGCAATTGGGAACCGATGACATGTGTCAACCAAGTCAGCGAGCCTGACCACCCGTCCCGTTAGTCGCCTCTTACGACAAGCATAGTTGCCTTCTGTGACAAGCATGGGTTGCTGAAGACCTATTCTACCCGGATCTTCACGGGTCAAATCCACATAGCTTCTGATATTGCCACCCTGCATTTTTTCAACATGTGCTCAATGGAATGAAGTTAATGAGATGTAAATTAGGGCTTAATCACAGTGCTTATAAAACTGGCAAATTACAAACACACAGAAGTGTCTCCTTTCTGAAAAGTTTCTTGATATGTGTATTTTCAAATTGTCTCAGTCTCTACACAATAATATTTTCTCTTCCACCATTTATATAGCACCAAATGAAGCAAGTCTAGATTTTCCATAGGTTCAACTGGGCATCTCAATTGGACTCCTTTCAACATTAAAAGGAGTGTTTCTGGGACCAGTCTAGTGGCCATCCATTAGTCTAGAGTTTCAAAGCAATAGACAAGTGATTTTCGTGACGAAGCAATGGACAAGTTTTTCAGAGACTAAGCATCAGTATAGTGTTTCAGAGACTACAAATGGTCTAGTGTTTCTGAGACTAAGCATTAGTCTAGTGTTTCTGAGACTAAGCATCAGTGAAGTGTTTCAGAAACTAAATATTAGTCTAGTGTTTTAGAGATTAAGCATTAGTCTAGTGTTTCAGAGATTAAGCATTAGTCTAGTGTTTCTGAGACTAAGCATCAGTCTAGTGTTTCAGAAACTAATTATTAGTCTAGTGTTTCTGAGACTAATTATTAGTCTAGTGTTTCTGACACTAATCATTAGTCTAGTGTTTTAGAGACTAAGCATTAGTGTAGTGTTTTAGAGACTAAGCATTAGTGTAGTGTTTCTGAGACTAAGCAATAGTGTAGTGTTTTAGAGACTAAGCATTAGTCTAGTGTTTTAGAGACTAAGCATCAGTCTAGTGTTTCTGAGACTGAGCATTAGTCTAGTGTTTCTGAGACTAAGCATTAGTCTAGTGTTTCTGAGACTAATTATTAGTCTAGTGTTTTAGAGACTAAGCATTAGTGTAGTGTTTTAGAGACTAAGCATTAGTGTAGTGTTTCTGAGACTAAGCAATAGTGTAGTGTTTTAGAGACTAAGCATTAGTCTAGTGTTTTAGAGACTAAGCATCAGTCTAGTGTTTCTGAGACTGAGCATTAGTCTAGTGTTTCTGAGACTAAGCATCAGTCTAGTGTTTCTGAGACTAAGCATTAGTCTAGTGTTTTAGAGACTAAGCATTAGTCTAGTGTTTTAGGGACTAAGCATTAGTATAGTGTTTTAGAGACTAAGCATTAGTGTAGTGTTTTAGAGACTAAGCATCAGTCTAGTGTTTCTGAGACTAAGCATTAGTCTAGTGTTTCTGAGACTAAGCATTAGTCTAGTGTTTCAGAGACAAAATAGTCTAGTGTTTCCCAACTCACCTGGTAACTCCAATCATCCTGCCTGGCATCATCCTCATGAAGGATCCCTTACAGGCGAAGAAGCCCGCGTGGGGCCCCCCATAACCCAGGGGGATGCCAAACCTCTGGGTGGTTCCCACAGCAATGTCCATCTCCAGCTCCCCTGGGGGTCTCAGAATAGTGAGAGCCAGTAGGTCTGTAGCGCACACCACCAGGGTCTGACAACAGATAAACCTCCAGGCTAGGATTGGCAGTCAGACAAACAGCTCTTGCTGCATTCAAAACAAAACTAGCACGTGAGCCAAGTGCATTCTTTCGTGATAATACTATATAGTGTTCTTTGAAGTCTACCAGTTATTCTTCAATCGAGTAATCTGATTATACTGCATTCTCAATGGATGACAATAAACATTATCTTTCATATTTCTAACTAAGGTAAACCTTGGAGTATGTCATGAATATGACATAGGCAGATCCAGAGGGGGTTGCACACCATCCCTTTTGTGCTGAAAGTTTGTTAAATGACCATTGAAACTCGGGTGAAAATGAAGTGTGCGCCCCTCCTTTTCTCAATAGTGTGCACCCCTTTCTCAAAAAGCTGTATCCGCCACTGATATGATGTACTAATGTGGCGAAACCTTGCAGCTCTGGTGGCAGTTTGGTTTTGTTTAAAAAGAACTACTCACCACCTTCTAGCAATTTGTGACAAAGTAACATTGTAAGCTTATATGATGTACCAAAAACAGAATTAATCCAAACATCCATTCACTGAAAATAATTTGTTTGTTGCTTGTCTATCTTGCCATTTGATTGCATCTGTTTACAACAGAGTCTTCTGTGCAAAGCGATAAGCAATTAAAAAATATAGAACAAAATATGCACACTGACAAGATGAATGGAGATGATTCAGTTAAAGGGGCACTGATCCAGAATCGCGACAGACACTGGGACTGGGCAGCTGTCTACCTTGGTAGAATTTCTTCAACCAAAACAATGACACAAGAAGAACAGCGAATGCCCATCATATGCCGTTATTTGAAAATATCCCCAGTAGTTCTTGTCTGATTGACCCGTGAAGGTCCGGGTTAGAATGTGTCTTCAGTAACCCATGCCTGTCGTAAGAGGCAACTAACGGGATCGGGTGGTCAGGGTCGCTGAATTGGTTGACATATGTCATCGGTTCCCAATGGCGCAGGATGATGCTCATCCTGTTGATCACTGGATCGTCTGGTCCAGACCCGATTATTTACAGACCGCCGCCATATAGCTGGAATATTGCTGAGTGTGGCGTGAAACTAAATTCATTCACTCTAGTCTGATTGTAATTAAGTATTCCTGCAGTGTAAGCTTTTTCCGATATTTTGATGTGTGGATGGTATGATGACTGATCCAATTTTTATCCTTTTTCTGCATTTTTTACCTCGATATTTAATCATGTCATGTAGCAATATGATGTTTACTGACGATATGTTTATAAACACAAATATGATGTATTTGAATACGTAAACTACCCCGGTAAATCAACCCCACTTTGCCATTGCTAAAAAATCTAAAAATTTACTTAGGTTAATAGGTATGTACAGTTAGTAACTTTAATACACAGCAAGTGCTGTGTTTCTTATGCATTAATGAAGTTCTGTTCATATCCTCAAAACAGTGTCAACCCCTAAGTTTTATAGGCAATTAAAATTGCATGCAGTACAGTCATTACTACTCCCTTGCTATAACTCGTATTTAGTGATATAAACCAGTACACCTGCTTATTTGTCATCATTCACTTGATGGGTAGTTAATGAATAAGGTATAATTAGTGGTAACATCACTCAGATAACCCCACAACAGTTCCCATTTAGCATTTCCCATGCCAAATACTCGACATTTTAAGCTATGGTCGGAAGTGGCAAATGTATTACATGTTATGTAATATGCACATGAAAGTGCAGCAAGAGGAATTATCAGCTGAGTTAAAAAATAACAACACTGATGAAAGGATTAACCGATAACACATCAATTGATTAATTACTTTTATCTTGCATGGCATCATGTGGTAGGGTGTTAAAAAAAGAACAAATTGAAACATCGAGTACTTCACAAAAACGCCACCACTGTGCATGTTGAAGATGATGTTTCATCATGAACAGCATTTGCACATGATGTTCGTGGAATTATTGCTGTGCATGCTTATTTTCCCTATAAAACTTGCAATTGTCACATTGCTATTGAAATTCAACAATGGCAAGACGTCAACTGAGCATGACAGACAGAAGAAGAACTCTTGCCTGGCTTCAAGATGGTGAAACTCAACGCAGTGTGGCTCGGAGACTAAATGTGAGTCAGTGTGTCATTGGAAGGTTATGGCAACGGTTTCGTGTGACTGGAACGCTGAATAATCGACCACGTTCTGGCAGGTCTCCATCAACAACTCCTAGAGAAGACGTGACTGGTGTAGACGCCATGTCCGTTGGCAACATGCTCAGTGGGTATCAGTTCTTCTCTCCGACGAGTCTAGGTATACTCTACAGTTCAATATGATGGTAGAACTTGTGTGTATCGGCGTCACGGAGAGAGGTTTGCTGGCGTCAACGTCAACCAACGTTTGCCATTTGGAGGCGGGGGTATCATGGTTAGGGGTGCATTTTCCTTTCATCACAGGACACCTCTCTATGTCATTTATGGTAACCTGACAAGAAATCGCTATCTATGGGAGATTATCAGGCCCCTTGTTTTGCCATGTTTACAATGTATCGGTGTTGGATCCATATTCCAAGATGACAATGCCCGGCCACACCGTGGCCGTGTCGTGACGGACTTACTTAGACAGAACAATGTTCAGCACATGGAATGCCCGGCATATTCAGAGGATTTAGCCCCTATTGAACATGCTTGGCACGAGTTAGGACGTCGGCGTCGTAACAACCACGCCTCTCCAAACAACTGTGCAGAACTGGCCCAGTATCTCATTCCAGAATGGCAGGCAATACCCCAAGCCTTCTTGCAATGTCTGGTGAAAAGTATGAGACAGAGGTGTACTGCTTGTCTTACTGCTCGAGGTGGTTACATCCGTCACTAGACCAATGTTGGCGTTTGAATTTTCACTTCTGACAGTAGGTCACTTTGACCTACTTTGATCAGCAATAACTGGCATTCCTGCTGTTTTTGTCTCCTGTTGTTGTCATCATGAAATGTTGGCTCGACTTGTTATATGATCGCTACCTTTCACTGTTATTTATATTTGTAGTTATGGCCATTAAAAGTTGTGACCCTTAACTTGTTTTGATTAGTATATATAGAATGCACCCACATTCTGTTGTAAAGTGCTTGTGTAAACGCAACACCCTACCTTCAAAGGATTAACTAACAATACATTAATTGTTCATTGTTGTTTAGCTAAGTTATATTTCTTCAAAAATTTGTCAGGTGTGCTCTCTTGCATGAGCAATGGGACTACACATCAATGTGAAAACACATGAAACAAAGTCATGTGACATGAAAAGGTTTTCTTTGCCAGCTCCACATGAAAGGCATATCGTTCCTTTATGTGAACATTAATGGACAAGGTAACAACCTGATATTTTTGCTGTCACTTTAATTGGTTTTAATTTTGATGTCTGGATTTTGTTTGTATTCATTTGTTGTAGCATTTAACAAAATGAGACAGCATGCACTAAGTCACTGTATGGGCATGTGTGTGTCATATATGATAAATAGGCAATCTGTGAAATATCTTACAGTCATTTTATAAATGCACCAAAACAGATCATGTACTTCTTTGTGAGGTTCCCAAGTGCATAAAAATATAATAATAACTTAAATATGCCAGGATTATAAGGCATACTTATATAAATATATTGACTTTGTTTTCAGTCAGTCCCAACATTTTTCACCACTGAAAGTTAAACTTCAAAATGTTTTCAATTTTTATCATGATAATGAAGAGAGATTGTGTGTGTGTTTAGTTTGATGCTGCTTTTAGCAATATGTCAGCAATATCACAGCGGGGGACACCTGAAATGGGCTTCGTCACATTGTACCCATGTGGGGAATCAAGCCAACGCCTTAACCACTAGGTTACCAAAACCGCCACTGATAATGAATATGGAAATAATGAGTTAAAATGATGACTACATTTACCAATTGACTTCAAGAAAAAACTGTATTTCATCTCTGCTGATCAATGTAAGGATACACCCTTAAACTAACAATTGCACTTGCGGGTGGTGCAGCAGAGATTGCAATCCAGTTAATAATTCTAGCATAGCATCTGGGTACTCGCATGGGAAACCAATAACAAAAGCAACAACCAGTCCCAGGGAAATTGCTCTGGATCAGTGTCCCTTTAAAGAGGCAGTTGAGAGAGGAGTGAGTGAGTGAGTTTAGTTTTATGCTGCTTTTAGCAATATTCCAGCAATTTCACTCCGGGGGACACCAGAAATGGACCTTACACAATGTACCCATGTGGCCACCCCACCGCCCCAGTTGAGGGAGGAGCCAAGGTGGACAGGTAAAACAGTTAAAAAGAAAAAACAAACTAGACTCATATTGCCACTTTCAAGGGAGTGTTCGGAAACCATCCATTATTCCACTGGGAGAAAAGACATACCCCGTGAGCATGAGCAGTAGCAACGAGTTGAGCGTAGTCCTCGATGCTGCCATCTGTGTTGGGATACTGGATCAGGACACCACTGAAATCCTGCCCACTGAAGTCCATCTCTTGCCAGTTGCTTCGCACAATGTCAATCCCCAGTGCACTGTCAGAGATATAGAAGTCATGTGTTCAAAGAGCGACTTCGTGGTTGTCGACAGAACAGATGGTGTGACAATATCGGCAGCAGTAGTAACCATTTGTAAAAGCATTGGTTAATAGTGTGTGCATGTGCGTGTGCGTTCGTTTGCCTGTATTTGTTCAGACCATGACACAGTCAAACATGGAAACCCCTTTCACATTCAGTTCACCAACTCTGAGCTGCTTAGCCCTTGTTTTATTCCCTTAACGCCAGACCAACTTTATATATTATTTTATGGATTTCTGTTCTCAAAAAACACAAAGGCAGGAGGGAAAAAACCCAAAATTACCAGTCAAAGCAAAAACCCATATGAGTTTTACAAAGGCATTTCAAGTTCACACTTGCTGAGGTGCTCGAAGCACTGATTTCTAACACAAACATTGTTAAATAATTCAGTTTAAAGTCTCTGAAAACAGATACCAGTGTTGTAATTTCCAACAAACTGCCTTGCGCAGTCAAAGTCTTGCTCCTGTATATCTTAATATTAGGATTTTGTTTTTCGAGCAGGGACATTTTTTGTTCATATTCTTGAAAAAATACGACCGGTGGATTTGTAAAATAAGAAATAAAATTGGTCTGGCCTAATGCTGAAAGCCAGACATGTGTACAGCAAGTACCATATATTGATATATTTTTTGATGACATGGCCAGGGATCAAACCCCAGACCCACTGCTCTCCAGGCAGATGTTGTATCCACTATACCACCGAGACGGTTGACAATATATGGGAGACATACTAAGCCTATAGCAGAGGTGCACATACATGCATTAGTAATGTCAGGATTTATGACTGTAATAGAGCTCAGGATGCAGTGCACCGACTCACTACATAGCTGCTATATTATCTCGTAATGACTACTCACTGTGCTCTGGTTTCCACAACTGCAATATTTTGGGGGTGACACTTGTTGTCAATGTAGAATCGCCTTCTCTTGTTTTGTCTGAAATACATTTACTCTTTGAAAATTATTCATGATTCAACTTAATATATTAACAGGCCCCATTCATCAATGTATCCCTGTTTAGCACTATGACTTCTGGTGTTTCAACATAACGCAAACTTTTGTATAATGATATAAGGGCACAAACACAAAGGTTCATCAGATGGTGAGTCCAGTCACGTCACATACAGCTAAGCTGTACCGATCACATATGCCTTCAGCTGCTGAGACCTAATCAAGCACATGGACATAGTTTCAGCACCTGCTATGGCCTCATGGACATGGCTTTACTGCCCAGATGGGGAGCCAAGTTATTTCACACACAACTCACCTGTAGCAGACGGACATAGCTTCACCTGCCCAGATGGGGAGCCCAGTTATTTCACACACAACTCACCTGTAGCAGACGGACATAGTTTCACCTGCCCAGATTGGGAGGCCCCTCATGTTACACACACAACTCACCTGTAGCAGACGGACATAGCTTCACCTGCCTAGATGGGGAGCCCATTTATGTCACACACAACTCACCTGTAGCAGACGGACATAGCTTCACCTGCCCAGATGGGAGCCCCTCATGTTACACACACAAACTCACCTGTAGCAGACGGACATAGCTTCACCTGCCCAGATGGGGAGCCCATTTATGTCACACACAACTCACCTGTAGCAGACGGACATAGCTTCACCTGCCCAGATGGGGAGCCCCCTCATGTTACACACACAACTCACCTGTGGCAGACGGACATAGCTTCACCTGCTTAGATGGGGAGGCCCCTCATGTTACACACAACTCACCTGTAGCAGATGGACATAGCTTCACCTGCCCAGATGGGGAGGCCCCTCATGTTACACACACAACTCACCTGTAGCAGACGGACATAGCTTCACCTGCCTAGATGGGGAGCCCATTTATGTCACACACAACTCACCTGTAGCAGACGGACATAGCTTCACCTGCCCAGATGGGGAGCCCCCTCATGTTACACACACAACTCACCTGTGGCAGACGGACATAGCTTCACCTGCTTAGATGGGGAGGCCCCTCATGTTACACACAACTCACCTGTAGCAGATGGACATAGCTTCACCTGCCCAGATGGGAGGCCCCTCATGTTACACACACAACTCACCTGTAGCAGACGGACATAGCTTCACCTGCCCAGATGGGGAGCCCCCTCATGTTACACACACAACTCACCTGTAGCAGACGGACATAGCTTCACCTGCCTAGATGGGGAGCCCATTTATGTCACACACAACTCACCTGTAGCAGACGGACATAGCTTCACCTGCCCAGATGGGGAGGCCCCTCATGTTACACACACAACTCACCTGTAGCAGACGGACATAGCTTCACCTGCCTAGATGGGGAGGCCCCTCATGTTACACACACAACTCACCTGTAGCAGACGGACATAGCTTCACCTGCCCAGATGGGGAGCCCCCTCATGTTACACACACAACTCACCTGTAGCAGACGGACATGGCTTCAGCTGCTGCTGTTGCCTCGTCCAGGAGAGAAGCATTTGAGATGGGGAGTGCTGTCATGTCGCACACCATGGTCTGGTAGTTGAGGAGACTCTCCAGGCGGCCCTGTGCCAGCTCAGCCTGGTAGGGTGTGTACTGGGTCACCCTGAAAGAGGTACAGCAAATGGCAGCTAGTACTACAGTTCAGAGAGGACTCACGATATCGTAAAATTTACATGAAAGCCTTAAGAGATAAGTTGGACCATGGATTAAACATATTTAGTAACTCCTAGACAGAGTGAGTGAGTGAGTAAAGTTTTACGCTGCACTCAGCAATACTTCAGCTATATGGCAACAGTCTGTAAATAATTGCGTCTGGATCAGACAATCCAGTGATCAACAGCATGAGCATCGATCTATGCAGTTGGGATACGATGACATGTGTCAACCACAGGCAAATTGTAGCGCAAATAGGGTTGCGCAACAAAGAGAAAATGACCAGTCTTCCCATATGCGAGTGAAGCGAGCAAAGGTTGGCAAAGTGCTTCCCTCGCTTCGGTTCGAAAAATATTTTTAATGTCAAAATAAAATATCGCCATCATCAAAGGTTGACACCAATGTCCTCACAGAGTTGTGCTCTCAGATTTCCAACCTCATATTTAATAATTACTCATGTACAATACATTTAATTCAACATTTTAAGCGCCACTCGTGGCATCTCAAATCGTTCTTCGCCTCCATTACCCCTGCCAGCTTCCGGTTCAACGGGGTGAAGGAACAGGGGAGTTAAATTTAAATATGCTTTCATTTACCCGTTACGCCAGAAATGTTTCTGGAGAATAAATGTTATAAAAAGTCTAACAATAACGACGGCAGATAAGAAAAATAATCCCCAACAGTTTAACGGTAAAATTATACCATATGATATTTGTGTTTAATTTCTGCTTATTCTTGTTCCTTCACTCCGCTGAACCGGAAGCTGGCAGGGGTAATGGAGGCGAAGAACGATTTGACATGCCACAATTTGCGCTTAAAATGTTGAATTAAATATATTGTACGTGACTCATTATTAAATATGGGGTTGGAAATCTGAGAGCACAACTCTGTGAGGACATTGGTGTCAACCTTTGATGATGGCGATATTATATTTTGCTATTAAAAATATTTTTCGAACCGAAGCGCGGGAAGCGTTATTAACTGGCTTTGGCGCTTCGCTTCGCATATGGCAAGACTGGTCATTTTCTCCTTGTTGTGCAACCCTATTCGTGCTACAATTTGCCTGTGTGTCAACCAGCCTGACCACCCAATCCCGTTAGTAGCCTCTTACGACAAGCATGGGTTGCTGAAGATCAACTCTAACCCGGATCTTCATGAGTCAACTCCCAGACTGGCACTTGGTGAAGAGAATGTGATATCTCATTGCAAGTGTCACATCAGGATGAGAGTTCTACATCAGTGTATCTCCCTCATAAAGTCATCCAATTTACATAGTTTTCTGCAAGGTATCATCTGAAACTACATGACGGCATTGTTACAAGTGGGGTCAAATGACTAAAATACAGTAAACTGCAGTTTTAATGTTAAATAAGGACCACAAATTTTAGTCCATAATAACTGTTATACAGGGTCTAGGACAAAAGTCACCTGGACAGAAGCCACCTGGACAGATGCCACCTGGACGAAAGCCACCCAGACGAAAGTCACATGGACAAAAGCCACCCGGACAAAAATCACATGGACAAAAGCCACCCGGACAAAAGTCACCTGGACAGAAGCCACCTGGACAGAAGTCACCTGGGCAAAAGCCACCCGGACAAAAGTCACCCGGACAAAAGCCACCCAGACAAAAGCCACCCGGACAAAAGTCACTGGACAGAAGTCACCTGGACAAAAGTCACATGGACAAAAGCCACCCGGACAAAAGCCACCCGGACAAAGGCCACCCGGACAAAAGCCACCCGGACAAAAGTCACCCGGACAGAAGTCACCCGGACAAAAGTCACCCGGACAAAAGTCACCCGGACAGAAGCCACCCGGACAGAAGCCACCTAGGACAAAAGCCACCTGGACAAAAGCCACCCGGACAAAAGTCACCCGGACAAAAGTCACCCGGACAGAAGTCACCCGGACAGAAGTCACCCGGACAAAAGCCACCCGGACAGAAGCCACCCGGACAGAAGCCACCTAGGACAAAAGTCACCTAGGACAAAAGCCACCCGGACAAAAGCCACCTGGACAAAAGCCACCCGGACAAAAGCCAACCGGACAAAAGCCACCTGGACAAAAGCCACCTGGACAAAAGCCACCTAGGACAAAAGCCACCTTGACAAAAGCCACCTGGGACAAAAGTCACCTGGACAAAAGCCACCTGGACAAAAGCCACCTGGGACAAAAGCCACCTGGACAAAAGCCACCTGGACAAAAGCCTACATATTTTGACTCAAATATACGGCATGTGGTTGGGAGAAAAAAATCAGTCAGTCTGTTATGGGCATTTTTGTTACAAACATAGTTTACTGTACTTTGAGCAAACAGGGACTGGCTATTTGATGTTCTTCAAATAGAACTGGTCTTCAGCAACCCATGCTTGTCATAAGAGGCGACAAACGGGATTGGGTGGTCAGGCTCGCTGGCTTGGTTGACACGTTATCGTATCCCAAAATTGCATAGATCGATGCTCATGCTGATGATCACTGGATTGTTTGGTCCAGACTTGATTATTTACCGACCGCTGACATATAGCTGGAATATTGCTGAGTCGCGGTAAAACTAAATTCACTCACCCATTCTTCAATGTGAACCTGTCATTCTCTTATACATCATGTTTTCGCTGAGAATTCTGGAAAAATGAGCTGACCCTGCTTTAGAGAATTGTTTTCATATCATCGTTAAACCCTAAGATAACATTTTTATGAGATGAACATATTTGTGAATATGTAGAAGCCAAAGATTCAGCTTCCATATGAAGCACATAGAACCTGCATACTCATCAACATATGATTATACCTAGTAAAGCCACACCAGCCTACATTGCGGACATACTGAGTGACCTTACTCTCACGCTAGGAAGCTTATCTACCAATCCAGATAAGGTACAAAAGTCATGGAAAATTAATAACCACCGTAAGAGAATATATGCTCAATAAGTATTGAGAGAATGTGATAATATCTGTGGGTAACATATTTGCAATAACTGCTTAAGTTCATGATATACGAGAAAAGAAAGAATATTTCTTGTGCCACCAGGTCACCTTATAATGTCAGTATATCATATATAAAGTTGCATATGGAATAAAACCAGGGCTATTTATTTTGTTGTCTTACAATTGACACAGCATTTGTGACTACTCTCATTTACCCTAGATCAAACAGAAACAATGATTTAAATGACAACATACTTTTTGCAACTTAGCTTTGTAATATAATTCGGAATTTAAGTTCAAGTCTTTTCTTCAAACATAAATCAATGCCTTTTCCTAAACTTGGCTCCTTAATGTTTACAGGTACTTAAGTTGTCCAGGGAAGTATGTAAAGTAAGAAAATATAATGTGCTTGGGCCAGACCAATTTTATTTCTTGTTTTACGGATCCGCCGATCGTATTTTTTCAAGAATAAGAAAAAACATAAAAATTAATTTTCCCCGCTTAAAAAATAAATTTGAATGTTTCTATTGGCCAAAAATGTAAATGTGCAAGAAAATGTTTTCAGATTGTTTTTTGCCCCATATATACTTCAGAAATTGCCAAAAGTAAAATACTTTTAGCATTTAAAGGAACATTACTTTGACTGGTGATTTTTTAATAATTGTTTTCCCCTCCTGCCTTTAGGTTTTCTGAGGACAAAAATCCATAAAACAAGGAATAAAATTGGTCTGGCCTTGTCAGTTTTCAAAATGGTAGTAGTGTACCATATGACACCATCAACATTCAGAATAGCATCCTGTTGTGTCTGCACAGAAATAGGTGGGGTGGTGGGTTATCCTAATGGTTAAAGCATCCACTCATCCCGCTGAAGACCCAGGTTCGATTCCCCACATGTGTACAATGTGTGAAGCCCATTTCGGGTGTCCCCTGCTGTGATATTGCTGGAATATTGCTAAAAGAGGTGATAAACCATACTCACTCACTCAGAGATAGGCCAGACATTAAAATAAGTCTGAGATGTCATGGCAACAACTTTGCAATCCACAAATCACTTGGAGTCAATAACAGGTAATTGTACTGAAATGAGGTCCACTGACCAGCCCGGGTTCTCGAAGATGTTCCTCAGTATGGTGTAGGGTGTGTATGTGTTGTAGTAGCCCACCCCAATGTAGCTGCGCCACACCTGGTTCTCCTCCGCCATCTTAGTCAGTCTCACAATCAGCTCATGTTCACCTGTTGGGTTAATATCATGGAGATGGGTCAGTTATAGTATCTTACCCAAGGACGTACAGACAAAGAAGCATTTTCTGTTCTTTGTTGTTGTTATTTTGTGCTGGAGTAAATACATTTTTTTCTCTTTCCTTTTTATTTATACTGACAACATATGAAATGTTATGTTCATACACATGCTAGTTGGGTAGATATACATGCTAGTTGGGTAGATATACATGCTAGCTGGGCTGATATAGATATCCCAAAGCTAGCTGAATTTGACTTTCTGGTGATTTCGACGATTGCATTGCTCGCGCTATATTGGGGAGTACATGCACGATTGGAGTGCACAAGCAGTTTCATAGGAAGGGTGGGTGCCCAGTCGCTGTCATGAGAAGTTTTATTGACAATGAAAATCCGGAAGTTAAGTTATATGAAAAGCATACAAACATCAATATTATTTACCCAAGATCGTTAATACCACTTCAGATGCAAAATCAATTGCCTATATAACAAAAAATAGCAATCGAAATTTCAGTAAGATTGGTCGTCTGCTAGTGACAGGCAATATATAAATAGGAAGCCATGTGATCACAGCACTCCCTCGCATCGCGGAGTGAAAAGGATGGCTCATTGACGAAAACCCATACAAAATACCCGGATGTGGAGAGCGGCAACAGTTTCGCCCATACGATGTCATGAACGCTATTTTTGTAGGGAACACTTGATATTTTTGCGTGACATAGAGGAATATATCCTTTATCACTCAAGGTTAGTAAAATAAAAACATTAAATGATATTAAGATAAAAAAATATGTGTTTGTCTTACATCGTCGAAAACCCCTGACACGGGATACTAGTCGGGCTGAGATAGGCAACTTGGACACTAAGTGCCAAGCAGGATTTACCTAGATATACTACCCACTCAGACAGTTATGTGATATAGTGTAATGACAAAATGATTATTATAATCAATAGTTATTCAGTGTTATACTGAACATCATACATCATCCCTCAACTGAAAACATCAGGTTATCCTGTATTTTGGTTTTACAAACATCTTCAGCTTTCTCTGCATTACTTTTTCTGTCCTATGAATGCATATACATACCTAGTTCCTCTTCAAGCTTCAGGTCTCTGTTGAGACGGATATTTTCTGGAACTGTCTTGCTGATAAGCTCTGCCATGGACTGGAAATAACAGTTATACATTTATTCCATTCCAAATTTCAAACTATATGTGTTTCATTTGTTGTTAAGTACCACTCTAAACAATAGTCATGTGAGCTATATGAAATATTAAAAAAATGTAGTAAATAATTGAGTCTGAATCAGACGATCCAGTGATCAATATTGTCAGCAACAATCCATGTCATTGGGGTATGCGAACATGCATATTAACATGTGACAGTCTGACCAACTGATCCATAGGGTCACCTGTAGTGAGTGAGTGAGTGAGTGAGTGAGTGAGTGAGGTTTTTTACGCCGCTTTTAGCAATATTCCAGCAATATCACGGCGGGGTTACCTGTAATGACCAGCATGGGTTCCTAGAGACCAATCCTAACCTGAAATCCCTAGGGTCTGCAGGTAAGCCTTCATCAGCGTGAAATGAAGAGCTGTCAAACACAACTGCTTGTTTCATATAGTTTCTGTGTATAAATGGTGAATTTATTTGGATTTTGTGTCTTGTATAAATGGATTCTGTGTCTAATATGAATGGATCTTATGTCTTATACGAATGGATCTTGTGCCTTATAACAATGGATCTTATGTTTAATCACAATGGATTTTGGTAATTCATTCATATAGGAATTCTGTGTGAAAGTAGGTCAGGGAGAGTGACTCAGCTGAATCACAGGCCCTGCTATATGGGTCATCTCTTGCATGCGTGCCTCACCTTTGGCTCAAAATAGGCAATGCTGTAGAGACCCTGTGCAAGAACAGACTCAAAAGAATATGTGACTAAATGGCTGATTGTGTGTCACTGTGCCATGAGGAACAAGACAGATGCTCAGGCATTCAAATTGCTTTTCTGACACATTTCTATTCATAGACCGACAAAAACGTGAAGAGCATTCTTTCACTAATTCATTATATATATGTTTGGAATGACACTGACAGTTTTAAGTATATATAAGTTACTGTCTCAGTGACCAACTACCTAGTACCCACAACATCCTGATTTCCTGGACATAATATTTGATAAATGATCACCAAATTGTTTGGACCAGACTCGATTATTTACAGACTGCCGCCAAATAGTTGGATTATTGCTGAATACTGTTAAACTCACTCACTCACCAGGCACAAGATACAGAGTCAGTGAGTTTCACACACTTTACAGAGTATTGGTATTCACTACAATTTCAATTTCATCCTTCCTTGAAATACATTCTGCTTATAGTCTGTTTGCAGTGAAAACGTACCAATGAATTTCACTGTAAACAGAAAAGTAAATCAAATAAAGTGAAATTAATATTGCGAATCCTCAAAATTTTACCTTGCCAATTGAACATTTAAATCTCAGAATTTTATTCATCTTAGGATAAAAGTTGTTTAACAAACGATCATACACTGAAATCGCTATTAGTGCTTTGTATTACATGGGGGTAAGCGCAGTAGTTGGAACTGTGAAACAAATGCACCTGAGGTTCGTGATGAGCGTTAACTTAGACCAACTCTACTTGTTCTCGGTGTTTCATTTAATGTGCATACTCCCTTGTAATACAAACCAATAATAGCAATTTGAAACTATGATCATTTGTTAAACAACTTTTATCCTATTTAAGTTGAATAAAATTCTGAGATTTTAATGTTCATTTGGCAAGGTAAAATTATGAGGATTCACAAACATAATTTCACTTTAATCAATTTAATTTTTTTTAAATGGAAATTCATTGGTACGTTTTCACTGCAAACAGACTATAATAAGCTGTTGTATTTGTGGAACCTTTCATAAAGCAGGTTTAATAGTGATTTCCAGGAGCATTGAGGCAAACGGTTACCATCCTCCTATAAATTATTCCTGGCAATGGAAATTCATGTACATGTATCTATAACATTTGCTTCATCAGTTAAAAAAGAAAAATATATTTAAACTCCTAAGATTACAAAGGTTGAAATGGAATTGTTATTATTTGTATAATTTCTCAATTGTATTTGCAGGCAACTCAATAATGATTGGATGGCATGGTTTTATTCAGTGAGACTCACTCATAATGGAATCTCACTTATGCTTTCACTTATGACTCTTCATAATGTACACTTGTGTTATGAGAAACAGCTTTATGTATATTTCAACAATACATTCACATTACCATGATTATGTTTCCCATCATACTGATTACCTTAAGGTACATCTTACTCTTTGTGATACAATTCAAGCAAAATTCATATGCCACAACTGGTTGGCAGGTGGTTGGAAATTAATTTTGATATTTTCAAACCGAAACATCAGCTAAAACTGATGTTAATATTGTTAATATTTATACATATTTGTACTACTTGATAATCCATGTATAACTATGAGCTGAGATTATCATACTTTTATTCATTGCAGTTTGTCCTTATTTTATCAGAACACTGACACCATTAAGTCCTTGTTGGGCAATTTCTCGTTTACCTTCCTCAGAATTTCAGTGAGTAAGTAAGTATGATTTTTACATTGCTTTTAGCAATATTCCAGCAATATCACGGCGGGGCACACCAGAAATGGGCTTCACACATTGCACCCATGTGGGGAATCGAACCTGGGTCTTCAGCATGATGAGTAATATAATGACATGCTTGCACATGTGTGGCTGCTATATTAACCCTCCGTGTGAAAGCAATATCCAAAATCATGAATATGATGTGTTGTCATTCACAAGAGTGAGACAGTATTACTGACTGAGATGACCAGTTCTTATTTTATCTCCATAATGCTAAGTGCTGGGCAGAGTAAGAGAACAGAATCCAAACCAGCATCTACAAAATGCCTATCCACTTCAGCTCCAACCACCCACGTGAAACTAAGAGTGGTATCTAATGAGCCAGTTACTTCTGCTGACTCAAAACCTGAAACAGTACCTCTGTCATATATGTTCAAATATCAACCAAACTAGTTGACAAATTAAGTTACCGGTATATCCTCTATAATGCATCGCAGATCTACGACCACCAAACCTGATTCAGCACCCTTCTGCAATATCCACACCTTAAACACGCTTCCCCCATCAGCTGACTCCTCGAACAAGCCAACATTATGGGACACCAACTTCAACTCCCTGAAAAACCTACTATGAGTCCACTGTAGAACCATGGCACAAAACCCAAACAAGGTGTAGTTAAAATATTTACTGGAAAATCCCACCCTATCAACATTGGAATCACATTGCACAAACAACCAAATCAGATGGTAAATCAGCCATCTTGAACCACATCAGCAACTGCCTCAAACACAACATCAATTGGGAAAACATCCAGATCCTCTCCAACAACCCCATGACTTCACCAAAAAGAGTGGGTGGTGGTGGTGGTGGAATTGGGTTTAACGTCGTGCTTGAGAATATTTCGCTCCTATGACGATGTGCATGCGTGTGTATGTGGATGTGCGGCTGCTTGTACTAGCCCAGACTTAAGCTGGTTTTATAGTGCTAGCCCACTGAGATACCATGCAGCAGTGAAGCATGAATACCCCACTCAGACACATTATCCTGACTCCGAGCCGACCAGTCCTTATTGTACCCATTAATGCCAAGCGCCAGAAAGGGACCAACAAGTACCAAATGTTAACGTCTTGTGGTATGACGCGGTCGGGGATCGAACCCGCGACCTTCCACTCTCCCGGGTGGACGCTCTAACCACTACACCACGGAGGCGGTGGTCAGCTTTTGAGACAAACGGACTATAGTAGCCTTGATTGTTTTGTTGTGTGTGTTCACAATGGGGGCCTGGCCTTGTACATGTCATACAGACAGGAAGGAAACAGGAGCAAAGTACCAGTGCACTTTTGTCTGGCTATACAGCATTACCAGAAAGTGATACATTCAGGAGGCTTTGTAGCTGTATGCCTTGAGCACTGTAATACATTTGTATGACTAGACCATAGTGTATGCTGGGAGTGATGTAGTATTCTATGCTTGAAGAGCTGTAGCATATCTGTATGCTTGGGGGTGCTATAGTATATTTGAATGCTTGAAGTGCTGTAGTATATCTGTATGCTTGGAGTGCTGTAGTATATCAATGCTTGAAGTGCTTTAGCATATCTGTATGCTTGGGGTGATGTAGTATATCTGACTGCTTGGAGTAATGTTGTATATCTGTATGCTTGGAGTGCTGTAGTATATCAATGCTTGAAGTGCTGTAGTATATCTGTATGCTTGGGGTGATGTATATCTGTATGCTGTGAGTGCTGTAAAATATCTGTATGCTGTTAGTGCTGTAGTACGGTATATCTGTATGCTGTGAGTGCTGTAGTATATCTGTATGCTGTGAGTGCTGTAGTATATCTGTATGCTGTGAGTGCTATAGTATATATGTATGCTGTGAGTGCTGAACAATATCTGTATGCTGTTAGTGCTGTAGTATATCTGTATGCTGTGAGTGCTATACTATATATGTATGCTTGGAGTGTTGTAGTATATCTGTATGCTGTGAGTGCTGTAGTATATCTGTATGCTGTGAGTGCTGTACTATATCTGTATGCTGTGAGTGCTGTAGTATATCTGTATGTTGTGAGTGCTGTAGTATATCTGTATGCTGTGAGTGCTATAGTATATGCTGTGAATGCTGTAAAATATCTGTATGCTGTGAGTGCTGTAGTATATCTGTATGCTGTAGTATATACGTATGATGTGTGCTGTAGTATATCTGTATGCTGTAGTATATCTGTATGCTGTGAGTGCTGTAGTATATCTGTATGCTGTGAGTGCTGTAGTATATATGTATGCTTGGAGTGCTGTAGTATATCTGTATGCTGTGAGTGCTGTAGTATATCTATATGCTTGGGGTGCTGTAGTATATCTGTATGCTTGGGGTGCTGTAGTATATCTGTATGCTTGGGGTGCTGTAGTATATATGTATGCTTGGAGTGCTGTAGTATATATGTATGGTTTGTTTTTAGTACATCAGCTTCCAGATGCCACATCTACTTGACAGTCAACCATAAACACATCAAGCCAAATTAGGAAATGGTGTGATAGTTCTGTTC